CAGATGTCTGCTGTGGCCTGGGAAAGCAGAAGATGGCCCAGGTCCTTGGGCCCCTGTACCCACATAGAAGACCCAGAAGAAGCTCCTGGCTCTGGATCAGCATAGCTCTGGCCGTTGCAGCCAACTGGAGAGTGAACCAGCGGATGGAAGACCTGTCTCTCTGTCTCTACCTCTCTCTGTAACTCTTTCAAATAAATAAAACTTTAAAAAAAAATTGAATGTTTGAAAAACATACAAGAATCCAAGTTTACTATTTCTATAGTTTTATAAGAAATCAGGATTATTTGGCACTATATTTAAATGAAGTACACTTGTATTCTAACCAACATGAGACAAATCAGTATCTAAAGAGGAATGAGGGCCGGCACTGTGGCACAGCGGGTTAAAGTCCTGGCCTGAGGCACCGGCATCCCATATGTGCACCAGTTCTAGTCCAAGCTGCTCCTCTTCCGATCCAGCTCTCTGCTATGGCCTGGGATAGAAGTAGAGGATGGTCCAAGTCCTTGGGCCCCTGCACCTGCGTGGGAGACCCAGAGGAGGCTCCTGGCTCCTGGCTTCTGATCGGCGCAGCTCTGGCCACTGTGGCCAACCAGAGAGTGAACCATCAAATGGAAGACCTCGCTCTCTCTCTGTGTAACTCTGACTTGCAAATAAATAAATAAATCCTTAAAAAAAAGTTATGAAATAGAAAACCTCATTGCCTTGCTTTTAAACTTGAAATGGGTTCTCTACCAGACTCTGAGCTATATTCCACAGCCAGCACTTTGAAGAACTGGAACCCCTTATACTTGCTGTCAGGTATTCTGCTAGATTGTACCACCTTGAACATTTCCAAAGTGACTTCTTAACAACATCATACATTCATTATTTAGGAGCCAGGTTTTTCTCCATCTGTTGGTATTAATTTAGGCTGTGTTCAGTGTTTTTCAAGGACTCATGGAATTGGTTACCAAGATACTGATTACTAAAACCCTTTAACCTCGACTCAATTTACTAGATTTTGTTTTGCTTCATCACAGACTCACTGCAGTGGTCAGAGTACTCTTTGATGACAAGAACATGGGCACACGGAGATACACAGAGAGTCTGACAAGAACAGCACCAGGAAGGTTTCGGGAGCAGCAGAGAGATCACAACACCCATCCTGGAAGTCTGACTCGTCAGCTGACACTACAGCGGTCAGCAGTGGGCTGGCGCCGTCCTTCTCCTCATAGCATACGTACAGTCCGGGAACTCCTCTCAACACCACTGAGCAGGGACCGCAGTCACTGCTGTGTGGTGCTCCATCGGCCCTCAAGCAGACTGACTGGTGCTAGACTCTTCGATCTGCCCCTTAGTTACACCGGGACTCGCGGCAAGATATCTTCCTGTCTCTCACTCCGTGTTCCTTCTCTCTAAAATGATGCTAATTATAGCACCTACCTTAAAGTGAAATTGAAAGAACTAAATGAATGATAATATGGAAATCGTTTAGAGTGGTGCTGAGCACATGGTAAGCTCAGTAAATATTATCTTTTAATTATTACATATTTTTTTTAAATGAAGTACCAGGGCCGGCACTGTGGCACAGCAGGTTAATGCCCTGGCCTGAGGGACTGGCATCCCATATGGGCACCTGTTTTGAGACCTGGCTGCTCCACTTCCGATCCAGCTCTCTGCTATGGCCCAGGTCCTTGGGCCCCTACACCCGTGTGGGAGACCTGGAAGAAGCTCATGGCTCCTGATCAGCCCAGCTACGGCCGTTGTAGCCATTTGGAGAGTGAATCAGTGGATGGAAGACTTTTCTCTCTCTCTGCCTCTGTCTCTCTGTAACTCTGCCTTTCAAATAAATAAATTAAAAAAAAAAGTATCTAAGAATATCTTTAGGGAAGACAGTGCTGACCATTACACTCAAGCCAGCTGACTCCAAGGTCAACGCTCCTAACATTTTGCAGGGTGGCTGCTGCTGCTGTCCTGTGCGACTCAAGAGCACTGGGACCGGCAGCCTCCACGTCACATTCCTGCTACTTCAGATGCAAATCTTAAAAGAGGTCAAAACCTCTTTTTGGCGTTTCTCTTATTTTCCACCTAACATGGTGAAGGATGATTGTTCTGAAGTGACCTATTTAGCTTCTGATGTATAGCTTCTACTCTGTCACTTTAAACTCTTCAATATAATTCTTAAAAAGCTGACAAAATGTGGTTGGGTAATTAATTATTCTCATCTACCTCAATCAATGTCAGGTGTTAATATTTTGTGCTAGGTACTCTGTCTTCCATAAACACAAACATAGCACTGTGTCTGGGGATGAGTTTGTGTCCTGTTTGGGCTACAGGGATAATAATGACTGGTCCCAAACCTTAACATTTATCTTAGGGCTAGCGTTGTGGCACAAAGAGTTATGCCACAGTCTGCAACACTGGCATTCCATATGAGTGCTGGTTTGAGTACCAGCTGCTCCACTTCTTACCAGCTCCCTGATAATGTACATGGGAGAGCAGCGAAGATGGCCCAAGCACTTGGGCCCCTGCCACCCACGTGGGAGACCCACATGGAGTTCCAGCCTCCTGGCTTCTGTCTGACCCAGCCCTAAGCATTTCAGCCATTTGGGGAGTCAACCAGCTGGTGAAAGATCTCTCTCTGTATCTCCCTAACACTGCCCTTCAAATAAATAAAGAAAATTAAAAAAAAATTATGTTGAAATTCTCCTGAAAAGCATAAAATGCACAAGGAAGCATTTAACACTTTAAATGGAAAAAACCTTCAATTTTAATTTTCCTTTCTGATAAGTGAAATTGCAAGCATCCGTTGACAGTCTGAATGTATTCTACATTGCTAAAGAAACCATGTATTTAAGTCATCGGAAGTAAGTCCAAATCATATTGCTAGGTCAGAAGCCCAGTTCAAAGCTCTCAAGGCCTATTCTACTGCCCTCTCAGATGAGAGCCCAATTTTCATTTTATTATTTATTTATCTGAAAGGCAGAGTTACAGAGAGAGAGAGAGTGAGTGAGCGAGAGAGAGGTTTTCCATCCACTGGTTCACTCCTCAAATGGCCACAACAGCTGGGGCCAGGCCAGGCACTTCTTCCAGGTCTCCCATGTGAGTGCAGGGGCCCAGTCGTCTGCTGCCTTCCCAGGTGCCTTAGCAGGGAGCTGGACTGGAAGTGGAGCAGCAGCACCCAATGGGCTGCCTGCTGTACCACAAGGCAGGCCCCCACCTTTGACTTTTCATATCATTTTCTTTATTCTGCTTTTAGGGAGCCTATTTGATTCAACAAATATCCAGAACCTAACTGCTTCTAACAGGTTTCACTGCTACCACTCTGGTCCAAGCCACCGTCATCTTTCGCCTGCATTACTGCAACACCGTCCTAACTGGTCTGGCTCTGTTCACCTTGGACCCGCCCACCCCCACGCCAGCCTATTCTCAACACCGCAGTTAGCAGGATCCTGCAAACTGAGGCCAGAGGATGTCACTCCTCTCCTCAACCCTCCCATTCAGCCAGAGTGAGAGCCAAAGGCCCAGAACCCTGCAAGACTTCCCGTCCCTCCTCCCAGTCTCCTCTTCCTATTTTACTCACGATTCCCCTTCAACCATCACGCTCGCTCCTCCCCCGTGTCGGGAGACCAACTCTCCAAACACCTGTGCACCTTGCATTCTCCACGTCTCTGCCAAATGTCACCTAGTTGGAGAACACCTTCTCTCACCGTCCGAGGCAAGACAGGCAAACCTCTCGCCTCTGCCCCGCCCGCTGTCTTTCCCTGCCACAGCGCTCACCGCCCCATGGCACGCTGTTACCTATTTCCCCTCCCTTCAACAAAGGGCTCCATGAGAGCAGAGACTTCGCTGTCCCACCGTGGTGTCCCCGGCACTTGGCGCGCAGCCAGTAAACGCTGACTACTGAGTGAACCCCCGCCCCCCCCATCCACACTTTAGAACCGCAGCTCCCGGGACGCTCTGATCTTCGCACACGGAACTGCACCGACTTCCACTCTCTGGACCCCCGGTAAGCGCTTCCCCACGAACGCGGCGCCAGGGAAGGGTCGCTACTGAGGACACTCGGGCTGAGTCTACAACAGGGAGGGGCACCGAGGACCCCGGGGGCCGCACGGTCCCCACGCGGAGAAGCCAGCGTGGACGGGAACGCAACCTCTCCCCATCCGCCAACGCTTCGGGGCTCTGTTAGTGCTTCCAAGGCTTTCGCCAAACAGTTACCGGGGCGGTCAGCACTGTCCTCAGCCCCGCGAATTCACTACCCCACGGCAGGTGCACGGGTGTCAGGGCTTCACGTCCGCTCACCTTCCTAACGATCATCCTCGGACTAAGACACGTTAATACCCTCCCCCTTGCGAAGGAGGCTCGGCGAGCCCGGGGCCGAGCGGTCGCAGGCGCGCACCAGGGCCACGACGCCGACCCGGGACCCCGGCGCGGGTCCCCGGCGGTCAGCGGGCCCTGCCGTCGACCCGAGGCGGCAGTTCTGGCCGCAGATGCTCCAACTCCCGAGTTTCCCGGTCGCTGGTGCCACACGCCCCGGAGGAGCTCGGCGCGCCGCCGGCCGCCGGCCGGCTCCGGGAACAATACCTGAGGAGGCGGGGGCGGACCCTCGGCGCCCAGCGGGCGGGCGCGGAGGCCCGAGGGGCGCCCCGGTCCTCCCCAGCCAGACAGCGGCGCTCCGAGCCGCCGCGCCCGGGGCCCCCGACGACCCGGGCCCGCCCGACCCCTCTCGGCCTGCCGGCCCCGCAGCTCGGGCCTGCCGCGCCGCAGCCCCCGTCCGGGCGGCCCCACGGCCCGCCCGTTCCCCGGAGTCCCCCGCCGCCGCCGCCGCCCGCTCACCTGCGCTCGCCCGCCTTCTCCTCTTCCTCCCTCGGGAGGCCGCCGGAGCCGGCCCGCGGCACCGCCCCCTCGGAGCCGGAACTGCTCCGGCCCCGGCTCTTCTTCCCGCCTCCCTCGGCCCCCAGTGTGGCGTCACTTCCGCCTGCGCCCGGCCGCGCGCGTGCGCGTGAGGCGCCTTGGGCTCTCGCGAACGCGCCGGGAGCGTCCCCAGGCTCGGGAGCGCGCCTCGTGGATGACAACAAATTCGTCGCGCGGCGGCCGAGGAGGTGTCAGCCGCCTCCTGTCGCGCGCTCCCGTGTCCGGGCCGAGGAGGATCCCCTCGGGAGTCCCTGCCCCGGACGCCGGGGCCGCCTCTGCGCCGGGTCCTTGCCGGGCCTGCGACCGGGTGTCCGGCGCGGGCGATGCCGTCGGCCTGAGGGCGCCCGGCGGTGAGCGGGCATGAAGGGGCCGCGCCGGGCTTAGGCCCCGCCGCGGCCCGGGGACGCCGGCCGGGCCCCGGAGCGCCTTCGCGGCCGGAGCCGGAGCCTGGGCCCCGCCGCCGCCGCCCTCAGCCGCCGCCATGCCGTGGCCGTTTTCCGAGTCCATCAAGAAGAGGGCCTGTCGGTACCTCCTGCAGAGGTACCTGGGCCACTTCCTGCAGGAGAAGCTGAGCCTGGAGCAGCTCAGCCTGGACCTGTACCAGGGCACCGGGTCCATAGACCTGGTCCCTATGAAGTAATGAGTCCAAGCTGCGGCCGGCGTGCCAGGCGCATCTACTGGAAACCTTACTTCAGAGATGTAGGGACCCGGACTGCACGCGAGGATCTTAATCTTCCTAAGTGCTGAACATCACGTTTTCACAAAACCGAGCGGCCAGATTTGTGCCTGCCATGCGGGAGTGCTTGAGTTAGGGCGGGCGGCGGGGGCGGTCTGGGCCGCGGATCGGGGGTCCCACGGCCAGCAGACCCCGTGTCGCGGCGTAGCGTTCCGGAAAGGCGAGGGGGACCCGTGGGATGCCGAGGCCCCCGGGCACGCCGCGTCCGGTTGGGGGACAGCGGGGGAGGCCTCGTCCGCCGGCTTGCACGCCTTTGTACCAGGCTATGTTTACACGGACAGTGTGCGTGCCTTTTGGCTTCACGTGACAGATCGTAAGAGCAGGTGTTGCAAAAGCGCTGAGGCTGCACTTTTCAGACATTTTAAAGCCGGTTCTCCACTGGTCGTCGGAGGCCGAGTTGACTCATTGTGTCTTGCGGGTGCTTGGTGTGTGTTTGCACGCGCCCAAGCGCTGGCCTGCGTCCCTGCGTCCGGGGCACGGTGTCTGACCGTGCTCACCGGCTGGTTGGACCGGACCGCAGCGGCTCCTCCCCTGCTAACTGAGCGCTGTAGCCTCCCTGCTCCGGGCTGAGATGTGACTGTATCAGCGAGGGGAGGGCTTGCAGGTGGGAAGGGTCCCGGGGCACCCCAGGCCGCCGCGATGGGCCCAGCCGCTTTCCGTAAGCGCTAATGCCTGGTACTCTGTCAGTGTCCACTGCTGTGGTTCTTCCTTGGAGACAGGGATTCGGGTGGATGTTGAAGTAACAACCCGAGACTATACGTTTGGAAGTTTGAACGGATCGGGTTAAGGGGGTGGCTGGGTGCTTATGAAATGCGTGGTTGTGGTTTTCGGTGGTGGAGGCTTCGAGTGCATCAATTCTGATGACTTCACACTAACTCAGAAGGTGAGCGTTGGCTCTGTACAGGTGGAGCCGTTCTGCTTGCCGTGAGTCACAAAGCAGGGCACAGCGAGGATTCCAGCTTGTCCGGGTCCTAGCCCTGGCTTCCTTTGTTCCCGTCACACGGCTCGCGTGTGTTGAGCCCCTGTGTGGCCGCAGTTTGCTGGGTCCTCATTCGCGTGATTTTACTTGCTCCAATGGAAATCAGAGATAGTCTTGTTTGATTTTTATAGTTTGACGTCTGGACTGTTGGCTAAATAAATAACGAAACTTAACCTGAGGATTGTTCTGTTCTTGAGGACAGGGTTATGTCAACTGGCATGAAGACATCGAAGCATCTAGTGACAGCAGCATTTGCTGCTGCTGATTTATTTATTTAAATTGGAGTGCTGTGTTGATGATTTTTTAAAAAAGATTTTATTTATTTGAAAGGCAGAGTTAGAGGAAGAGAGAGAGATCGCCCATCTGCTGGTTTGTTCCCCCAAATGGCCGCAATGGCCAAGGCTGTGCCAGGCTGATACCAGAAGCTTATTTCGGGTCTCCCACGTAGGTGCAGGGGCGCAGAGACTTGGGCCATCTTCCACTGCTTTCCCAGGCACACTAGCAGGGGTCCGGATTGGAAGTAGAGCAGCCAGGACTCGAACCGGCACCCATATGGGATGCCAGCACTGCAGGCTGCGGCTTAACCCTCTACGCCACAGTGCTGGCCCCTTTGTGGATGAGTAAGGTAAATCTTGACATGACACTTACATGTAACCATTCAGAATTCTGATTCTAAATTCAGTTCCTTTGACACTTGATTCTAAAGACTTTCATGACTGAGAAAAGATACCTGTGCCGATGCATACATCCTGATGGAATAATTACTTCATTGGCTACCTTACTAACGTTTCAGTCCTTAACTGTCAGTTATGTGGAGTGTGAAGTCGGCAATCACGTTGCCTTTTCTGATCTCAGTTGCTTATTTTTGCAAATTAATAAAACCTATTTTTAAAAGTTGTCGAGCAGACTTTTAGGTTGGTCGGGATAGTCTCCATGTGTTCAGATGTTTTGTAACCTCTGTAGATAATGATTGTAGGAAAAACTGACAGTGTTTTCAGTAGACACTGTTTCCAGCAACAAATTCAAGGAGCAACCTTGCCAAATACAGTTCCAAATCCATTTCCAAATGCAGGCTTTCAAAATGTTCTCCTCCTAGTCCAAGCAGTTACTTTCTTACTCTTTATTAAAGTGTATCTTTATTTTGAAAAGGCAGATTAAGTGTGTTTTGTTTTATTTTGGGGGATATCTGCCAGGTAGCATGTACTACTGATAGTTATTTTTGTCATCACATTCATTGTTGGGACTTCTGAGACTTTTCTCTATGTAAAAGGAAAACAATTGTCTCTAAATTTAACTCTTAACTACTTGGCTATCAAAAATCAGGAAACCAGAATGTTTTTGTCATGCATTGTCTCTCAACAAAGCTGTTGCTGAAAGACCTGGTTTTACTGTGCAGAGGGCACAGGGAGGGAAGCTCCGGTGTGCTGAAATGGGGTGTCTGGCTGAGAGCACCATTCTGACTCCTGCTCTGTGTAACTGCTCGTCATCTCTGTGTACCAGTCCCCATACAGGAACAGCCTGAATGAGGATGCCAGGGCCTATACATATACATGGCCTTTTTTTTCCCCCCATAGGTTTATTTACTTATTTGGAAGTCAAGTCACAATTACAGAGAGAGAGAGATTTTCCATCTGCTGGTTCACTCCCCTGATAGCTGCAACAGCCAGGCCTGGGCCAGGCCGAAGCCAGGAGCCAGGAGCTTCTTCTGGGTCTCCCATGTGGGTGTCAGGGGCCCAGATACTTGGACCATCTTCCGCTGCTTTTACCACGCAGTTAGTAGAGAGCTGAGCCGGAAGTGAGTAGCTGGGACACAAACCGGCACCCGTATGGCAGTACTAACGTTTCCTTTTTACCACAAGATTGAGTAACTTGCTCAGGCTTAGTATTAGTGACCAGCGTGGCAAGATTTGAAGCCCAAGGTCTTCCCAGCTCCTGTATTCATTTTGTACACTGCTCTGCCTTAAAAGACTGAAGAAACCTGAGCTGGACAGACAGCACTGGGTTCACCTAGGAATTTGCTAACACGCGGACTTGTGGTTTTGGTTCTAGAAATCAGCAATGTGTGTTCTCTTTAAGAGATTCTGATGCATGTGGCCCTTGACTGCATTTTGTAAACCACTCGTAATAGAGGGATGGAGTTTTTCATAGAATTTTCAAAGCTTGTTGTAGAAGCCAACTCTCAGCTCCAGAACTACATTTTTGAGTTATGGTATGTTAGCACATGATTTTACATAGCGTCCTGCAAAATCTTCTATTGTGAGTACATATTTATCTTTATAGTTTTTTCCTACAGTGATTAAAGACTTTTTGCAAATTACTTAAATTTTTTGATCCTTGTGTGTCTGATCTGAAAAATGGGCACAAACATACCTAATTCAGAGGGCTATAGTGACGACTTACTGCAATAACATAATTATTAAATAGAATATAGTGTCCTGTGTGTAGTAGGTGCTAATTAAATGCTAATATAACTCAGCTCTTGCAATTTTTTCTGCTCTATTTGTATCTCTCCTTGAGTTCTTTTTTTTTTTTAAAGATTTATTTTATTTATTTGAAAGAGTTACAGAGAGAAGTAGAGACATAGAGAGAGGTCTTCCATCTGTTGGTTCACTCCCCAGATGGCCGCAACGGCCGGAGCTGCACCAATCCGAAGCCAGGAGCCAGGAACCAGGACTTCTTCCGGGTCTCCCATGTGAGTGCAAGGGCCCAAGGATTTGGGCCATCTTCTACTGCTTTCCCCAGGCCATAGCAGAGAGCTGGATTGGAAGTGGAATAGCCGGGTCTCAAACCCAGCGCCAGTATGGGATGCCAGCGCCTCAGGCCGGGGCGCTAACCCACTGTGCCACAGTGCTGGCCCCTCTCCTTGAGTTCTGATGCCTTCGTTTAATTAATAATGGTGTGTCTCAGCCTGTGGCGCCAGCATCCCATATGGGCACTGGTTCCTGCCCAACGCTGTGGCATAGTGGGCTGTCTCTGCCTGTGGTCCCAGCATCCCAGATGAGTACTAGTTTGTGCCCCGGCTGCTCCTCTTCTGATCTCTGCTAATGGCCTGGGAAAGCAGTGGAAGATGGCCCAAGTACTTGGACCCCTGCACTCGTGTGGGAGACCCAGAAGAAGCTCCTGGCTTCGGATCGGCCCTACTCTGGCCGTTGAGGCCATTTGCGGAGTGAACCCCCAGATGGAAGACCCTCCTGTCTCTCCCTCTCTCTGTCTGTAACTCTACCTCTCAAATAAATAAATAAATCTTAAAAAACAAGAGATCATTATCCATTTAAAAGTGCATGACCAAGCACCCCATTGATTGTTGGAAGTTTAACATTGGATGTTTTTCCATTGGACTCATGTCCATTCTATTTCCTCTGTACTATTCTATATTTTTATATATTTTTTGCTTGTCTTTATTGATCATGCAGTCAGTTCTCTGCAGTTAAGACATTTACACAGAGGTGGGCATTTGTACAGAGGGTGAGATCCTGTTTGGGGGCCTGCATCCTGTATCAGAGTGCCTGGGTTCACGTCTCAGCTCGACTTCCAATCCCAGTTTCTAATGTCACCCTGCAAGGCAGCAAGAGATGGCCCAAGTACTTGGGTCTCTGCCACCCACATGGAAGATCCAAACTGAGTCCTGGGCTCCTGGCTTTTGCCTGGCTGAGCGCTATCTATTGCAGGCATTAGGGGAATGAACCACTGCATGGAAGCGTGTGTGCTCGTAGGCTGTGTGTGTGTGTGTGTGTGTGCGTGCCCACATGTGTGTATCTATGCCTGTTGCTCTGCCTTTCAAATAAATGAAAGATTAAAAGAAAAAGACATTTATATCATTGAAACCATCACATTAAAAATTTCTTGTGGGACTGGTGCTGTGGCATAGTGAGTGGGCAGGGTTGCCATCTGTGGTGCCAGCATCCCATGTGGGTGTTAAGAATTTTTTTCTAGATTATGTTGTTGTTACAATCATTGTAAGTATGCAGTTGATCAAAACAATATAAACACATGTATCCTTTTTTTTTTTTTTTTTAAGATTCATTTATTTATTAGAAAGGCAGAGTTAAAGAGAAGGAGAGAGTTAGGCCGGCACCGCGGCTCACTAGGCTAATCCTCCGCCTTGTGGTGCTGGCACACCGGGTTCTAGTCCCGGTTGGGGCGCCGGATTCTGTCCCGGTTGCCCTCTTCCAGGCCAGCTCTCTGCTGTGGCCCGGGAATGCAGTGGAGGATGGCCCAGGTCCTTGGGCCCTGCACCCCATGGGAGACCAGGATAAATACCTGGCTCCTGCCATCGGATCATAACGGTGTGCCAGCCGCAGCGCGCCAGCCGCGGTGGCCATTGGAGGGTGAACCAACGGCAAAGGACGACCTTTCTCTCTGTCTCTCTCTCTCACTGTCCACTCTGCCTGTCCAAAAAAAAAAAAAAGAAGAGAAGGACAGTCTTCCATCTGCAGATTCACTCTCCAAATGACTGCAACACCAGGGCTTGGCCAAGCTGAAGCCAGGAGCCAGGAGCTTCTTCCAGGTCTCCCAGTTGGGTGCTGGGGCCCAAATACCTGGGCCATCCTCCACTTCTTTCCCAGGAGCTTTAGCAGGGCGCTGGATTGGAAGTGGAACAGCCGGGACTTAAACTGGTACCCACAGGAGATGCCACTGCTGCAGGCTGTTTCTTAATCTGCTGCACCACAGCGCTGGCCCCAACATGTACATTTTGATCATAAAACATAATAACTTTTATTGGAAATAAATTTCTTAATGATATGGATGGGTTGTTTTCCCCTCATGCATCTATAGATAAATAAACTTAACTGAAATTCATTAGGGCTCAGCACACGTTTGTTTTCAATTTTACAAATAGATGCAAGCTTGAGAAATGCTAACGTCATAAAGGGGAAGATGAGAATGGAAGGATTTTGCAGTAACAAAACCACTGATGTGAATTTCTGTGTTGTGCCGAAATAAAAAACATCTGTGAGATAGGAAAAGACCAGAAAATATGCTGATAACCTTGCCTGGAGGTTTTTGTGCCTTCGGACTGTACAGGGGGTAGGGGGTTGGGAAGGAAAAAAGAAATGGCTTTTTTGACTAAATGGGAGGACAGAAGTTGTACAGAGACTAGGGGACAGGAGACCCGACCACTGTGCTTGCTTCTCTCAGTTTAGGAAAAGCTACATTTCCAAACATCTGGATGTTTATGCCTTAGAGCCATCTATGTCTTTATACTCCGTGGAAAGTCTTTAGGATACAAATACCTCAGTGTGAAGGAAACTTTTTTTTTTAAAAGACTTATTTATTTATTTGGAATGCAGAATAACAGAGAGGAAGAGACAGAGACGTCTTTGATCTGCTGGTTCACTCCCCAGATGGCCCTGACGGGTGGATCTGGGCCCAGCTGGAGCCAGCATCCAGGAACTCAACATGCTAGTCTCCCACCTAGGTGTTAGGAGCCCGAGTACTTGGGCCGTGTTCTGATGCCTTCCTCGGGCACATTGGCAGGGAGCTGGATCGGAAGTGGAGCAGCCAGGACTAGAACAGGGTGTCATAAGGTGCTGCTTAACCCACTGCACCACGTCTGTGACCGCAAGAAAGCCTTTTAAAAATAGGATCTCTGATTATAAAACAGGAGCCAATCCAAAATGCACTGTTTGTGTTAGGGAGTAGACGAAGATCTGCAACTTTGCATATAGTACCTTACTTATAAGCTGGCATTTGATAAAAAGTACATGATAAGTGGAAAAAGAAATCAGATAATTGTCCTTCTTTCTGTCGCAGTCTGATTGGGATTTTAGTGCCCTTGACTTCTCGTCTCGACTTTCTGGGACATTGTGCTCTGTCGGACTTGCTTGCATTTCTCTGCTTTTCTCTGTGGTGTACTTTGCAAGCTCCTTTTTCTTAACCCATTTTTTAAAAAAGATATTTATTTATTTATTTGAAAGGCAGAGTTACAGAGAGGCAGACAGAGAGATCGATCTTCCATCCACTGGGTCACTCCCCAGATGGCCGCAACGGCTGGGGCTGGGCCGATCCGAAGCCAGGAGCCAGGAGCTTTCTCCAGGTCTCCTGTGTGGGTGCAGGGGCCCAAGGACTTGGTCCATCTTCTACTGCTTTCCCAGGCCATGGCAGAGAGCTGGATCGGAAGTGGAGCAGCTGGGACTTGATGCTGGCACTGGAGGCCACGGCTCTACCCACTACGCCACAGCACCAGCACCGTTAATACATGTTTTCAATGTTGATGTTTCTTAGGGCTCTGTCTGAGGTCTCCTGCCATTCTGTGTTGCAAGTCCCCAGAGGCTGTCCTGGCCTCTGTTGTGTCAGTTACTCTCTCTGGTTAGTTAATTTGAGAGAGAGAGCAGCAAGCGAGCGCATGGGGCGAGAGCACTCCCCCATCCACCTGTTCACTTCCTAAATGCCTTCAGTGACTGAGGCTGGGCTGGGGCTGAAGCCAGAAACCAGGTCACCCACATTAGTAGAAGAAACCCAGTCACCTAAGCCAGCCCTGCTGTCGCCCACGGTCTGCATTAGCAAGAAGCTGGAGTCAGGAGTCCCAGCCTGGCATCCAGCCCAGGTGCTGCAGGGTGGGATGTGGGCCGCCCGAGCACAGGCCAGGACCTGCCCCTGCTCTGTGCCTGTCTGCAGCCATAGCCCAGATGGCTCTTCGGAGCCCTAGATGAAAATACCCAGTTTTGCTTTTTTCCAGTTCATTCTCTACATGGCAGCAGGGGAGCCTCACTAAAAGTTTGAATCTCATGTGGTGCCCTTGCCTGAAGTTCTCCCATTGCTCTCAAGGTGTATGGCTGATTCTTCAATGTCAAGTACAGGCTCTTTGGATCCTACTGTCTCTCAGTCTTCTTAGCCTTATTTCTGGCTCTTCTGCCTATGCTGCATTTCTTTTTCAAATACTCATATCTCAAACGTGTGCTTCTCCGTCCTGGTCACTTTACCTGGTGAACTGCTTTTCAGTTGTGTGGTCTGAGCTTAAAACAACACTTCCTCAGATCCCTGCCTTGAATCTCCAGCTAGGTTCTATCACGAGCTCAAATAGCACAGCGTGTTTCCTCGGTTGTACAGCTCACTACACTTTAATTACCTGTGCCTTTCACGTCACTTCTCCTGTAAGCATAATGTGAACCGGACTCAACCTTGTGGTGGCTCTGCTCTCTTTACCCCTTGTGCCTGACACAGAGCGTGTGCACATTCGATGTCTCCGAATTAGTTAATGCATTTGTGTTCTTGGTGCTGTGATCTCAGAGTGAACTCTGTTGTTCTCTGTAGAGCCTCAATGAAATCTTGGAGTCGGCTGATGCGCCTTTAGAAGTCACAGAAGGATTCATCCAGTCCATCTCTCTGTCGGTGCCATGGGGCTCCTTGCTGCAGGATAACTGTGCCCTGGAAGTGAAGGGCTTAGAGATGGTCTTCCGGCCGAGACCGCGCCTAGGTAGGTGTGTCCCGTGCCTGATTTACTTCATTCTTAATCCTGCGGCGATTGGGAAAGCAGCCCAATTAACATTAAATTCATTTTTGATCTGATGTGTTATCTTGCACTGTACTTGTGAGATTTTTGGTTGGTAAGATATTAGGACTTGGCTCTGTGTAGAATGTCTGTGATCATACACTTAGAGTTTTTTTCTCTATGTTTATTCGTAGGAAGGTTACTCTATAGATGATTTGGTGTGTGCAGGTAGCTGATACCTTGTGTTTTTAAAGATTCAGAGTATTGTGCCAGAAGCAAGGAGGAATGCTTCAGAACTAGGGGGGTAATGTTAAAGGGACAAAGCACTGGGCTTGAAAGGGCTCACGCTGGACAGGTCAGATGGTTTGAATCTAAAAAGGATGACAACAGTCATGAATCATCAACATTCCAGAAAAACCCTCATTCCATACTGATATGGATACATAGGCATCTACGGGGGCAGGGAGAAGGGAATTCTCTTTATAGTAGAATACCTACTTGTAGGGAAAAGACTGGCAGACAGTTATATGGAATTGAAAAAGTTAGGTTACTGGAAACCGGGCACCCTGATAGATAATATGGACATTTTTTTTTTTTTTAAGATTTATTTATTTGAGAGGTGGAATTACAGAGAGAGATAAGGAGAGACAGAGAGAGAGAGAGAGAGAGAGAGATCTGTTATCTACTGGTTCACTCCCCAAATGGCCACAATGACCAGGGCTGGGCCAGGCCAGAGCCAGGAGCTTCATCTGGGTCTCCCACAAGGGCGCAGGGGCCCAAGCACTTTGGCTATCCTCTGCTGCTTTCCCAGGCTCATTAGCAGGGAGCTGGATTGGAAGTGGAGCAGCTGGGGCCCTAACTGGTGCCCATATGGGATGCCAGTGCTGCAGCCTGCGGCTTTAAGCCACTGAGTCACAGCACTGACCCCGATATGGGCATCTTAGCCACTGGGCCAAACGCCTGCCCCGAAACACCAAAACTTACACTATGCTTAATAGAATTATAGTAATTTATATTTTGAATATTGATAATACATGCTTGGGAATTCTTTTTAATAATCTGGTATTTAATTTACAAGAATATATTATATATTTCAAAAAAGATTTATTTATTATTTATTTGAAAGGCAGAGTTACAGAGAGGCAGAGGTCTTCCATCCACTGGTTCACTCCCCAGATGGCCGCAGCGGCCAGAGCTGTGCTGATCTGAAGCCAGGAGTCAGGAGCTTCTTCTGGGTTTCCCATGCAGGTGCAGGGGCCCACGGATTTGGGCCATCTTCCATTGCTTTCTGAGACCATAGCAGAGAGCTGGATTGGAAGTGGAGCAACTGAGTCTCAAACCAGCGCTGCAGGCGCTGACTCCAATAATATATTATCTTTTAACCACTATGGATAGACATGCTTTCCTGTGGAAAAGTCAAACTTTAAAATTTTTCCACTTGTTTTTTAAGATTTATTTATTTGAGAGGCACAGTTACAGAGAGAGGGAGAGACAAAGAGGTCTTCCACTGTTGGTTCACTCCCCAAATGGCCGCAATGGCCAGAGTTGAACCGATGTAACTCCAGGAGCCTGGAGCTTCTTCCTAGTCTCCCACGTGGGTTCAGGAAACCTAAACCATGGCTTTCCCAGGCCATTAGCAGGGAGCCTGATTGGAAGTGGAGCAGCCAGGACTTGAACCGGTGCGTATATGTGATGTCAGTGTTGCAGGTGGAAGCATAACCTACTATGCCACAGCATCAGCCACAAAATTTTTTCTCTTTTAAAATATTCCATCAGATGGGCTTTTGAACTCCATTTTGGAAGGGAATAATTCTAGTAATCTCTATCATTTTGTTTTGAAAAAGATAAGAACATGTGGTTGAATTTTCTTACGAGGTAAGACATGGAAAAAATTTTTTGCAGTTCATGTGTTTCTTCCTCCAGGAATGCTCATCTATTTTATCTGCGTTTATGCTAGTTTCCAAATCCTATGTCTCCTGCTACCTCTGCCACATTTCTTGTTAATTCCTTCCACTAGAAGAATTAAACTCTTCTTTTAGCTTCGTAATGTTTTTTGTTGACATTCAGTAGTTGACTACTACTTTTTTTTAAGATTTTATTTATTTGTTTAAGAGGTAGAGTTACAGACAGACAGACAGAGGGACAGAGAGAAAAGTCTTCCATCCACTGGTTCACTCCTCAGATGCCTGCAACGGCCAGAGGTGGGCTGATCTGATCTTTTAGGTCTCCCACATGGGTGCAGGGGCTCAAGCACTTAGGCCATTCTCTGTTGCTTTTCCAAGCATGTTAGCAGGGAGCTGGATTGGAAGCTGAGCATGCAGGGCTCTAACTGGCACTCCTATGGGATGCCAGCATCAGAGATGGTGGCTTTACCCACCATGCCACAATGCCTGTGCCACTTATTTATTCTTTACATCTGCTTTTGCACTGGAGTTGGAGAGTTGATTGTTTGTGATGTGGACCATATGGCCTACAAAGTCCAAAATATTAACTGTCTGACTTTGTGTAGAAAGTATCTGCTGACTCTTGCTGTATCATATTTAGAATAGAACCATGCATGTGGAAAATGCCTATTAATACTTGTTGAATGAGTACATGTAGTAATATTCAGTAAAAATATAATGTAAGGAGAATACTGGACTTTTTTTTGTGATCTGTGGTTTTTTTTTTTTTTTTTTCTCGGTTATTATAGGTGATTCTTAAAACTCAAGAGTCATTTCTAGGATATTGTTTCTATGGGTGGCACCATAATGGTAAAAGTCTTATAGGGATTAATAATTTATGTTTGAAAGATGTTGTTTTGAGAAATCGCAACTCTGAGAAGTCGTTTAGGATTAATCTTTAATTTCTGCAGCAACTGGTTCTGAGCCCATGTATTGGTCAAGTTTCATGACCAGCAGTATGCAGTTGGCAAAAGAATGTCTCAGCCAGAAACTAACTGATGAACAAGGAGAAGGATCCCAGCCCTTTGAAGGACTTGAGAAGTTTGCTGAAACCATTGAAACAGGTTTGACTCTATTGAGCATTTTCAAAATTTAAGATCTTATTTAATAACTTAGTACTTTTATTCAACAAAATTGCTTGTTTAAGGCAAGTCCATTGGGGGTGATTTTTTTTTTTATAGAAAACTTTCATTTAATATAAATTTCAAAGATACAACTTTGGGAGTATAGCGGTTCTTCCCCCCATAACCACCCTCCCACCAGCAAACCATCTCATCTCCTACTCCCTCTCCCATCCCATTCTTCATTAAGATTCATTTTTAATTATATTTATATACAGAAGATCAACTTATACTAAGTAAAGATTTCAACAGTTTGCACCCACACAGACACACAAAGTATAAAGTACTGTTTGAGTACTAGTTTTACCGTTAATTCACATAGTACAGCACATTAAGGACAGAGATGCTACATGGGGAGTAAGTGCACAGTGACTCCTGGTGTTGATTTAACAATTGACACTCTTATTTATGACGTCAGTAATCACCCGAGGCTCTTGTCATGAGCTGCCAAGGCTATGGAAGCCTCTTGAGTTCACAGACTCCAACCTTATTTAGACAAGGCCATAATCAAAGTGGAAGTTTTCTCCTCCCTTCAGAGAAAGGTACCTACCTCCTTCTTTGATGGCCCCTTCTTTCCACTGGGATCTCACTCACAGAGATCTTTAATTTAGGTCATTTTTTGCCACAGTGTCTTGGCTTTCCATGCCTGAAATGCTCTTATGGGCTTTTTAGCCGGATCTGAATGCCTTAAGGGCTGATTCTGAGGCCAGAGTGCTGTTTAGGGCATTTGTCATTCAAGAAGTCTGCTGTGTATCCAGTTTGCATTGTGGTGATTTCTGAAAAAATTGCTGTTCTCACTTCAGAAGTTTAGAATTGGAGTTATTATAAACATTGAATTTAATTGCAAATTTCTTCTGTATCCTAGTTTCTCTTTTGTTTTATTTATTATCAAGGGATTAGACTTTAACAGTTAGCTTTAATCTTTTTTTTTTTTAAGATTTATTTATTTATTTGAAAGTCAGATTTACAGAGAGAGAGAAGGAGAGGCAAAGAGAGAGAGGTCTTTTATCCACTGGTTTACTCCCCAATTGGCCACAACAGCCAGAGCTGCGCTGATCCGAAGCCAGGAGTCAGGAGCTTCTTCTAGGTCTCCCATGCTGGTGCAGGGAACCAAGGACTTGAGCTATCTTCCACTGCTTTCCCAGGCCGTATCAGAGAGCTGGATCAGAAGTGGAACAGCCGAGTCTTGAACTGGTGTCCACATGGGATGCCGGCATTGCAGGCGGCGTTTTTATTTGCTGTGCCACAGCAATGGCCCCAGTTAGTTTCAATCTTTACTCTAATTGTGTGTTGAATGGGGAAGTGCTCAGTGAGGCAAACTATTTATTGCAAAACTCAGAATTTGGGGGTTTTAAAGGAAAGAAGTTTGGTTTCTTTGTTTTGTAAGTGCTTATCAAACTTATTAGTTTGATCATTAGTTTCCTTAATAGGATTTACTTCTTTAGAAGTTTTTACTTTGTATAGTCTCTTACACTGATGATTATGTTTTCAATCTAGTACTAAGAAGAGTGAAAGTCACTTTTATAGACACTGTTTTGAGAATTGAACATGTGCCAGAAAATTCTAAAACTGGAACTGCACTTGAAATTCGAATAGAAAGGTAAGAATTCTTATCTCTAAAACAGATGACACTATTGTAACTGTCACATTATTATTATTATTATTTAATTCATTTGACAGGTAGAGTTATAGACAGTGAGAGACAGAAAGAAAGGTCTTCCCTCCATAGGCTCACTCCCCAAATGGCTGCTACGGCCGGTGCTGCGCTGATCTGAAGCCAGGAGCCAGGTGCTTCTTCCTGGTCTCCCATGTGGGTGCAGGGGCCCAAGCACTCAGACCATCCTCCACTGCCCTCCCGGGCCACAGCAGAGAGCTGGACTGGAAGAGGAGCAACCGAGAGTAGAACCCGGAGCCCATATGGGATGCTGGTGCTGCGGGCAGGGGATTAACCAAGTGAACTACGGCGCCAGCCCCGTAACTGTCACATTAAATTTCAGGGTGCTTTTGGAGATTTGAGGTGATAATATTACATTAAACTATTACATATTTGAGAGTAAAGTGCTTCTCTCCAAGTTACAATATTATAATTCCATTATTGAGAACTTAAAATATCAGTTGGGGTGTAATTATATATAATACTATGTTGAATTCAAAGCAACAACTCCTCTTTTAATTAATACCAAATAGTAAGTAATTGAGGGCTGCTGCATTTAAGGCTCTCCCAGTGGAGGGCTCCATTAATGTGAGTGCTGTTTGCTTCGCTGTGCTTCATCTGAGGGCTGCTTTAGTGCAGAAGGCTGAGGCCACTGCTTCAGGAGAGGATTCTGTTAGGGTTAAGGTCAATACCTGCAATAGTGACTTACATAAAAAGACAAATAATGATGCTTTTCTTTTTGTGCGTGTCACTTGGCACCCTAAAAATTGTTCTAAACCAGGGATTCACTGACGTATGCGTACCTGCACGCTGTTGTGAGGTGGAAACTGTTCAGGATGCCGAATGAACTGCAGACTGAAAGGAGCAGGGTGAAGTGCAGGCGCTGAGCACCAGACATACTTTGTATTAGAATCTGCTAGGGCTCTGGGCCAAACTTTAAGCAGATATGTTACGGTTTTAGTCTCAAAATAGTCTCAAAATGGATCTGTCCGTAAGAGTTATTGTTGTTGTTTTTTTTAAAGATTTATTTATTCATTTGAAAGTCAGAGTTACACAGAGAGAGAAGGAGAAGCAGAAAGAGAGCGAGCGAGGTCTTCCATCCGCTGGTTCACACCTCATTTGGCCTCAATGGCTGGGGCAGTGCTGATCCGAAGCCAGGAGCCAGGAGCTTCTTCTGAGTCTTCCATGTGGGTGCAGGGGCTCAAACAGTTAGGCCACCTTCTACTGCTTTCCCAGGCCATAGCAGAGAGCTGGATGAGAGTGGAACAGCTGGTTCTCAAACCGGCGCCAATATGGGATGCTGGCACTGGAGGCAGCAGCTTTACCCACTACGCCACAGCGCCGGCCCCAAGAGTTATGGTTAACAGGTCTTTGATATTACAGTTCATTACCTGAAATGATATATATAGAAAAGACCTAAAATCTCATACATTTAGATCCATATTCTGTATCTCGTTCTGTATCTTTTTAAAACAAGATTAGTTGCATAAGAATTCCAGGTGTGCCATATTATTTTAATTTTTTTTTTTTTTTTTGACAGGCAGAGTGGACAGTGAGAGAGAGAGAGACAGAGAGAAAGGTCTTCCTTTGCCGTTGGTTCACCCTCCAATGGCCGCCGTGGCCGGCGCACCGCGCTGATCTGAAGGCAGGAGCCAGGTGCTTCTCCTGGTCTCCCATGGGGTTGCAGGGCCCAAGCACTTGGGCCATCCTCCACTGCCTTCCCTGGCCACAGCAGAGAGCTGGCCTGGAAGAGGGGCAACCGGGACAGAATCCGGTGCCCCGACCAGGACTAGAACCCGGTGTGCCGGCGCCGCAGGTGGAGGATTAGCCTAGTGAGCCGCGGCACCGGCCCCAGGCATGCCATTCATGTTAGATTGGTGACCTGGAGGCAAATAATATCTCAAGTTTTTTTTTAATTTTTTTATTTTTTTGACAGGCAGAGTGGACAGTGAGAGAGAGAGACAGAGAGAAAGGTCTTCCTTTGCCGTTGGTTCACCCTCCAATGGCCGCCGCGGCTGGCGTGCTGCGGCCGGCGCACCGCGCTGACCCGAAGGCAGGAGCCAGGTGCTTCTCCTGGTCTCCCATGGGGTGCAGGGCCCAAGCACTTGGGCCATCCTCCACTGCACTCCCTGGCCACAGCAGAGAGCTGGCCTGGAAGAGGGCAACCGGGACAGAATCCGGCACCCCAACCGGGACTAGAACCTGGTGTGCTGGCGCCGCAAAGCGGAGGATTAGCCTAGTGAGCCGCGGCGGCGGCTCAATATCTCAGTTTTATGAAGAGGTGTTTTGTGAATTGTTTTCCATGCAGCTACCTTTAAGAAGTTATTTTTTCCCCAAATTGGAGAGCCTTACAAAGTTATCTTTCTTGAAGTTCTGATCTCTTTATGAAACTGTTTTTGCTGTAGTAAGGTCTGGTGATGCTGATCCACCTTCTAGGCATATCCAGTGCTAACGCTGAAAAAATCCTTTAACTGAAAAACCATGTGCATTTCTTATTATTGCAGATAGGTTTTTCAAGGAATTTTATGCAAATGTCCTTTTTGTTTTCAACCTTTAGAACTGTGTACTGTGATGAAACTGCCGATGAATCCTCAGGAATTAATGTACATCAGCCCACAGCTTTTGCTCACAAGTTGCTTCAGCTCTCTGGAGTATCTCTCTTCTGGGATGAGTTTTCTGCATCAGCAAAATCTTCCCCAGTGTGTTCAACAGCACCAGTGGTAAGAAAACCAAAATGGGGAAAAGATGTAATCATAGCTTTTTAAAAGGTGTAAATGAGACCTATTAAATTGTGCTAGGATGTAGAGTATGTATTGATGGGTCTCCATCTTGCTTGGGAGTTCACACAAATATTCTGTAATGAAGTTAGGTATTTCAGAGATTTAAAAACACAACTAATGCCTTTCCTGCCAGTTTGCTTTCTATTAGTGTGATAGAAAAGTGTTGATGACTGTGTCTTGGGGCAAAATGATTTATCAACATCTAATGTCCTTTCACAGTAAAATCAGAGGAAATCCAACTGTGATTATGTTTACCTTTTGAAGCAAATATATCTCACAGATAAAGCAGTCATTCCATAATGCACCTTGTAGGGTAATTCACAAATACAGTATCTGTTAGGTTTTTGTGTTGCTCTAACTTGAACAGTGTAAACATTCACAAAGTCCTTTTCCATGATTTGCCTTTATTATTAATATCCTTTGCTAACGTACTACTGTGTTTCATTTTAGTTGTAAGTTACTGGTTTATTCATGGCAACATAATCCTACAGTTTTGCATGTTAAGTAGTTTATTCTTCTAAAGCCGACATACTTTCTGTTTCGCTGTATTTAAATTATTTTACATAATCACTTGTTCTTATTGCTTTATTGTAGGAATCTGAGCCAAAGTTGTCACCTAGCTGGAACCCCAAAATTGTTTATGAGCCACACCCACAGTTAACTAGAAATTTACCCGAGCTAGCGCCCTCTGACCCAGTGCAGATCGGAGGGCTAATTGGTAGGTTGGAGTTAAGTCTCACCTTGAAACAGAATGAAGTGCTTCCTGGAGCAAAGGTCAGTGTTCTGTTTTATATAAGATTCTTTAATCCACACAGCGACCTGCAGATTGATGGCTTAGATCATCCCCTGACTAGGGTGCCTTCCTTCCTGGAGACATCACTTTTCCTCTCAGTTGGTGCATGTATCCTTACGTTACGAAATTCATGTGAGCTGTATTAATGCGGTGACTTAGATTTTATGAAGCGTTGTCTTCACTCATTCTCCCCCATCCTATAAAAACAAAGTCCCCTTTCTTGTGTGAGGTGTGGTTTCATTAGTTCAGATACCTGGGAACATACTAACTCATCTCTTTCTATTATAAAATTAAGTTCAGAGGAGAAGAGAGCTTGAAAGTAATAGTTTGTAGAAGATATTTAATTATATACATGTGAAATATCTGCTCATCTATATTTGGCATAGAATGCCCATTTTTATAGTTGTATATATATGAAAAGAGTGACTTTTTTCATCATGTCTCGTTTTTTGGAGGACATTGTGTAAAACTCGCTGTGCTTGTTGCTTAGGATATGATTTTGAGCAGTCTGTTAGAGAATTTGGAAACTTGCCTTTATGTGGTCAGTTAGAAATATTATTTGTCAAGTGTTATTTTCATACTTTGAAAACTAACTTTCTATACAATCTCTATAAGAGATAGTTGATATATTCATTTGTTTATTTATTGCTCTCCTAGATGTAGACGTCTGAGTGACTACTGTAGGCTGTCCTCTGTGCAAGTTCTTGGGACAGAGGCTGAGATGAGTGGAATGCGGTCTTGGCTTAAGACACAATCGGGTATAGAAATCGCCTTGGGAACATGGGAGGGACTCCCTAGATAGGCATGACTGTACACAAAAAGGTTTCCAGGGTTGGAGTCTCCAGGAATCCTTCCCTTAATTGGAATACTTGAGGGCTGGAGGAGGAAAGGGACGATGGGCATGAAAACATTCCTGTCTCTAGTCACTCCCTCTCTGTCCTACCTCAGATGGTGGGAGAGTCTTCCATTAGGTCTTGAGCCTTTTCATAAAATATGACAGAATTGTTAAGAGAGCAGGTAGTCGTAGGTATGTGTAAGCCCCAGCAGGGGCTCTGATGCTGTGGTAGTATCTTCGGGAAATAAATGCATCGGTGTCTTTGTGGAATGCACTTATCATTTAAGAAGGAAGACCATAGCAATAACTTTTATAGTTCTGTTTTGATTAATTATATTTAATTCTCAACATTTGTATACCTTAACATTTTTTTAAATGAGAGAGACAAAGATCCTATCTACTGGTTTGTTCTTCAGATGCCCACAGTGGCGGGGGGGGGGGGGGGTAAAGCTGGAGCTGAAGCTCAATGCAAGTTCCCATGTGGTGGCAGGACCTCGACTACTTGACCATAACCATGGCCTTTCAGGTTTGCAGTAGCAGGAAGCTGGTGTCGGGAGCCAGGGTGGGTGTTAAACCCAGGTACTCTGATGGGATGTAAGCATCTTCACTGCTAGGCTCAGCACCTGCCCCAGTGTATCTGTGCTGTTGGTCTCTGTGCAGACTGAAACTTTTGAGCATTAAATGTATCGATTTGCATAAATGCCCGCTCTGTGTTACTGTAGGAGTTGTATATTATAGGTGACAAATGAACAGCTGGAGTATTTGGAGGTACCACCATTCTTGTCTGTACAGTTTTTTTTGGGGGTAATAACTTGAGTATTTGTATAGATTTTACCTGGATTTAGTGAAAACAAGTGCTAAATGAAATAATCCCAGTTCTACCTTGAGAACCTTGCATCTGATAATTTTCGTACAGAGTAGGCACAGGCGGCAGTGACCAGGGACGCCCAGTGTCTTCAGTGTCTTTCGGATGCTCACTAGACTGAAGTCTTCCAATGTTGAGTTCAAAGTGTTACAAAAGGTTGTTATTTTTTTTTTTTTTTTTAGTTCTGGGAGTAGTACCCTCTTGTGTAGTATGTAAGTCTGATGTTTCATGTATTCAGTTTTAGCGTATGTTTTTGGAAATACACTGTTTATGAAAATAAAGGACTGCCTGCCTTGAATTTAGCGGTGTTTTGTTTCAGTTACCATGTTACACTGATCTTTTTGTTTTGTTTTGTTTTCAGTTATGTTCTTTTATATTTTCAGAAGAAAGTAACGTGTACTTTGGATTTTGTGTGCCAACCTCATTATTAGTAAATAATGTGATATTTCTATGAAGATGAGAAATGAAACTGTTGCTCATCCATTTTAATGATGGGCAGAGACTGTTGTGTCAATACTAAACAAATAAGAAACATTAAAAATATGTGACATTTTCCTATTATCCCCAGCCTTAATTCCTTGCTGATTGATGGTCTAGGATGTGAGCAGTCAGTAGAGAGCCCTGAAAAACAAGCAGTCTATGGGCAGAAATGGGAAGCTATGCCACAAAAGGGGTGTGGGCATCGATATGAATTAGTGTTGGTTAGAACCGGGCTCTGGGGCTGTTACATGACCTTATGCAGATCACTTATCTTTGTGAACCTGTTTCCTCTTTAAAATTAGAACATGAATAAGAATTAGGAAATATACATAAAACCACCTTGTATAGTATTCCACTGCTAAGAAAAATATCATAGGATGGGCACTGTGCCCGATTGGTTAAGCTGCTGTTTGCGACACTCACATCTCATCTCAGAGGGCCTGGGTTCTGCCCTGCCTCAGCGTTCTAGCCAGCTTCCTGCTAATGCAGGTGACATCTCAGGTACCTGGATCCCTGCCACCCATGTGGGAGACCAGATTGAGTTCCTGGCCCATGACTGGTCTAGCCTGGCCGTGGGAGAAGTGAACCAGGAGGTGGAAGGTCGATCTCTCCTTGTCTCTCTTTGTTGTTCTGCCTTTCAAAGAAATAAAAATAATTAAATGTACTTAAAATGATAATAATGATTATTGTTATTGGAGAATATATTATATACTTAGTTGGAGAATGGAAATTTCTCAAGTTCACTATGTAATGTATTTTAATTTTCACTTTTATCATCAGAAGCAATTTGTTCTTCTCCTGGGGATGAACCTGTTTTCCAAATGTGAATGTGATTTATGAGCTGAATTACTCAGCACTTGCAAAATGACGTGAAGATAATAGGAGTTAGTGTTAGTAGAATAGAGCTAAGAGGAGGAACATGAAAAGAAAGGCTGGGATATTCAGCTTGGATATTATATAGAGGGCAGTCATTGCTTTTGTCAGTATCCCTCAAAGGAGTCAGGAGAAGAGTGGGATGAGCTTTTATTTCTAGAAGTAAATATGAACAGAGAATTGGGAAAGAGAAACATCATCTGTCTGCATCTCTGCTGTGGCTTCCCCTTGCCCACGAGGAGAGGGCGTGGTGAACAAGCACGCAGTGGCTGGCGAGTGCCCGCAGGTGATCGACGGCATGGCCGGCGGCAGGCTTAGGAAAGCCCGCTGTTTGCCCTGGTTTGAGTGGGGCTGGAAGGATGTGATTTTAAGACTAGAGAGTCAGTGAATATACTGCTACTTTCCCGTTCCTGTTGGACACCAGGTCTTAAAGCCGTTCAAGTATCTTAACTACCCTGAAGACTTAGAGACAGCAGACATTAGACTTGCCGACATGCAGTTTCTTGGGAGGATTTTTCTCTTGTAACAACAGTTTGGCAGCCTTTCAGTGTTTTCATGAACATTGTGATTGGTAGAAAGGATTTTGGGCTAAGGAATTTGAGACTAAAGATTTTGCATTCTATCTCTGTGCTTAAAATATATTGAATTTTAAGGTGATGAGCTTATAAAGCATGCTCACCCTAAATAGTTTTTTTTTTTTGCTTTTTAAGTTGGATGTTGATGGACAGATAGACTCTATTCATCTGTTCCTGTCACCAAGACAGGTGCACTTGCTTTTGGATATGTTAGCAGCTGTTGCTGGACCAGGCAAGTATAAGTCTGTTATTATTATTATTTTAATTTCTTTAAAGTTTTAAATTAAAATATTAAAATACGTAACATATATGTAGGAAAGTCTATTATTTTTTGAGTATATGAAAGTAATATTTTGTAAATAAGAATCTAACTATTTGAATGGGTCCTTTTAATTGTGTTATCATTACACAAATTTGCATTGATATTATTTGTGTCACATTATTGTTCTGACTTATTTCTTGGGCTGGGGGATAGTACTTCATGTAAATGAGAAAGTATTCTCGAACAAAAGTAGGTAGCATACATTTGAAAATACCTTAAATGACTCACATCTGTCAGAGGTAAGATTTTGTGATCCGTGGCTATTGCTTGTAGCTATGCTTAAATCTCTGACTGATATTAGATAATGGTGGTTTTGCACTGACTAGGATGTTAAGTTGCCATTGGTATTGGATAAGAGGGTTTTGGTAGAGAAATAACTTAATTAACTCCAAATTTAATTACTGTTTTGCTTTCCTTTTGTATACTTGTAGAAAATTCTAGCAAAATAGGGTTAGCTAATAAAGATAGGAAAAATCGACCTATGCAGCAGGAAGACGAGTATCGAATTCAGATGGAATTAAACCGGTATTATTTGAGAAAAGATTCCCTCTCTGTGGGTGTATCTTCAGAGCAAAGCTTTTATGAGACAGAAACGGCTCGTACGCCATCTAGCCGTGGTAAGCAATGCAAATGGTTGACACCAGAGTCGTACGTTATCATAACCTTCATTTTGGCATCTGTGGAAAGGAGTTTAGCAGTGAAAGAACCAAAGATCCGTACTCTTAAGAAAACTGTCATTTGTGAGTTTATCTAACCACAGAATTATAGTGATACATCAACACATGATTGCTGTAGTATCATTTTGTTGTGTGGTTTTATTTTGTAAATGATGATTTATTCTTAGGAAAATCATTTTATGAAAATGTAGATTTACATGACAGGTATTAGGACTAATTATTCATTTTGCCAAATTTTTATTCACATAGTAATTTACAGATGATTCCTTTAAATAGGAAGCTTTTCTTTCCATTAGTTCTTATTCTTCCCATCAATCATATGTAAATATGATCTTTACCTAGATTACTTTACAAAAGTGTTTCAGAATGGATAAGGACTAAAACCATAAGTAATAACAAGCAATTTAATTACGGAATGTTAAACCAGATAAAAAACTGAAGCCTGCTCCAGAAATTGTGGCTTTAGAAAACTTGTTTTGTGTGAGGGTAGATAGTCTCCAAAAAGAAGAAGCTGAAATACAAAATTCTGAGTGTTTCCTTTGGCTTTTTAAGAAATAGGTATGCCTATTGAAACCGGAGATTGTAATATATATTACTTTAAAATCTGGATTTTAACTTTTAAGTTGTCAGATGATACTTTAAAAGTATACCATGTAATCCTACATGTCAAATACAAGGGTGCTTCAACGAGTTTATTGGAAATGAAATTAAGAGTTTATTTTGGTGCAAAACATTTTTGAAATTCATGCATAGCTTTCTCATGTATTTTTCAAGAACTTTTTGAAAACTTCATATGTATAAATTCAAATTTTTGCACCATAATAAACTAAATTTTAAAATTCTTTTTGAAGACTGTTTCTATTAAAAAGACCCAGGACATCAGTAGGATAGCTTAACCTTTTGTTAACTCTTGTATTCAGTTGAGTTCTTACTATGTCATTAATAAATTAGATTCAAATAGATTGCCCCATTGGAAGTCATAAAATTTGTGGCGTCACTCTATTCAAATCACCTGAAGGAAGAAATTATGTTAACCTGTATTAACTTATTTAACGACTTGGTGGAATTACAAGATAAGTGACAGGGTTTACTTCTCTCTAGAAGAAGACGTTTTCTTCTCCATGGCTGATATGGACATGTCTCATAGCCTCTCTTCTCTTCCACCCCTTGGGGACCCCCCAACCATGGACCTGGAGTCATCCTTGCCTGGCACTTACACGAACACCCCAGCAGGATCGCCGCTGAGTGCTACTGTGGTAGAGCATTTCATTTTTGTTCAGTCTGGAAAAGTTGCTTCTGAAATTTTGCACTTTATTCATGTGCTTTTAAAAACTGGCTTTGGCTCCTGGCTTCAGATTGGCGCAGCGCGCCGGCTATAGCGGCCATTTGTGGGGTGAACCAATGGAAGAAAGACCTTTCTCTCTGTCTCTCTCTCTCACTGTCCCTAATTCTGCCTATCAAAAAAAAAAAAAAAAGTGTCATTCTGCTTTTCTTTTTCTTCTTCTTCTTCTTCTTTTTTTTTTTTTTTAAAGATTATTTATTTGAGAGGCAGTGTTACAGAGAGAGAGAGGGAGAGACAGTGAGGTCTTCCATCCGCTGCTTCACTCCCCAAATTGCCGCAACAGCCAGAGCCAGGAGTTTCTCCTGATCTCCCATGTGGGTGCAGGGGCCCAAGCACTGGGCCATCCTCCACCGCTTTTCCAGGCCATCAGCTGAGAGCTGGATTGGAAGTGGAGCAGCCAGGACTTGAACCAGTGCCCACATGGGATGCTGGCACTGCAGGTGGAGGCTTAACCTACTGCACCTCAGCACTGGCCCCCGTTCTGCTTCTTTTCTTTCCCATCCTTTTTTTGAGGGGGAGTGGGGTTGGGTTAGGTCATTTAACAAGGTCATTTAACAAAGTCTGGAAAGAAAAATGAAGCATTGTTGAACAGTTTCCTGAGAGGTGTTTTTATAATAGTAGCTCATTTATTGAATTTAAATACATAAATATTGAAGTGGGAAAGTATACCACTAGTTTCTTATGATCATTAATGTCGTTTAGTTGTCTCAGTTTTTGTATTACTATTTATGTATCTTTTGAAAGAGAACCTCAGCTTTCTTTCATCTATGCAAAATTTGATTGAAATAAACACAGGGCTTAGAGGAAAATTTGGTGAACAACTTTTGATTAATGTTTATTTGTCCAATATGGTTTTATTAATGCAAAAGCTTTGTTCATATGTAACATACTCTTATATACTTCAGATATCAAGGATCGTGGATAAAACATGCAGTAAGATAACAGTTTATTTTGCTTTAATTATTTAATATTCAAAACTATTGTGAGATCACCTGTTTTTTAAAGCTAGTGCATGAGTAAATTTTGGTATGTAGATGAGTCTTAAGTATTAAAGTTTGTGACTATATACTTACCACATGTTTTTCAGCTCTTCCTTCAAGGTCTGTTTCGGTGGACGAATCCAGGCCTGAGCTTATTTTCAGACTGGCTGTGGGAGCTCTCTCAGTCTCTGTGCTTCACATTGATCCTCTGTCTCCACCGGAGACGGCCTCGAAGCTTAACCCCTTGACATCCATGGCGATAGCTTTCTTCACTTGTATAGAGAAGATCGATCCAGAAGGATTTTCAACAGAGGACTTTAAGTCCTTCCGGGCAGTGTTTGCAGAAGCTTGCTCACACGATCACCTTCGGTAAACTTTAGATTTATTCGTAGTCCTTGAGAAAGAACTAGTTGTAGGCTTTGATCTTCCTCTGCCTATCTACTTTTATTTTCTGATTCACATTTTATTTGTAAATGAGTAGAATGAGTGAGCGTTTCTTGCAGTGCTACAGAGACGTTTAGTTTGTCTCATTCATGGTGTTTGGCACACAAAAAGTTCAGATATAAGCTGGGATAGTCTTACAAAATCATCTCTTCAGCGCCTTGCCTTGCTGGTCATACTGGTTTTACCACATTTTGCCATCATTGCTACTGACACCATTGATCATGAAAGTGGTTCTTACCGCCTCAGCTTGGATAATGCCTGGCAACTAAGGCTTCAAAAACAAAACCAGAAAGCAGCAAAGCTGTCCAAATAGCCAATGACCTGTTATCATGGCTTGAGTTATAATACGTGAGCTAACTGAATTTGTTAGTACTGTTACCATGCAAATACTGTTTATTTTAATATGAAAATGATCTGTAAATTGTGAGTGATGTGTTAGTTTATATAATGGTTGAGACACATATATCAATTTTTAAAAAATATCTTGGAATTTTATTTTGAACTTTTTTTTAAGTATTAAAATTAGTATCTGGGGGCTGGCACCATGGCGCACTAGGTTAATCCTCTGCCTGCAGCGCTGGCATCCCCTATGTGTGCCAGTTCTAGTCTTGGTTGCTCCTCTTCCAGTCCAGCTCTCTGCTGTGGCCTGGGAAAGCAGTGAAGGATAGCTCAAGGGCTTGGGCCCCTGCACCCGCATGGGAGACCAGGAAGAAACACCTGGTTCCTGGCTTCAGATCGGCGCAGTGCCGGCTGTGGCAGCCATTTGGGGAGTGAACCAACGAAAGGAAGACCTTTCTCTCTGTCTCTCTCACTGTCTGTAACTCTACCTGTCAAATAAATAAATAAATAAATAAAAAATTAGTATCTGAAGTAGTTTTGACACTTGCCAAAAGAAACTGTAGTAATTACAATCAAATGATAAAAACATTTTTCTTCCTATTTTTGACAAGATTTCAAATATGTGCCAGAAGAAAATATGACAAAATCAACAGAAACTAGAGGTAGACTTTACTTGGACCTTACCAACTCAAGTATTAGAAATATTCCGTGATGGTTTAGGTTAATTATAAGAGACTATTTAATTTTAAATATAATTATATAACAAGCTTAAAAGATTTTAGAAGTGGAAGAAGGAAGAGCAGTGTTGGAAATAAATATATTCTGGAAAATTTCCCATTAATAGAACTTAATATTTTATGTCAGGGAGTGGGAAATTTGAATCAGTCTTTCTGGTTGATGTCTTTAGGAGTAATAGTTACTGCTAACAACCTTACTTGTCAAAGTAAGTACGTAATTGTTAGACACTTTTAATACTGTGCACTGTTTTTTTTTTTTTTGATACATTTTTAAATCTAGATTTATGTGGAGTATATGGACACTCTTTAATGCTGTATTTTTAATAATAGGTTTATAGGTACTGGAATCAAAATATCCTATGAACAAAGACAAAGATCAGCTTCCCGTTATTTTAGTACTGATGTTTCCATTGGGCAAATGGAGTTTTTGGAGTGCCTGTTTCCAAGTGATTTTCATTCTGTTCCTCCTCACTATACAGAGGTGAGTATGGATATTTTGACTTTTTAAGAATTGTAAGAGGGGCTGGCGTTGTGGCTTAGCAGATAAAGCTGTTGCCTGCAATTCTGGCATTCCATGTGGATACCAGTTCAAGTCTCAGCTGGTCACTTATGGCCAGCCCTCTGCTGTGGCCAGGGAGTGCAGTGGAGGATGGCCCAGGTGCTTGGGCCCTGCACCCCATGGGAGACCAGGAAAAGCACCTGGCTCCTGGCTCCTGCCATCGGATCAGTGCGGTGCGCCGGCCGCAGCGCGCCGGCCGTGGTGGCCATTGGAGGGTGAACCAACGGCAAAAGGAAGACCTTTTTCTCTGTCTCTCTCTCTCTCACTGTCCACTCTGCCTGTCAAAAAAAAAAAAAAAAAAAGAAATAGCTGACCTTTAAATTATCTTTATTTTTAAGCTTTTGACGTTCCATTCCAAAGAAGGAGCTGACGCCCATGCCCTTGCGTGTCTTCAGCTTCATTACAAGCACTGTGAGACCAGAGGACCCCAGGTGAGAGCTCACTGTGTGGTCACCACCTGCTTGTTCGATGTCTGTTTTGTCACAGTAAGAATTTAGCCCAATTTTTATTGTACTGTTGGTGATTGTTGATGCTTTCTCTCTCTCTCTTTCTCTCTCTTTTTTTTTTGTTTTAAGGGTAGTCAAGCAAGGCTTAGTTCAGTTCCTCAGAAGGCAGAATTACAAATTAAATTAAATCCAGTATGTTGTGAACTGGATATCAGTATTGTGGACAGGTTAAATTCCTTGCTTCAACCACAAAAACTTACTACGGTAGAAATGATGGCATCTCACATGTATACTTCATACAATAAGCATATTAGTCTGGTAAGTATTCAGAAACTTATACTTTTTTTTAGTTTAAGCAATTTACATTTATTTTACCACATTATGTATCAGCCACTATATAAAAGAACAGAAATATTGTTAATATAAGTAAATATTCTAATAATAATATTCCATGTATTTATTTCTCTGTTCCCCCAATTATCTTTAAATAAATAGGACATTGTCTGTGCATCTGTGTAGAACATTCACTACTGTTCTATTTCAATAGAGCACATGGACAGCTTCCTAACATAAGGGCATTTTGCTAATAGCATAAACCATCTTTTTCAAGGTGTTATATAAATTTCTTGGTACCCCTTCTTTACAATATATATTTTATTATCTTTAATTTTTTTCTTTAAAAAGTGCAGTTTATCTTAGAGTATTCAGAAAAACTGGTATACAATTTTCAAATCTACACAAGAAAATGCATGCAAACTAAAGTTAAAAGGATGATAAAATGCCTAATATAATTCTTTGTAAAGCTTTCAGAACAAAACTAAAAAAAAAATGCTAGCTATGCACTTCAAAGTGATTAAATAGGGAGAATTCCATTCTTTGGGCCCTCTTTAGCCATATACAGCGATTCAATTCCAAATATCAGTATTTTAAAAATAATAATTGTAGATATATTTAATAATTACATCATAACCTTAAAGAGGAAAAAATTACATACCATAATTTTCTATGATTTCTGTGATTACTTATTGGATGCTAATTTTATAAAAATATCACAGAACACATCTTACTGTGTCTTATGACCTAGAATTTGGGTAGCTTAGCGACTCAGAATTGAGATGTCCTTAGAATGGCATTATTTGTAATATTGGAAGAATGGAGACATCTTTTGTATCTTGAAGTAGATTAGCTAAATAAAGTTTGAAATATATTAGCTAAATAACATTTTATGCAGCCATTTTGTTTACTATTTAAAGATTTATTCATTTATTTGAAAGGCAGAGTAACAGAGAGGGAGAGACAGAAAGATCAATCTTGCATCTGCTGATTCATTCCCCAGTTGTCTACAACACCCAGGGTTGGGCGGACCTGCAGCACACAGCCAGCCAGCCAGCCAGGAAGTTCATCCTGGCCTCCTCCATGGGTGTAGGGACTGAAACACTGGGTCATCATCAGCTGCTTTCCCATGCACATGAGTAGGAAGCTGGGTTGTAAGCAGAGCAACCAGGACTTAAACTGACACACTGTTACAGGATGCTGGCATCTCAAGTGGTGGTTTAATCTGCTGTGCCACAACACTTGCCCCTCTGCAGCCATTTTAAATGATGACTGTCAAGATAGTGTAGCACCATGGAGAAGGCTCATCAAGGGGTATTAAGTGAAAAAGTAGAATAATTTTCATGTACACTTTTTAAAAAAAAGATGTATTTATTTATTTGAAAGGGTTACAGGGAGCCAGAGGCAGAGAGAGAGAGAGAGACAGAGACAGAGACACACTTCCATCTGCTGGCTTGCTCCCCAGATGACCACAATGGCAGAACGGCACTGATCTGAAGCCAGAAGCCTGGAGCTTCTTCTGGGTCTCCCATGCAGAAAGATGACTTGGGCCATTCTCTGCTGCTTTCCCAGGCCATAGCAGAGAGCTGGATCAGAAGTGGAGCAGCCGGGACTCGAACCGGCGCTCATATGAGATGTAGACATTGTGGGCAGTGGCTTTACCTGCTATGCCACAGCACCGGCCCCTTCATGTACACTTAATAACATTTATGTAGAGGAAAATAATGGGTAGAAATATGCATTTGTTAACATTGATTGTTATAGTGGAGTTTAGCTTCTTTGACTTTTCTGTGTTAATTTCAATTTAAAAAATATGACTATAATCTTCACCTTTTATTCACTCACATTTAATAGACCACCTAAAATGTAGCCCAAAAATACAGAATGCACTTTTGAAAATGCGAAAGTACTACGTTGACTGTCACATTCTGTCACTTTTACTCAGATCTGGCGCTTGTGAACTTTCCTAAGCACATCATGCAGTCAGATTTGCAGGACGTCAGTTAGGAATTTGGGGACTGGAGGGGGCAGTAGGACTGTTAAAACAGAAAAAAATATATTTTTTGCTTTCTCTGTATGAGAATTCACAATAAATTATTAAATAAATTCTTTATTTTCTTCCATCCCCAGTTAGTTACTTTAAATTCTGTAGACTAGTCTTTTTGCTGTTTTCCAGAGATGTATTAGACATGCTGGTTTAATCTCTTGAGCTGTTTTGCCCGAGAGTGAGGATTAGTACTTGAAAGTTAAGCAGGGGAGGTGTGGGATAGATGGTAAGAACCCACGTCTAGAGGCTGGTGTGGGGTCACTGGGTTAAGCTGCCTCCTGCATCACCAACATCCCATTGTGCTCTGGTTTGAGTTCCAGTTGCTGCATTTTTTTTTCTTTTTTTCTTAAAGATGTATTTATTTATTTGAAAGGCAGAATTACAGAAAGAGAGCCAGGGAGAGAGAGAGAGAGAGAGAGATCTTCCATCCACTGGTTCACTCCCCAATGGCCGCAACGGCCGGAGCTGTGCTGATCTGAAGCCAGGAGCCAGGAGCTTCTTCCAGGTCTCCCATGTGCATGCAGGGGCCCAGGGACCTGGGCCATCTTCCACTGCTTTCCCAGGCCACAGCAGAGAGCTGGATCGGAAGTGGAGCAGCCGGGGCTCAAACTGGTACCCATATGAGATGCTGGTGCTTCAGGCGGTGGCTTTACTCTGTGTGCCACAGTGCCGGCCCCCAGTTGCTCCACTTCTGATCCAACTCCCTGCTAATGCTCCTGAGAAAGCAGTGGAGGATGACCCAAATGCTTGGGTCCTTGCTATCCATGTGGGAGACCCAGTTAGAGTTCCAGGCTCCTGGGGCTTCAGGCTGGCCCAGCGCTAGCTGTTGTGGCCATTTGGGGAGTCAACTAGCAGATGGATTATTTCTCTCTCTCTCTCTGCGTCACTCTGCCTTTCAAATGAATAAATAAGTCTTAAAAAAAAAAATCCAAGTCTAGCATAAGAGGGGAACTTTCTAATCTAGGCAATTAGAGACTGATTCAAGAAATTGAGGACTGATAAACCTGCAGTAGACTAAGGCGTTGTTAGTGTCAGTATGTTTGGAGAAAAATTGAAGATGGACTTCTTGGCATGTTCTTTGAGCCTCTTACCATACTTGGCTTTGGATAAGCAGTGCGCACATTTTGGGTACTAAGAGCTATGTAATGAGATCTTACTTTATGTTGGATAGCAACTTGAAGGAAGTTACTTAGACTAATTTATATATTATTCCTTTTCTAGTTTATAGTAAGATGTGTACACATCTATAGTGCTTTTGTCTTTAGATTGGTTTAGTTTTTTTAATATCAAGGTTTAACTTTACTAGCAGTTCTAGCTTCTGCTCATAGTTGTATTAATTAATTAATATGGTTGTAATTAACTTGGTTATAACTTATTATGGTTGTAATTAATTTCAGTTGTATTTTAATGTATTATTTGTACCAAATGGGGAACTAGTGATTGTACATACTGCAGTGTTGAATACGAATGCATTTGTGCTTATTTATATCAATATGTGGGCATATTGTTCATGTTTTGTGTTTTAGCACAAGGCTTTTACTGAAGTATTTCTAGATGACTCACATAATCCTGCAGACTGGCGGATATCGGTGCAAGTCGCCACACCAGCACTGAATCTTTCTGTTCGCTTCCCAATACCTGATCTTCGATCAGATCAAGAGAGAGGCCCGTGGTTTAAGAAGTCTCTTCAGAAGGAGATCCTTCACTTGGCATTCACAGATCTAGAATTTAAGACGGAATTTATAGGAGGATCAGCTCCAGAACAAATTAAATTGGAACTTACCTTTAGAGAACTCTTTGGTAAGACTGATGTGCCTGCGAAAGAAGGAGCCAGACTAGATGCAAACAGCTGCTCCTGCAGCCTGTATCACAGACGTGTGAGACAGCCCGAGCACACAGAGCCGTGTTAGAAAGCAAGAGCACAAAGTGTTTCCTCACTATATGTGGGATTTTTCTCATATGTGATACAGTCAGTCTTTGAAAAACGTACTGTTTTCTGACATAAGCTTGTACGTTTTGTGGGGTACCACGTGATGTTTTGTTACATGTGTATTTTGTGTCAGTTTTTAAGAACTCTTCTAAGCATGGCAGTTTGTTCACTTTGTGTAAAGACTTATTTTCTGCAGGGAAATGTAGTGCTTGGCCTATATTTTTATTACCTACCACGTAACTTGCTCTGGCTGATAGTAGCCAGAAACCACTGAATGCCACTATGAGAAGAAAGATCTTTTCTCTTGGCACTAGAGAAGGCATGCCCCTCAGTAAATGGGTCTTGTTTTATCAGGGTCATTCCAGGAAGAGAAAGGAGAACCATGTGTCCAGTTTCTCCAGGCGTCTAGTGGGGTGGATGGAGATACAGCGTCAGCAGATGACTTTGACTGGCCACGGTGAGTAGGAAGATGTATAGCTCTCATAGAGTTTTCTTTTTAAAAATAAAATGCTTTGGTCCTTTTAACAAACATTTTGGCTACTACATTTATGCCCCAGATGTCTAGCCTTGATGAGAAAATCCAGAGAAAGACAAATCAAATAAAAAATTAATATTGAATGTTACTCTCTGAAAGGTATATGTTAGATATTGTAAGAGGTAGAATGAAATATAAATGTGTTCTTTTTTTAAATATTTATTTTTTATTTTATTTGAAAGGCAGAGGCAGAGAGAGAGAGAGAGATCTTCCATCTGCTGGTTCACTCCCCAAATGGCCACAATGGTTGGAGCTGGGCTGATTTGAAGCCAGGAGCTTCTTCCAGGTCTCCCACATGGGTTCAGTGGCCCGAGGACTTGGGCCATCTTCTACTGCTTTCCCAGGCCATAGCAGAGAGCTGGATTGGAAGTGGAGCAGCCAGGACTTGAACAGGTTGCCATATGGCATGCTGGCACTGCAGGCAGTGGCTTTACCTGCTACCCCACAGTGCTGGCTCCTAAAATGTATTTTTTTATCTTGAGCTATCTAGTCTTTGTAGAGGGACAAGAGAATCTCCTTATTAAAATAACTTCAAGGCTACAGCAGAGGAGGTGTCACAGTGTACCATTGCTAATTGTCAAGTGAATGTTGCAGTCATCGATTGCTTTTGGACAGAATTGTTCAAATCTGGGGAGCACTTACAATGGAATCTTGAGCCCCACCCTGACATTTTGGGATAGGGCCCTGGCGCCAGGTAATTTCACTATTTCTCAAAGCCCAGCTGCTCCAGGATTTCTCAAGCAGAGAAATCATTTCTTAAATTCTATTAGCTTGACGGGGGGCTTGGGTCATATTTAAGAGAACTTCATTTACTTAAAATAAAGATCCATTGTTATATGGAAAATTGAGTATTTGAAGGCTCAGTGATCTTGAAAATGATCCTGTGTGAGGCATTTTCTGCCAGCCTCCTCCTTGGTACGTGTAGACAGGCGTTGGCGATCCGTGCTTGAAAATGAACATGGGTCTTCATGAGAATCGAATGTGCATCCAGGAGGTGTCCTGAAGCACAGTTTACATCAGGATGACTGTACCCCAGAAAGCGGTTTGTGACGGTGCACTAGACAGAGTGGCGCCACCTACTGACCTGGGGTCAGTGTGCATACCACACACCTGTTCGTGCCACATCATAATAATGGAGAATGCAAGGCCTGTGTCAGTGGTGTTCTGCAGAAGATCAGGAAGGGAATGTAACTCTGCTCTTGATCTAAAGTTCATGAGCTTGTGTTGTGGTCAAAGGCTGCCTTAGCTCTGTGGTGCTGAGTTTGCACCTACAAAACAGTAGCAGTTACCCTGTATTATTGAAATTTCTGCAGCAAAAGATAGCATTATTGTCATTCGGTTTTTCATATGTTTTCCACAGAATTTTTAAAGACCTCTCATATGCATGGATTTCGTTTTTATGCACCAAAATAAACTTATCTTTTAATTCCATTTTCCACAAGCTGATTGAAGTCCCTTTGCGTTCCTAATCAGTTTGTCTTTTTTTCCACTTGAACAATTTGTGTAACATGAGACTTCTTAGACAAGTCCTCCATTATAGCAAGAGACTGAGATTTGGTTCAATGATGAAAACTAGAATTCTTGGGTAAAGTTAACTAGCTATCATATTTTATCAGGCTTTCTGTTACTTAACTATAAAATGTTAATGCCTTTATTGCTTTCAGTTCACTGAAGTTACAACATGGTCATAAGTCGTCACGTCAGACCTAAGTAGATTTTGTAGAGAAGTTTAATCCTGATCTTTTTGTTAATTTGCACCCAAGTTGAAGATTTGCCGTCTCTACTTAGCTCTCGATCTTCCTTTCTTGTCTTTGCTATCAGAATAGTATTGAAAATCAGCCCACCTGCCATGCACTCCATTTTGGAGAGAATAGCAGCTGAGGAAGAAGAGGAGCATGATGGTCACTACCAGGAGGAAGAGGAGGGCGGCGCACACTCCCTGAAGGATGTCTGTGATCTGAGGCGACCAGCCCCGTCTCCTTTCTCTTCTCGGAGAGTGATGTTTGAGAACGAGCAGGTAGAATGAAAACGTGGACAAGTAACAAGGGAAACTGTGCCCTCTGTCATGTAGCAGTGGTGTTCTTTATCTTTGAAAAATGCTTTATATTATTTTATATTCTATTATTTTTGCTGGATTTTTAACTCCAGGGTTGGATATCTAATTTTTTTTCTTTATGTGTATTTTCCCTGCTTAAATGTTCTGTGCTTATTTGTTTACTCTGTACCAAGTCCTATGGTGCTTCCACTATTTTAAACATAGGATGGTTATTCGATGCCTTTTTTTGCACTGAACCGTTATGTTTTAGATGGTGATGCCTGGAGACCCTGTAGAAATGACAGAGTTTCAGGACAAAGCGATCAGCAATTCTCACTACGTGCTGGAGCTGACGTTCCCAAACATTCACATGACACTGCCTAATAAAGGCTTTTATGAGAAGCTTTATAATAGGTGAGTGTAAACACATGCAGCTGAACTCTTGGAATCTGGCTTTCTGCCTAGCTGCCTCCCGCCCCTTCCCCCCGGCCCCCCTTCTTGCGTTGCTTTACTCTTTGTCCAGCATCTCCATGTGCTTTGTATGGTGTTGATGGTGACCCTAGAACTATTGCCATTATTGTTTGCTTTGTCATAGCAGGGTTTCTAACCAGGGTGTGGTGTCTGAGTTACTGGTATGTGAGATGCTTATGTCCTCAGTTGGTTTATTGTTTTGTGTCAACTTACTGCACAGCAGTAAATACCACCTTTTCTTTGTGAGAAGTGATATAAAAAGAGTTAGTAGATATCTGTATATAGGCCAGCAGATATTGGAGTAGAATCGGAATCCTAGAGTCAGATGTACAAGGAGAATCTTTTCTCAGAATTCGAAAAGGGATCATGTTGAAATTCTAAATTCTAACTTACAAATTTGTGTTAAGGTATAGGCCAAGGCCTTTTCATTGAGGATGAACCACTAACTGATTGTATTTAGACCTTGTCTCTCTCTCTCTCTCTCTCTCTCTCTTTTTTTTTTTTGTGTGTGTGTGTGTGTGTGTGTGTGTGTGGTGTCATCAATTATACTCAGAAGGCATTGTCTTTAGTTTTTAGTTCTAGATTCTTTAAAGTAGAGTGAAAAAAATTTTCAAAGCATTCAGAGCAGAATGCTTGTAGGTTTTTAAGATTAGTTTTTCACCCCAGCCTGGATACTTGAAATTAATCAGTTATCACAGTATTTAATTAAATTGTACTTAGAATAACATACAAGCAGATTTGAGACCAAACAAAAGTGACCCTTGGTGAATATATGAAGCATGTGACTCCGCTGATGGGAGCAGTTCTCAGGTGTGCGAGAGAGCAGTCCACTGCAGTAAGCAGTTGGCATGCTAGTTGGCGAGGGGTTAACTGGGGAGCTGAGTGCTGAATTCAGGGTGCTTGAATGTCTGCTGACCTGGGCGATTGGTTAAATGGGGAATGTTTGAGAAAATTCCTGTTCCATCTTATTCTGCCCACTTCCCATTCTCTCAGGCCTCTGGAGTTAAATAATTATGGAAGCGTTCCATACAGATGTATATGTATCATATAGATTTCATGTCTAGCTTCCTCAGGATGTGAATTCTTTGTTCCTTATTTGGATTTATATTTTCAAATTAATATTATTTGAAACTTTCTCAGATATTCTTAGAGAAAATTTGCAAATACAGTACAGAGAGCATTCTGCCACCCAGACTATTAGAGATAAGTTGTTGATCTGATGCCCCTTTAACCTTGAGTACCTGAGTATGTATTTCCTACAAACAACAGCATGTTTTTTTTTTTTGAAGATTTATTTATTTATTTGAAAGGCTGAGTTAGAGAAAGAGAGAGAGAGAGAGACTCCATCTGTTGTTTCACTCTCCACATGGTCACAACAGCTAGGGCTGGGCCAGGCCAAAGCCAGGAGCCTGGAGCTTCATCTGGGTCTCCCATGTGGGTGCAGGGGCCCAGGCACTTGGGCCATCTTCTGCTGCTTTCCTAGGCACGTTAGCAGGGAGCTGGCTAGGAAGTGCTGCTGCCGGGTTTTGAACCAGTACTCATATGGGATACCAACATTGCAGGGGTGGCTTTACCCACTATGCCACAATGCTGGTCCCAAGCAACAATATTTTATATAACTTTACTTTAACCACCAAAATCAGGAAATAAATATTTATACTACCATCTGGTTCTCATACCCTCTTCAAGGTCTTCTGAATGTTCTAACAATGGCCTTTTATCCTTTTATTCCCATTAAATCTTTTATTTATGAATAGGCATTATAAACAAATCTTTATAGATTTAAAATACTGGTTTATTCTTTTAGTGTCTTATAGACACAGGATCATGGTGATATGTCTTTTTTTTTTTTTTTTTTTTCTTTTATTTTTGACCGGCAGAATGGACAGTGAGAGAGAGAGACAGAGAGAAAGGGTTTGCCGTTGGTTCACCCTCCAATGGCCGCCGCGGCCGGTGCGCTGCAGCCAGCGCGCCGCGCTGATCCGATGGCAGGAGCCAGGTGCTTCTCCTGGTCTCCCATGGGGTGCAGGGCCCAAGCACTTGGGCCATCCTCCACTGCACTCCCTGGCCACAGCAGAGAGCTGGCCTGGAAGAGGGGCAACCGGGACAGAATCCGGCGCCCCGACTGGGACTAGAACCCGATGTGCCGGTGCCGCAAGGTGGAGGATTAGCCTAGTGAGCCGCGGCGCCAGCGGTGATGTGTCTTTAAATATCTTAAACATAGTTTTATTTTTTGACATTAGAAATATCACGCAATATTTTATAGTATTAATGGTGTCACAGTTGTGTTTAGATCAAAATATAAATAAGAAAAAGAAGTGAAATCTTATGAAACTTATATAGTTCATATGCCACAAACTCCAGGTTTTATTTAAAATAATAGTTTCTCTGAGTCTGGGAAGATGAGAGAATGCTTGTAGGGACTAAGGGGGAGGAACACTCCTGAGCAAACCTTCATCTTCTGCCTTCACCCCCTGTGCATAGGCGTTCAAGCCAAGGCTGACTTTACGCTGCTGAACTGTGCCCGAGGAGCAGCAAGCCGTGCTCCGCAGGCGTCTGGGTGCGGCAGCTTTCTGTCCTGAATCCCTGCTCTCTCTAACACAGTGGTGCTTCCAAGAGGACTCTTGGCTGGGAGTTGCAGATGAGTGCTGGCTCAGCATCCTCCAGGGAGGCCAGGGCTGTGGTTGGTGTCCATGCTGGGCTGTCTGATGAGTCTGTTGGACAGTGCTTCCATGTGAGTCATCCACGTGGCCTTTCCCCTTCAGCTCCCAGTGACTGCTGTGTGACAGCCCTGTGCTGGGCTCAGACAGCTACACAGCCCTTCCCAGGGGCCCCTGTGCTGGGCTCAGACGGCTACACAGCCCTTCCCAGGGTCCCCTGTGCTGGGCTCAGATGGCTACACAGCCCTTCCCAGGGGGCCCTGTGCTGGGCTCAGACGGCTACCCAGCCCCTTCCCAGGGGCTCCTGTGCTGGGCTCAGACGGCTACACAGCCCTTCCCAGGGTCCCCTGTGCTGGGCTCAGACGGCTACCCAGGGGCCCCTGTGCTGGGCTCAGACGGCTACCCAGGGGACCCTGTGCTGGGCTCAGATGGCTACACAGCCCTTCCCAGGGGGCTCTGTGCTGGGCTCAGACGGCTACCCAGGGGCCCCTGTGCTGGGCTCAGACGGCTACCCAGGGGCCCCTGTGCTGGGCTCAGATGGCTACACAGCCCTTCCCAGGGGCCCCTGTGCTGGGCTCAGACGGCTACCCAGGGGCCCCTGTGCTGGGCTCGGACGGCTACACAGCCCTTCCCAGGGGCCCCTGTGCTGGGCTCAGACGGCTACCCAGGGGCCCCTGTGCTGGGCTCAGATGGCTACACAGCCCTTCCCAGGGGCCCCTGTGCTGGGCTCAGACGGCTACCCAGGGGCCCCTGTGCTGGGCTCAGACGGCTACCCAGGGGCCCCTGTGCTGGGCTCAGACGGCTACCCAGGGGCCCCTGTGCTGGGCTCAGATGGCTACACAGCCCTTCCCAGGGGGCCCTGTACTGGGCTCAGACGGCTACCCAGGGGCCCCTGTGCTGGGCTCAGACGGCTACACAGCCCCTTCCCAGGGGCCCCTGTGCTGGGCTCAGACGGCTACACAGCCCTTCCCAGGGGCCCCTGTGCTGGGCTCAGACGGCTACACAGCCCCTTCCCAGGGGCCCCAGTGCTGGACTCACAGAGATGGCTACCCAGCCCCTTCCCAGGGGCCCCTGTGCTGGGCTCAGACGGCTACACAGCCCCTTCCCAGGGGCCCCAGTGCTGGGCTCACACAGAGATGGCTACCCAGCCCCTTCCCAGGGGCCCCTGTGCTGGGCTCAGATAGAGACGACTACACAGCCCCTTCCCAGGGGGCATGCATCTGGGGAGAGAGAAGGAGAGAATACAGCAGTTGGAATAAGGATATGCCTTGGGTCTGAGTCTGACATTGTCAAGTCTGAGTTTTCCTGAAAGCTTAGAGGGGATGAGGGTAGAGGCCAGGACAGATGGGCAGATAGGGCGCCACGGTAGGGCCCCCACCCCTGTGTCGGGTGTCGGGGGACCGGGATCAGAACAGACTGAGTCGCCTGTGCTGTCGTAGCTGGTTGGGAAGGTTTTCCTCATGGCTTCCCTGCTTCCTGCCTTCTTCATTTGATACAGTCTTCCTAGTGGCACAGGTTTTCCTGGAAGAGAGGAAAAGCAGGTGTTCTAGAGAAAAGAGCTGGGCTGGGAATTGAACATAGCCTGCCCTCTCGTTCAGGCTCGTCTACTAATTAGCCATGTGACCTTGGGCAGGTCACTTAACCTTTATGAGCTAGTTCTTAAGGCGCACAGAGAGTAATGGCTGCACTGGGCACCCCCCAGGATCAGTGGGGTGTGTCCCGTGTGGTGATGCCTGGTAAGTTGCAGTTTACGAAGCTCTGTGTAAGCAGTCTTCCTTTTGTTCTTTGTGAATTGTTCTTTTGCATTAGTTTTGTCTTTAAGGTACATTGAGAGGTATGATATGAGTTTGTCGTTTGACGCATATGGCATAGATAAGACAAGGCGGGCGTCCAGTTATCTCACTGTGCAGTTTCCTTTCTTGCTGCTCTGTATTGTGGCCATAGTAGATATTTTTCCTTTGAGAGCACCTAAGTGTTGCTTTGAAAACTTGTTCATAGGATCTGATTTCCACTTTACAATTTGAAGAAAAAAAAAAAAGTCATTGTTGATGTCATCCCTTAAGGAGATCTTTGTTTGCCTCACTGACTGGTCATGTACTTACCCTTCAACCTTGTCTTCATAGGGTCTTTAATGACTTGCTACTGTGGGAACCCACGGCTCCTTCACCGGTAGAGACATTTGAAAATCTTTCCTATGGTGTTGGGCTTTCAGTGGCCAGCCAGCTGATTAATACCTTCAACAAAGATAGTTTTAGTCCATTTAAATCAACAGTTCATTATGGTAATGTATTTTAAATTTCTTTGAATCAAATGCCTAATTTATCAATATATGAAATGATAACCTTTTTAGTGTGGGTTTAAAAATATTTGACTATTTTTCCATATGTAACTCTTTTATAATTTCTTTTAGTTGTTTGCGTTTCCCCATTTCTGTCTGTATATTTATAATATCACTATCACTTAAATATGTTGTCTTTAGCGTGATAATGTACACATTGTTTAAAGTTCAGGACTAAAAAGAAAAACATAGAAAGTACATTTTTATTGTTATGTACATTCTTTGTTAAAATAAGCAGGTTATAAATATACAACATTTTCTTGAAAATCTGTAAGTTGCTGTTTTATTTCAGTGAGCGATCAGAACCTTGTAATTGTGTGTTTATTCTCGTAGATGAGGAAAGTGGATCTGAGGAGGAGACTTTGCAGTATTTTTCTACTATTGATCCCAACTATCGTTCCCGTAGGAAAAAAAAACTCGACTCTCAAAACAAGAACTCACAGAGTTTTCTCTCAGTTCTTTTGAACATTAATCATGGATTAATGGCGGTGTTCACAGATGTAAAGGTAGGAATTTTTTTAAACATACCTTACTTTAAATAAATAAATAAATATTAAATAAATATACCGAACTGTACATCCATGGCTGGAACTCGGCTGAGGTTGCTTCAGGGCCTGCGCGGTGACGGCACTGTGGGGGATGTTGCCTGCACTGCATGCCAGGCTTCGTGCGCGGCCCCCTCTTTGGGAGGTAACAGGTGCTGATTCTTCTTCTGGAGGTGATATCTGGTGATTGATCTGCTGTGAAAAGTCTGGAACCATTTGCCAGGAAGAATCGCACATAGTGCTTAAATTACTGAGATTTTAGTACCGCCATAACTGTTCAAAAATTAGAGTGCTTTGCCATGATGTGGGAGATTTTCATGAAGCTGAATCGAAAAGCTCTTGCTTTTCTGCAAAAACATTTTAAAATTCTTACTTTCAGCATGTTTACATAATGATTTCCATGTTTTTCTGATTTTTTCATTAGCAAGATAATGGAGATCTGTTGGAAAACAAGCATGGTGAATTCTGGTTAGAGTTCAATAGTGGCTCATTATTTTGTGTGACGAAATATGAAGGTTTTGATGACAAGCACTACATTTGCCTTCATTCTAACAGTTTCAGTCTGTACCACAAAGGTAGGACAAATGTGTGTTTTGTTCACTTCTGCTTACACATGTTTAGATTTCTTATTTAATAATCGACTAAGAAAAGAATTTTGATACTAGGAATTATTTTCTGTGGGGAGTTTCTGATTTTGCTGTTGAAGTAACACTTTCTATAAATTAGAGGTTGACTTTTTTTTTTTTTTGTCATGGCTTTATTGTGATATAACTCACATATCATGCAGTTGGCCTGTTTGAAGCTCACAATTCAGTGGTATTTTTGGTGTTTCACAGTTGTGCAGTTATCACTAAATTCAAGTTTAGTACATTTCATCACCCAGAGGAAGCTCCGTATACTTTAGCTCTAACCCTCCACACTTAGAAGCAGCATTGAGCAATCTCAGATCTCCTTCTGGCTCTGTGGATTTGCATATTCTGGAAGTTTCATGTAACTGTATATTATAATCATATAACATACAGTCTTCTCATTTGACTTGATGATTTCAGGGTTCCTTTAAGTTTTAGCAGTACTTCATCCCTCTTTATTGTTGAATAATATTCCATTGCATGGATGTGCCATCTCTTACTTATCTTGGTTGATGGGACTTCATCTTTTTTTCTCTCTTAAAGAACTTTTTGGTTTCAGATACAGAATTTACCATTTTTTGAGTAGTTATCTGCCTAAGCTACCTTGTAGATATTAATGTTTATGAGATTTTCCTATATGAGTTTAACTTTCCTAGCATTTTAGGGTCTTTTTTTTTTTAAGTTGTGTACTGCCAGTCCTACCTTCATTAGCAAAGAGAAGTGGATTAACACTAGGATGGCCAGTACTTGGCCATCCTGCCTCCACGATCATTTCATATTCAGTGGAAGTGCAGGTTGAGCATCCCTAATCTGAAAATCCAAAATCTGAACTCTAAAATCTAAAACTTCTTCAGTGCTGACACGGCATGATGGCACAAGTGGAGAATTCCACAGCTGCCTTGACGTGCAGGTCAGAGTCAAAACACAGGTGCACTAAAACTGCTGTATCCAGTGATCTTCTGCATGTGTGTATAAGGTGAATATGAAGCATAAATGAGCTTTTTGTTTAGACTTGGGTCCTATCCAAGATATCTCCATATGTATCTCCAGGATATATGTACGTATATCCAGTCTCTCTCTCTCTCTCTCTCTGCAAATGTTCTATTTATGCAAATATTCTCTCTCTAAATATATGTAAATATTCTAAGGTCTGCAAAAGAAATCGAAAACCAAACATTGTGGCCCCAGGTATTTCGGATAAGGGATATTCAACCTGTATGGATTTTTGTTTTGGGCTGCAGAAGTCAAAAACAATTTTAAAACTAATTTCAAGTAATTGTTAATATTTTCCCCTTACTCTGCACCCCAGGTGTGGTGGATGGAGTGATTCTTCCCGCAGAAGCCCGCCTGCCCACTTCAGCCCGCCCGCACTGGTTGGAGCCTACCATCTATTGCTCTGAAGAAGACGGCCTCAGTAGAACTGCCTCGGATGGGGTGGGGGGAGAGAATCCGAATATGCTCTCAGTAGCGGTGAAAATCCTGTCTGATAAGTCAGAGTCCAACACCAAGGTTTGTGTTTGAATGTTTATACCGTTCAGTACTGCTGTCTGTCTGGTCGGGAGCTAAGAACGATTGGGAGAAGGGGACACATTGTTGTCTTGAAAGCCAGCGGAGGCAGAGGTGGCAGATGCTGTTCTTTGCTGTTCCGTGCAGGAATGTCTCATTGCTGTGGGACTGAGAGGAGCCACTCTGCAGCACGCGGTGCTTCCTGCCGGGCTCAGCTGGCACGAGCAGGTGAGTGCTGCTGGGGATCGTGTTATGTCTGTTCTGCAACTACGTTGATGTTCGCACCAGTTCACCTGTACTAATGTTCAGCTCAGAGAATCGTCACGTAGGAAATGCTGTCTGGAACCATTTCTTAGGTTAAAAAATATAACAGACTTGTTACCTCAGGGTGTAATTGATTTTGTCCCTTAAATTTCGGTCCCTGGGGGCAAGTGTGTGGCCTAGCAGTGAAGACACTGGCGAATTCACCCTTGTTCCATATCACAGTGCTTGAGTTTGATTCCTGCTCTGCGTCTGATCCCAGCTTTCTTGTACAGCACAGTCTGGGAGGCTGCAGGTGATGGCGCATGTGCTGGGTCCCTGCCGCCCGTGTGGGAAGCCTGGTGGAGTCCCCAGCTCCCAGCTGTGGCCTGGCCCCGTCTCAGCAGCTGTTGAGGGCAACTGGGGGATGAACCAGTAGATGAGACAATGAGTGTTCTGTGTGTGTCTGTCTGTCTGTCTCTCTGCCTCTCAAATCAAAATATTTGAAAATTTCTGTAATTAATTTCTAGTTGAATCACTATATAGGGTAATAAAATGCAATGTTTTTCAGAGGAAATTTTGAATAAGAAGTTAATTTTCTTTTATGTGATAATGAAAACTAGTACACTCTGATTTTTATGTTCCTTAGAACTTTCCATTGTGCTGGGAAAATAATAAATTATTTTAGAACTTGAGTATTTTCAAAGTGCTTTGCTCATGAGGATATCTGTCTCACTGTCTGTATGTCTGGTAGGAGTAGAAAGATTAGTATGAATACCACTGGCCGTCAGGGAGAGATTTGGCATAACCTCCTTGCTTGCTTAGATTAGAATTGAGAGTGGATCCTGATGAGAGGGACTGCTTTTCAGCCTGAGCTGGAAAGAAACAGAGAAAAGTACTTCCTTCAATAATGAGCTCTACAGTAAACCAGATTTTCCTAGCAGTGGATTGTACAAGAAACCAGATTGATAGTTATGCAAATCAGCAAAATTTAGTTTTTCAAAGATTGCTACAAGCAAAATAATGTGATAGTATGTTATGTATAGCTTTGTTGTTTAACTCCTAAGATGTGCTTTTCTGAGGTTCCTGTACTGTTGCAGTTGTTGGATGGGCCTCTTTATTTATAATTCTTATTTTGTGCATATTTTTAAAAATAATTTTTTATTATATATTTGTAATTGTGCAACATATTTTGATATAGTTAATGAAATGGTTACTATAGTCAAACAAATTAACATGTCTGTCACCTTCCATATTTACTTTTCCAGGAGTGAGTGATGCGAGTACTTTCTGAAATGAATTTCTTCAAACTGACAATTAGCTTTTTCTTTTAGCATTGTGATTTTTTAAAAAAATATTTATTTTATTTATTTGAAAGAGCCACATAGAGAGTCAGAGACAGAGAGGTCTTCCATCTGCTGATTCTCTCTCCAAACGGCTGCATGGCTGGAGCTCAACCGATCCGAAGCCAGGAGCCAGGAGCTTCTTCCAAGTCTCCCATGTGGGTGCAGGGGCCCAAGGGCTTGTGTCATCTTCCGCTGCTTTCCCAGGTGCATTAGCAAGGAGCTGGATCAGAAGTGGAGCAGCCAGGACTTGCACTGCGGTGCCCATATGGGATACCAGTGCCGCAGGCCAGGGCTTTAACCCTCTGCGCCACAGTGCTGGCCCCTAGCATTGTGATTTTACAATTGTTGCTTTTTCTGTAAGATGTTTTGTTTTACATTGGTATTAAGGATATTATATCAAAACTTTTTTTTCTTCTAAAGCAGGGCATTTTATATTTTTGTGATTATAGATTTTATACTTTTTGAATATTGCTGATGAACCTGTTCTGGGATATAATCCTCCAACTTCACTTACAACTTTCCATGTTCATCTTTGGAGCTGTGCACTTGATTATAGGTAAGATCACAAATGGAGCAGACTGAGGTTTTTGTTTAAATGACATTCCACGTTTTGGAAGCTCACGTAACTCGGCAGGGTTTCTGCTGCCGCATCCGGTTGATGTTCTGCTGTTTCTTTTTGGTACTAGACCACTTTATTTGCCGATCCGATCTCTTCTTACCGTGGAGACATTCAGCATTTCTAGTAGTGTTGCACTGGACAAATCCTCTTCTACTCTCAGGTACTGTGTTAGCTTCACCTTGTGTGCTCAGTGTAACTGTTCAAACTGTACCAACGGACGGTAACCTACACCGTCGTGTTAGGGGCCCAGTCTTCTGTCAGGAATCGTATTCTAGTGATACCCTTTCATTCAAATTTCTCATTTTCTCCTTCTCACTTGATTCATTCCATCTACTCCTTTCATTATTGCATTTCATTTTTAAGGAAGAAATTCTTGAGGTTCTTAGTTTAGTTTTTAAAACATACGGTAAACTTCCCATAATACTGTATTATTTGCACCGAATCTTTGTATACTCCACCTCTATAATTTAATAAAACATCTCAAATTTGGGCTTCTATTTAACAAAGGAAACGAGCAGGCATTTTGCCTCGTGGTTAAGACACCTGCACTCTTCACTAGAGTGCCTGGATTCCGTTCCTGGCTCGGATTCATGGCTCCAGCTTCATGCCAGTGTGGACCCTGGGAGATGGCAGTGATGGTTTGGGTGTTGAGTTCTTGCCACCACGTGGGAGACCTGGATTTTATGCCTGGCTCCCAGCTTTGGGCACTGACCCAGCTCTGACCACTGTGGGAGTTTGGAGAGTAAGCTGGTGGATAAGGGCGCTTTCTCTCTTGTCTCTTGAATAAATAAAACTATTTTTTTAAAAAGATTTTTTTTTTTTTTTGACAGGCAGAGTGGACAGTGAGAGAGAGAGACAGAGAGAAAGGTCTTCCTTTGCTGTTGGTTCACCCTCCAATGGCCGCCACGGCAAGCGCACCGTGCTGATCCGATGGCAGGAGCCAGGTGCTTCTCCTGGTCTCCCATGGGGTACAGGGCCCAAGCACTTGGGCCATCCTCCACTGCACTCCCTGGCCACAGCAGAGAGCTGGCCTGGAAGAGGGGCAACCGGGACAGAATCTGGCGCTCCGACCGGGACTAGAACCCAGTGTGCCGGCGCCGCAGGCGTAGGATTAGCCTATTGAGCTGCGGTGCCGGCCTAAAAAGATTTTTAAATTTATTTGAAAGGTAGGGTTACAGAGAGAGAGTGAGACACAGATAGAGCAAGATCTTCCACCCATTGGTTCAATCCCCAAATGACTGCAACGGCTAAGGCTGGGCCAGGCTGAAGCCAGGAGCCAGAAGCTTCATCTGAGTCTCCACGTGGGTGCAGGGGCCAAGGACTTGGACCATCGTCCACTGCTTTTCCATGCCATAGCAGAGAGCTGGATTGGTAGTGGAGCAACTAGGACTTGAATCCACACCCATGTGGGATGCCAGCATCGCAGGCAGTGGCTTAACCCACTAGGCCACAATGACGGCCCCAATAAAACTATTTAAAGAATGTAAAGAAAAAAAAACTTCCAAAAATTTAGAATTAATTTGAGCAGGTGATTTAATCTGATTTTGTGTGCCACATATTTGAGAACCGTGACCGTGGGTGTCTGTCAGAAGCTGGGTATGATTTGGAAGAACACCTGGGGAGGTGTTCAGCGGTCATGTGACAATGTATTCAAAGCTTTTTCAAGTGTTGCTGTTACCTTTTTTTCACAGAATAATCTTGGATGAAGCAGCTTTACATCTGTCTGACAAATGTAACGCTGTTGCTGTCAATCTGAGTAGAGGTAAGAGTTTTACTTTTTGCCTGTGACTATTTTGAGCATTTTAACTGGAGTAATGCCAGTGGACTAAGGGTCTCATTAAAGATATTTTAAAGACTAAAGGGTTTTTAAGTATGTAATGGTCTTATGGTGTATATTCAGAGTTTTGATTCAGACACTGGGTTTTCAGTTTGAGATTGCAGTGTTCTTTTTTTTTTTGTTTATTTTTTATTTTTTGACAGGCAGAGTGGACAGTGAGAGAGAGAGACAGAGAGAAAGGTCTTCCTTTCCCATTGGTTCACCCTCCAATGGCCACCGCGGCCGGCGCACCACGCTGATCCGAAGGCAGGAGGCCAGGTGCTTCTCCTGGTCTCCCATGGGGTGCAGGGCCCAAGTACTTGGGCCATCCTCCACTGCACTCCCTGGTCACAGCAGAGAGCTGGCCTGGAAGAGGGGCAACCGGGACAGAATCCGGCACCCCGACCGGGACTAGAACCCGGTGTGCCGGCGCCGCGAGGCGGAGGATTAGCCTAGTGAGCTGCGGCGCCAGCCAAGATTGCAGTGTTCTTATCACGTTCAGTTAAGTGCGTAAGATTATATATGCCCTAAATACTTACTAAACGACAACTTTTTATTTCTAACGAAGATAAATTGTAGCAGGTTTCGAAGGATGAAACTATTTTCATTGTATCATAAGCACTTTTGGCACTCTCTGCAGTGAGTTTTACAGGACTGCTAGTTTTACTGGGTGTTGGTCTGATCGGCAGATTTTGAAAGCTGTACTCAGCCATCTTATTGATTACTTTGACAACCCTAGATTACGTGCGAGTGATGGACATGGGGCTTTTGGAATTAACCATAACTGCAGTCAAGTCCGATTCTGGTGGAGAAGTAAGTACTGGAAGAAATGGAAATTGTTCCTGCAGTTCTGTTTTTTGAAAGATAAAAAAAATTGCATTTGCCATAAAATTATTTTTCCACTTACTTAATTTTGGTCAAAAAATAGATAAAAAAATGCTTTGAAATTCAGATTGAGTTATTATGAGTACATTTTTTTGCTGTGGCAAGACAAGTTATCGTATGTTCTATTAATATGATTTTTTTTCAAGAGAAGAAATTTATTTTGTCTCTTACTTGGAAAATATTGTCACCCTTTTTCGTGGTGTCCTGTGCAGTCCGAGTCCTGCTTTGAGTTGCACTGTTCCAGCGACGTTGTCCACATCAGAACCTGCTCAGACTCCTGTGCAGCCTTAATGAACCTCATCCAGTACATGGCGAGCTACGGGGACTTGCACGCACCCGACACGGCAGAAGTGAAGCCTGGAGCCCCTCAGAGAAAGTCAGAGGTACAGCTGGCAGTGGTACTCCCGCATTCCTGCCCTGTGAGTGACACATTTACGTCACTGAGGTCATGGTAATCAGAGCATAGAAGAGAAACTTTGAGGGGCAGGCTTTTTGGCTTAGAGGGTCAAGCTGCCACATGCGATGCCAGCATTCGATATGGCCACTCTGCTTCTAATCCGGCCCCCTGCTAGGGGCCTAGGAAAAGCAGCAAAAGGTGGCCCATGTGTTGGGCCCTGCCACCCAATTGGGAGACCCAGATGTAGCTCCTGGCTCCTGGCTTTGGCCTGGCCCAGCCCTGGCCATTGTGGCCATCTGGGGAGTAAACCAATGGATGGAAGATCTCTCTCTCTGTAACTCTGACTTTCAAATAAATAAATAATCTTCAAAAAAAAAAAAAAAAAAGAAGCTTTGAGAAGCTACCTCTGCTTGTCTTTCTGAGGCATGGGGTCCTTTCTGGAAGCCGTTCTTCTGTGTGGTGTGCTTCCTTTCCGAGCAGTGGTCTTCTCAACCCACACTGAGTGGTCTCCGCGGGTCCTCAGGGAAGAGAGAAAACATGTATTTTGTAAGAGCTTGGTATGAGCCAGTGTTATGTAACAATGCCATGGAGGCTGAAGGGCAGCTCTACTGCAGGATGCTTCTATTCTTTTTTAAAGATTTATTTTATTTATTTGAAAGACACAATTACAGAGAGAGGTGACAGAGAGAGAGGGAGAGAGAGAGAGAGGTAAATGGCTGCAACTGAACTGAGCTGACCCGAAACCAGAGGTGCGCCGATCTGAAGCCAGGAGCCAGGCGCTTCCTCCGGGTCTCCCAAGCGGGATCAGGGGCCCAAGGACTTGGGCCATCTTCTACTGCTTTCTCAGGCCATAGCAGAGAGCTGGATCGGAAGAAGATCAGCCGGGTCACAAACCAGCACCCATATGGGATGTGTGCGCTGCAGGCCAGGGCTTCAGCCCACTGCACCACAGCGTGGCCCCAGGGTGTTTATTTCTGTAATAGCATCTTCCCTACTTGGTTTCTGCAGTACTCCCCAGTTTTCAGTCTACTTCCTCGTGTGTAACTTGCCAATGGTAAGACTAGAGGGTAAAGATTGTTCTCTCTCTCTCTTTTTTTTTTTTTTTTTTTTTTTGACAGGCAGAGTTAGACAGTGAGAGAGACAGAGAGAAAGGTCTTCCTTCCGTTGGTTAACCCCCCAAATGCCTGCTATGGCCGGCGTGCTGCGCTGATCCAAAGCCAGGAGCCAGGTGCTTCCTCCTGGTCTCCCATGCGGGTGCAAGGCCCAAACATTGGGCCATCCTTCACTGCACTCCCGGGCCACAGCAGAGAGTTGGACTGGCAGAGGAGCAACCGGGACAGAACTGGTGCCCCGACCGGGACCAGAACCTGGGGTGCTGGCACCGCAGGTGGAGGATTACCCTATTGAGCAGCAGCGCCGGCCAAAGATTGCTCTCTTTACAGAGGAATAAGTTCAGACCCAGAGATTTTGAGTCCTTTGCCCTAGTCAGTAGCAGGAACAGCCTCAAACCCAGATATTTTGGTTCCCAGTTGGATGCTTTCTTACGTCCTGATTGTCTCCTTTCTGACTGCTCTCCCGTCTGGCTCGCGTGCTGCCCGTGTTTCTGCACGGCCTCCTTGTGCAGAGTTCTCTGCCCTGGGGCTGCGGTGCCTTGGAGGCTCCGACTGGCACGGGGCTGGCTTGCTCAGGAGCTCCTTACACGCCACCTGCGTTGCGCTGCTGTGTGACTCCTCGCTCCTGCTGTTCTTCACCGAGAACGTGACTTACCGCGTTATCTCTTCCCGTTTATTCTCTTTGAAAACATTCTCCAGTTCACTAAAAATTACTTCCTTTTACTTGGATTTTAGAGTCATGCTCACTTTTAGAAGGGAGGCTTGGGTATGACGTTGACTTGAACCTGGGATTGAACTCTGCAAATCCCCTCTTGTCTATGCCCCTACTGTCTTCTAAGAAATGCGGCTTTGACCCATGGTGGCTTTGTCTCGAAGGGTGAAAGTCACTGCACTGGTCAGACGCGAGCAGATTAGACTTGACTTAGTGTCCTCCTCTCCCCCAGCTTCTCCACGTTTCCCATCACTCCTCTCTTCTAATCACCTCAGGATCCCAGTTCACTGCTGGCTTGAGGTGATGACGTGTTTATTTGTATTTGCCGTAGCTGTTAGGGTGGTAGTATTGATACTAAAAACTTGGACATGGAGCAACTGCTGGGCAGAGTATAGACAAATGAGTAAGTTCTTATTTCTGGTATTTTGTAAAAGATGCATATTTCTAGGATACAATAAACTGCTTAAGAGAATTTTCAAGTATTCATTCGGCTTTCTGCCTGTAGGTAGATTCTGGTGGCCGCTCATCCTCCCGTGGTCCAGTGCTTCCCGAAGCAGATCAGCAGATCTTACGAGACCTGATGAGTGACGCTATGGAGGAGATCGATATACAGCAAGCCACTGCCTCTGGGAAACCGCAAGCCAATGGTAAGACCAGATGTCTCTGTTCTATGTTGCTGTAACAAAATACCTGAGGCTGGGTACTTTATAAAGAAAGGCTTATTTGGCTCTTGATCCTGGTGGTGGGGAAATCTGGCTGTGCCACAGTGTGGTGGAAGAGCAGACAGGAAATGGCTGCATGCAGAGGGCCCGAGCCTGTGGGCTGGCTTCCCTGGGCACAGCCTGTTCCTGAGAGCTGGTCCTGTCCACCCCACTCCCAGCAGACAAGCGTGGGTCCTTCCCAGGTGGGTGCCCCCGTGATCTCATTACCTTCCAGGCTCCTGTGAGTACTGCTAGGATGGGGCCACGCCCCCAGCACGTGGACCAGCACCAGGCTCTCCATCTGGGGGCACTGATGTGCAGCTGCAGCTCCCGTGGTTTGTGTTCTCGTGTATTCTTTAGTAGGTAACTTCGGAACACATCTGAGCTTGGTGAATTTTTATCAACTTGTGTTTATTGAGTGTCCAGTAGATACAGATCTCTGGCCAGGGTGATGCGCGAAGACAAAGCTTCTGTTTTCTAGTAGCTTAGGGCCTGCAGACAGCAGTTAGCATGGTGCTGACGCTGGCACGCAGAATGCCGTTAGGAAACACAGGTGTCATACATGCACTACTGTTGTGTGGAAGGTTGGAATAGCTTCATTAGATTTTGTGAAGGTGAGCTGAGTTGGCTTTATAGTGGATAGAGATTCAGCCGTAGGGAGGAGGGAGAAGGTGGTCCTGTCAAGGTCATTACCATCAGCAGAGCACACACACAGATGTGCGGGTGTTGCTGGAGCAGAAATTCCCTTCTGACTGAGAAGAATCAGACCCTGAAGTTGGATGAAGCAGGGAGGCAAGAGATGACGAGTGATTTCTGCAGGCCAAAGAGAAGCACCTAGGGGCCGGCGCTGTGGCGCAGCGGGTTAAAGCCCAAGACTGCAGTGCCGGCATCCCATATGGGCGCGGTTCGAGTCCCGGCTGCCCCTCTTCCAATCCAGCTCTCTGCTATGGCCTGGGAAAGCCGTGGAAGATGACCCAGGTGCTTGGGCCCCTGCACCTGGGTGGGAGACCTGGAAGAAGCTCCTGGCTCCTGGCTTCGGATCTGCACAGCTCTGGCCATTGTGGTCATCTGGGGAGTGAACCATCGGATTGAAGACCTCTCTGTCTCTCTCTCTCTCTGCCTCTCTGTAACTCTGGCTTTCAAATAGAATAAATAAATCTTAAAAAGAGAAGAACCTAAATGTTTAGCATCTCTTTCAGAAGTGGTTTTCTAACCTGATGCACATAACTGTTTCTATATATTAGGAAATCTTGATTTTCAAATAATATTTCAAAGTGTTAGAAAACTTTAGCCTTAACTAATGCTCTCATTGAAATTTAGGATAATTTACAAATAAGGAAGCAATCTGGGGTTCTCACTTCCTATATACTACATCATTTGTAATAAATATTAGCAGCTACCTGCATTGGGGGAAAGGATATTTACTGAACAGATTCGATCACCATACAAGGCTCTGCCAGACACTTAGAAGGATAGGTCTCACAGGTGCTGCCGTGGGAGAATTTAAAATCTCATCTGTGAGCCTCTTTTTTTTTTTTTTTTTTTTAAGATTTATTTATTTGCTTGAAAGGCAGAGTTAGAGAGAGAGAGAGAGAGAGGTCCTCCATCCAGTGGTTCACTCGCCAGATGTCCGCAATGGCCGGAGCTGCACCAATCAATCCAAAGCCAGGAGCCAGGAGCTTCTTCCAGGTCTCCCACAAGGGTGCAGGGGCCAAGGACTTGGGCCATCTTCTGCTTTCCCAGGCCACAGCAGAGAGCTGGATTGGAAGTGGAGCAGCCAGGACTCAAAGTGATGCCCATATTGGGATTCCAGTACTGCAGGTGGTGGCTTTACCGGCTATGCCACAGCACCAGCTCCACGCCTCTCGAGGCCAAAAGGTCACTGTCTTCATTTGGTGTTTTCAACTGCACCATAGTGCTTAGTTCAAATGAGTGAATGGAGAAAGAGTTAGTGACTCTAATATATAATATAAAGGTATAAAAATTGTTATTCCATACAGGTGTTGGCATACAGGTCACATTTTGTATTGCTTGTGTCGAGAGAGCTGTCGAGAACAGACGTCCAGTTGGGGTATCCGGTGCCCCAAGAACCAGTCTCTTGTTTTTTGCTTCCAGTCCGTGCTCTCCTCTTCTGACTCCCTCCCCCTTCCCGGCCTGGTGCTGAATTCCAGTGCTTCCCTGATGCCGAGTGGCTGACAGGGAACTGTCTGCTTCTCATTTGCTGTTTTCTTAGCTCCAAATGTGTCGTTAGTGTTTTGTTAGTTGTCTTTAATGTTTTTTTGCCTTTTGCTGAGCTGCTTTGGGGCAGGCGATTTCAGCTTTCTTTCTGCTTCAGATTCCTAGGTTACTGTAAGAGATACATGAGATATTTCAGGTGAAGGCAGTCAAAGAGCCTGTACCCAGCGCATGATTAATGAGTGTTACTGCTGTGGATGTTCCGCAGTGTGCCAGTGTGTGATCTTTCTGTCTAGGTGTTTCGGATGAAATTTCTCAAATCCAGGAGCCTTGCTGCTCTGACCTCTTCCTGTTTCCTGATGAGAGTGGGAATGCGTCCCAGGAGCCTGGTCCCACCTACACCGCGTTTACTCACCACTTGATTGGTGATGCAGTGACAGGTGCGCCCACTGAAAATGATGACTTTTGCATCCTATTTGCACCAAAAGCCGCCCTCCAGGTAATAAATTGATAACATCATTGAGCCTTAAAATGGCAGTACAGATTGAATTGACTAAAAGGTACCTGAAGAAGACTTTTAACATTGTGTTAACTCTTTATAGTTTAGAATTACTTTGCTTTGTAATTTATTGTTGGCACTTTGTAAATGTTTTCTTTCATTATTTCTATGACATAGTCTTTATAGACTGATGAATGCTCATCATATGCAAAATTTTCTACATGGAATATTGAACTGTTATGTATGTACCCATGTTATATGTATTAACAGGACTTGTCAGGGTTATGAAATGGCAGAAAGATGAGGTGCAGAGAGTGTCAGTTTAAGAACAGATGAGGTGTGGTTTGTGTGAAGACTGCTGGTTGATATGGGGATATTTTGAAATCATGCATTTATGGAGTCTTCAGAAAGTTCATGAAGAATGCATATTATATAGAAACTGTGGATGGAGGTGTAGTGGATAAACCGGCACCTGCAACGCTGGCATCTGATATGGGTGCTGCTACAAGTCCCGGCTGCTCCACTTCTGATCTAGCTCCCTGCTAACGCCTGGGAAGGCAGCAGCAGAGGGCCCAAGTGCTTGGGCCTCTTCACTTGTATGGGAGACCTGGATGAAGTTCCTGGCCCCTGTCCTTTGGGGAGTGAACCAATGGATGGAAGATACCTTTGTCTGTCTCTCCTCTCTCTCTCTGTCTCTGTCTCTATCTCTATCCCTGACCTTCAAATAAATAAATATTTAAAAACAAAAAGAAACTGAATGGATTTTAAAAATCTTGTACCAAAATACACTTTTAACTTTAATTTCATTTTCCATAAACTTTTTGAAGTATCCTAGTATGTGCACATGTGTGCGTATGTGTGTGTGTATAATTGTAGTAGATGACAATATTTAGTAAGTTCTAAGAACCTTCTAGTTAAATTTTAAAAACCAAATTAAACCAGACTCAGGATAAATCTATTGTTAGCAACATTAATTATATAAATTTGTCAGGTTTTGATCTAGAATGCATTATTGACTTTAAATTAAATAATAGAATACACACACACACATACACACATTCAATTTGTACCTTTTTATTATAAAACAAAGAGTAAAAACCAAATTGTTAAACTATAAGAAATCTTGATGGATTGACTTACATGGAACAGAAGAGGCATTCATTTTATGGATAGTAAAAGCATAATATTGTATGTGATGATTAATGCCTGTACTTACTCTCCTACTTTGTATATTTAAGTTGTTAACAAGAATGTAGAACCGAGACATCATCCTGAGAAGTGCAGCATAACCAGTTGTTCCTAATGAGATGAGCATGTGTTACCTGTTTGTTTTAGGAGAAGGAGGAAGAACCAGTGATAAAGATCATGGTTGATGACACAATTGTGATAAAAGACAATTACTTTAGCCTGCCTGTTAAGAAGACAGATAGCAGCAAAACCCCATTGCACTTTCCACTCCCCGTAACTCGGTATGTCGTTAAGGAAGTCTCTCTCGTCTGGCATCTTTATGGAGGAAAAGATTTCGGAGCAGGACCCCCTACTTCTCCAGCAAAAAGTTATGTGTAAGTTAATTTCTATAGAACTTTGTTAGGTCAACATGTTCTTTTTATAGAAAAATATATAGAATTTGTCACTTGAAGAATAATATAGACTAATTTAAATGTTACTTCTTTTCATTTTAAAGATTTATTTTATTTATTTGAAAGGCACAGTTACAAAGAGAGAGAGAGGGAGAGAGACAGAGCTCTTCCATCCATTGGTTCACTCCCCAAATGGCCACAACCGCCAAGACTGGGCCAAGCTTAGGCCGGGAGCCAGCAGCTTCTTCCAGGTTTCCCACATGGGTGCCGGGGCCCAAGCACTTGGGCCATCTTCCACTGCTTTCACAGGCACATTACCAGAGAGTTGGATCAAAAGTGGAGCAGCTGGGACTCGAACCAATGCCCATATGGATGCCAGAGTCGCAGGCCACGGTTTTACCCGCTACGCCACAGTGCCAGCCCTTAAATGTTGTTCTTAAAGTTTCCCAATTGCGAGCTTTTTTATATTTTTACTAAAATGTTGACTTACGATTTTCAGTCAGCAAAAATTTTCAGGTACGTACCATGTTCCTCTTCACAAAAATACATAAGACCCAGACTTGCCCTCAATTCCAAAGGGAGAGACAGCCCTGGGGACGAGTGCGGGCAGTGGAGTCGAGTGGGGGTGTCAGGAGGCAGAGACCACGCGCCCCCAACTCGCACATCCAGCAGAGGCCGTGTCAGTGAGTGCGGAAGAGAATGGAGCGGAGAGGGTGAACATGCGGGGACCGGGAGAGCAAGGGCACCGCGGAGCAGCGGTGTGTGGCACAGTGGTTCAGCAACTTTTTTTTTTTTTTTTTTTGGACAGGCAGAGTGGACAGTGAGAGAGAGAGACAGAGAGAAAAGTCTTCCTTTACCGTTGGTTCACCCTCCAATGGCTGCTGCGGCCAGCATACCACGCTGCCAATGGCAGGAGCCAGGTGCTTCTCCTGGTCTCCCATGGGGTGCAGGGCCCAAGCACTTGGGCCATCCTCCACTGTACTCCCTGGCCACAGCAGAGAGCTGGCCTGGAAGAGGGGCAACCGGGACAGAATCCGGCACCCCGACCGGGACTAGAACCCGGTGTGCTGGCGCTGCAAGGCGGAGGATTAGCTTATTGAGCCACGGCACTGGCTGGTTCAACAACTTTTTTTTTTTTTTTATCTTTTATTTAATGAATATAAATTTCCAAAGTACGACTCATGTGTTACAATGGCTTCCCCCCCATACCGTCCCTCCCACCCACAACCCTCCCCCTTCCCACTCCCTCTCCCCTTCCATTCACATCAAGATTCATTTTCGATTATCTTAATATACAGAAGATCAGCTTAGTATACCTTAAGTAAGTATTTCAACAGTTTGCTCCCACACAGAAACATAAAGTGAAAAATAGATGATTTTTTTAAATGATGATGAAATCAGATCAGACCTATTGTCATGTTTAATCCCAGTGAGAGTCAAGTTGGGAATTGATAATTTCTTTCTTTCTTTTTTTTTTTTTTTTTTACAGAAGATCAGTTTAGTGTACATTAAGTAAAGATTTCAGTCGTTTGCACCCCCATAGAAACACAAAGTGAAATATACTGTTTGAGTACTCGTTATAGCATCAAGCCCCAGTGTACAGCACGTTAAGGACAGAGATCCTACATGAGGAGTAAGTGCACAGTGACTCCTGCTGTTGACTTTACCAATTGACACTCCTGTATATGGCATCAGTAATCTCCCCATGCACCAGTTATGAGTTTCCAAGGCTATGGAAGCCCCTTGAGTTCTCCGACTCTTATCTTGTTTAGACACGGTCATAGTCAAAGTGGAGGTTCTCTCCTCCCTTCAGAGAAAGGCACCTCCCTCTTTGAAGACCTGTTCTTTCCACTGGGATCTCACTCACAGAGATCTTTTTGCCAGAGTGTCTTGGCTTTCCATGCCTGAAATACTCTCATGGGCTTTTCAGCCAGATCCGAGTGCCTTTAGGGCTGATTCTGAGGCCAGAGTGCTATTTAGGACATCCGCCATTCTATGAGTCTGCTGAGTATCTCACTTCCCATGTTGGATCACTCTCCCCTTTATTTATTCTATCGGTTGGTGTTAGCAGATACTAGACTTGTTTATGTGCTCCCTTTGACTCTTAGTCCTTTCATTATGATCAATTGTGAACTGAAATTGATCACTTGGAGTAGTGAGATGGCATTGGCACATGCCACCTTGATGGGATTGAATTGGAATCCCCTGGTATGTTTCTAACTCTACCAATTGGGGCAAGTCAGCCTGAGCATGCCCCAAATTATACATCTCTTCCCTCTCTTATTCCCACTCTTATGTTTAACAGGGATCACATTTCAGTTAATTTTCAACACTTAAGAATAACTGTGTGATAATTACAGAATTAAACCAGTCATATTAAGTAGAACAGACAAAAAAAAAAAATACTATGAGGGATAATGCATTAAGTTGTCCATTAGCAGTCAGGGCTATGCTGATCAAGTCACCATTTCTCATAGTGTCCATTTCACTTCAGGAGGTTTCCTTTTTGGTGTTCAGTCAGTTGTCACCGATCAGGGAGAACATATGGTATTTGTCCCTTTGGGACTGGCTTACTTCACTCAGCATGATGTGTTCCAGATTCCTCCATTTTGTTGCAAATGACTGGATTTCGTTGTTTCTTACTGCGGTATAGTATTCTAAAGAGTACATATCCCATAATTTCTTTATCCAGACTACCGTTGATGGGCATTTAGGTTGGTTCCAGGTCTTGGCTATTGTGAATTGTGCTGCAGTAAACATTAGGGTGCAGACTGCTTTTTTGTTTATCAATTTAAACTCCTTTGGGTAAATTCCAAGGAGTGGGATGGCTGGGTCGAATGGTAGGGTTATATTCAGGTTTCTGAGGAATCTCCAGACTGATTTCCATAGTGGCTTGACCAGTTTGCATTCCCACCAACAGTGGGTTAGTGTCCCTTTTTCCCCACATCCTCGCCAGCATCTGTTGATGGTAGATTTCTGTATGTGAGCCATTCTAACCGGGGTGAGGTGAAACCTCATTGTGGTTTTGATTTGCATTTCCCTGATTGCTAGTGACCTTGAACATTTTTTCATGTGCCTGTTGGCCATTTGGATTTCCTCTTTTGAAAAATGTCTATTGAAGTCCTTGGCCCATCTCTTAAGTGGGTTGTTGGTTTTGTTTTTGTGGAGTTTCTTGATCTCTTTGTAGATTCTGGTTATTAACCCTTTATCTGTTGCATAGTTTGCAAATATTTTTTCCCATTCTGTCGGTTGTCTCTTCACTCTCCTGACTGTTTCTTTTGCAGTACAGAAACTTCTCAATTTGATGCAATCCCAATAGTTGATTTTGGCTTTGACTGTCTGTGCCTCCCGGGTCTTTTCCAGAATTTCTTTGCCTGTGCCAATATCTTGAAGGGTTTCTCCAATGTTCTCTAATAACTTAATGGTGTCAGGACGTAGATTTAGGTCTTTAATCCACGTTGAGTGGATTTTTGTGTAAGGTGTAAGGTAGGGGTCTTGCTTCATGCTTCTGCACGTGGAAATCCAGTTTTCCCAGCACCATTTATTGAATAGACTGTCCTTGCTCCAGGAATTAGTTTTAGATCCTTGATCAAATATAAGTTGGCTGTAGATGTTTGGGTTGATTTCTGGTGTTTCAATTCTGTTCCATTGGTCTATCCATCTGTTTCTGTACCAGTACCATGCTGTTTTGATTACAACTGCCCTGTAGTATGTCCTGAAGTCTGGTGTTGTGATGCCTCCGGCTTTGTTTTTGTTGTACAAGATTGCTTTAGCTATTCGAGGTCTCTTGTGCCTCCATATGAATTTCAGCATCATTTTTTCTAGATCTGCGAAGAATGTCTTTGGTATCTTGATTGGGATTGCATTGAATCTATAAATTGCTTTTGGGAGAATGGACATTTTGATGATGTTGATTCTTCCAATCCATGAGCATGGAAGATTTTTCCATTTTTTGGTATCCTCTTCTATTTCTTTCTTTAAGGTTTTGTAATTTTCATCGTAGAGATCTTTAACGTCCTTGGTTAAGTTTATTCCAAGGTATTTGATTGTTTTTGTAGCTATTGTGAATGGGATTGATCTTAGCAGCTCTTTCTCAGTCATGGCATTGCTTGTGTATACAAAGGCTGTTGATTTTTGTGCATTGATTTTATATCCTGCCACTTTGCCAAACTCCTCTATGAGTTCCAATAGTCTCTTAGTAGAGTTCTTTGGATCCTCTAAGTACAGAATCATATCGTCTGCAAAGAGGGATAGTTTGACTTCTTCCTTCTTGATTTGTATTCCTTTGATTTCTTTTTCTTGTCTGATGGCTCTGGCTAAAACTTCCAGAACTATGTTAAATAGCAGTGGTGAGAGTGGGCATCCCTGCCTGGTGCCAGATTTCAGTGGAAATGCTTCCAACTTTTCCCCATTCAATAGGATGCTGGCTGTGGGTTTTTTATAAATTGCTTTGATTATATTGAGGAATGTTCCTTCTATACCCAATTTGCTTAGAGTTTTCATCATGAAAGGGTGTTGAATTTTATCAAATGCTTTCTCTGCATCAATTGAGATAATCATATGGTTTTTCTTCTGCAGTCTGTTGATGTGGTGAATCACATTGATTGATTTGCGAATGTTGGTTCAACAACTTTTAAACGTGATTCTCAAACACATCAGGCCCTCTGGAGTCCTCTGTTGCTTCAGTTGGGGTTTCTGGGACTCTGAAGGGTCTCTGGAGTAACAAGAGGCTCCTAAGGGGCTTCATTTCTAAGTGTATTTTGTTAAAGGGACCCCAGCCTCATATTTGGTTTTTTATTTTAGAATATTTAACAGGCAGATTACTCTAGTGGCAGTAATTAATGAATGTTTTTAGTCTCTTACGTGTGTAAGATCCAATTCTGATTCATAGTCATAGCATCTGGCAAAACCTCCTGATAGGTTTGTGATCTTAGGTTCCCTTTTCACCGTGTTACATTTCCAGATGTCGTTCATTGACTGTCATCGGATCTTCCTTTGACGAAGGGTGTTTCTCTTGTTTTCAGGAGTCCGCACAGTTCACCTTCTCACACACCCACAAGACACGGTCGCAGTACAGCGTGTGGCGGGAAAGGAAGGAACCATGACTTTTTAATGGAAATACAGTTAAGCAAGGTAAGGAGCTGTTCTGAAAGGGAAAACCCACTAAGTAGGAGCGTTGGTGGGGGTTCTTTGAGTACTGCCCACCTCCAGCCCCTGAAGAGTCTCTTGAGCCTTAAAATCTGTCTTTGTTTTCTGTTGCTGTAACAAATGCCACGGATTGGGTAATTTATGAAGAAAAGACATCCATTGAGCACAGTCTGGGAGGCTGGGACGTCCAAGGGGGAGGGGGAGGGTCTGCCGAGGGCCCGAGTTGCTTCATGATGTGGCGGGAGAGGGGCAAGTGGGCACATGGGAGACGGCGGCCATCAGGCCCCGCGTGTCCTTTTATGAAGAGCCTGCTCCCACGGTAAGGGCATGAGCTCATTCGTCCCCTCTGGAAGGCCTCGCCCCCTCGTACTGGTGGAGTTGAACGGCAGTGGACTTCAGCGTGAGCGCTGGAGGGCACCTTCGAGCCAGACCTTAGCAAGTCCCAGCCCTTCGCACGGTGCAAGGGTCTCGTATAAACGCTTACCTCTTTTTCTCCCTCGAGCGTTCTAAGAAGACTGAGTTGTTTTACATTTTGTGTCCTGGGCTATCCCTGGCGCGGTGGCTCTCAGAATACTCTGGAGAGCTTATGAGAACCCAGGGTTCTGGGCCCCACCCCAGGGTTTCTGATTCAATATTTACATTTTTAGTGAGTTCTCGATGCTGGTTTTACTTTTTCCAGGCCACTCAGGCACTGCTGCCCTGGAGTCCCTGTTTGGGGGGCGGGGGGCTGCAGATCTCTGGTGAAACCCTGACGGTGTTGCATGCCGAATTCTGTCCGCTTGTCTGAGATGACCAGGTCATGTTTTAGGAGTGTTGCATTCAGTTGTGTCTTTGGCCACTCCTGGAACTTGAACTCTGCCTCCATTAACTCATTTTCAGTTGGCTTCATCGGTATGCAGGATGATAATTTTATGTCTTTTTCCTATTGCAGATTTAGTTAGAAATGGGTAAGTGATTTTACCAAGGTTAAACAAGAAATGTCAGTCACGCTTATCCACTTACCTGTGTAAGGTAGGGCGCACGTAGGTCAGTAAAACAGTGAGCTGAACAAAGGAAGGGGTGTCAGCAGGGTTGAGTTCTTTCAAAGTGGAATTGTAAGCTAAGGTGGAATTCAGAGAAAATGAGCGATTGTTTACATTGTAAGGAGAGACTCGAATGTAAGTAAAATGTAGAGCCTGCTTGTGTTCTCTCCCTGCCTGTGAAGGTGAAGTTTCAGCACGAGATCTACCCGCCCTGCAAACCCGAGTGCGGCCCCAGTCTCGCGGAGCACCCGGTCTCCCGGCAGGTGTTCGTCGTGCAGGACCTTGAAATCCGAGACCGCCTGGCAACGTCACAAATGAACAAGTTCCTGTACCTCTACTGCAGCAAGGAGATGCCTCGGAAAGCTCATTCGAACATGGCAAGCCTCTTCTTTGATGTTGTTATATTAGCTTTGGAAAAGTGTTCTCATTGTATCTAACTGCAGAAGAATTACCGTGGGAAAAATTAAAATTTAATATGAAAAAAGTACCTTTTAATTTTGCTGCTTGAAGTTTTATACTTAAAGTCATTTTTCATGTCCCTATATGTGTATGTATATGCATATTAATATGTGTATGTATATGTATGGCCAACATATTGCTACATGAGGAAAACCAGAAGTCTATTGATACATGAGGAAAACACCGACACAAAATGTTTGGTGTCGCTGGAAGTATTCCAGGTTTCTAGCACTGCTTTACATTTTATTAAGGCAGAAGTGATCAGCCCAGGCAGTGGGGTTCTTCATAGGGACAGACTGGCGCACGGGCCTCTAGGGTAGGTTGCAGGTTCAGCTCCCTGGAGCCTGCAAGTACCACGTGCCATTTGCAGTATTGCATTGAGACAAAGTCCATACGCTTCATCAGATTCTTGAAGAAGTTGTGACCCCAGTAAATTTAACTGCGGCTGTTAAGGAAAGAGGGTAAAGGACTCCACTTTTTGTTCTCAACTAGGAACAGGATTTTTTCTTCTTCTGTATAATGAGAGCAGGGTCATGATATCTTTGGGGTAAACTGTTTTTGCAGCTGACAATCAAGGCCTTGCACGTGCGCCCGGAGTCTGGCAGGTCACCCCAGGAATGCTGCCTGAGAGTGTCGCTGATGCCGCTTCGCCTCAACATCGACCAGGTTTGCCCCGGGGGCTCACCACCTTCAGGACGGGGGAGCTGAAATGTTTATCACTACTGACTTTATTGAAGTCGTGTAGGTAAAGCGCCTTCTGGTAAAGAACTGGGCGGACTCCTTAAGTGTTTGCGATTTGAACTACTCGGTGACTTTTTGATGTAGAGTTCAGTACCTGCTTCCTGTTCTTTCTCTTCCTTTCGTACCGACTGCTGACTCATGTACCTACATTTTCTAGTGGTAAAGGGCTCCCTGATGCGTTGAATGGTGTCAGACCCCATGCCTTGATTGCAGCAGGTGGAGAAGTTTTCCTGCCCTGAACAAATCCGTACATTGTCACTTGAAAGAGATCCCAGAGATGTGTGGAAGGGCATAAAGGAACCCACATTCCCACATTCTGGCAGCATCCCATCGAGTCCTCTGGGCTCGTTTGACCCAGAGCTGTTTAAGACATAGTTGGTGCCTCTTCTGGAAGCTTAAGATATACAAAAATGAGATGCTTGTTATAGTATAGTGTATGGGGAAGAATGTGGTTTGGAGTTAGATCTGGACTGAAATCCCAGTCCCGTAACTAACTAGTAGTGTGACTTGGGGTAAGTTACCTAGCCTCTCCAAGCCTCAGTTTCCCATTGATAAAATGGAAGAAATAGTAATAAGTTTACCACATTTTTTTAAAAAATGAGGATTAGGTAGACTAGTGTATGAAAAACATCCAGCTTGGTGCTGGCACTGTTTTGTAGTAAGGATCAGGAATGTTAACTGTTACGATTATGAACCGAAGCATATAACAATTACAGCACAAAAATGGAGTTTTAAAAAAAATCCACTTTCAAATAACAAAGTCCTTTTCATAGATCTTTCTGTTGATACAGGTGTGGAGGTAGATTGTTGACTTTTGGAGTGGCATTAATCATTTGCTTAAATAATAGTGACTGGCTTTCATTATTATTTAAACAACTAAAAACAAGTACCAGGTATTTCAGGAGTAGCTTAAATAATTATATTGCAAACAAAATTGAGTACCTATCTTAGAGAAAACATACTATGAAGTAAAGACATTTATATAACTACATTAATGCTAGAAGTCTCTGAACCATCAGATGTGCCAGTTAGTACTTTAGATTTAGGGGTGTGTGTGTGTGTGTATTTTATTTTTTGTTTTTTCTTTTAATAAAAATGTATTTATTTGACAGGCAGAATGACAGAGAAGGAGAGAGAGATCTTTCATTCACTGCTTAACTCCCCAAATGCCTGTAACAGCTGGGGTTGGTCAGGCCAACGCCAAGAACCTGGAACTCCATCAGGGTCTCCCACACAGGTGGGAGGACCCCAGGCACATAGGTCATTTTCCTCTGCCTCTCCAGGCACATTGGCAGGGAGCTAGATTGGGAGTGGAGCAGTCAGAACTGGAATCAGCACCGCAGGTTGCTGGCATTGCAAGCACCTTGCCCTGGTGTGCCACAAGGCTGGCCCCTAAGTTTAGTTTTTTTCATTATGTAAAGAAAATATTTTGATACCCATATTTTCGTTTAATAAAAATTGCCCTAGTAGAAATACCAGGAGGTATTTATAGGAAAATTCATGTGTGGAGTAAGATACATTTTCGTGGTGTGACTCCCATTCTTGGCAAGCGTAATTTTCTCTAGTGGAAGAGCATAATTTCTTCTTTAGAACTATAAAAACATTATGAACTTAAAATGAAAGCAGGAAGTAACTTTTATGACTACACCTAGGAAGAATGAGAAATAATTCCCCAAAGCGTGAAACTTGGGGAAAAAACCATGCTACAAACACATAAGCCTTAATGAGACCCAGTACTAAACAAAGCAGTCCTTTTTAGTTTGCATCTTCTAAGAATGACCATATTTTGAAGTAGCAGTCACCTGAGTAGAAAACCAAGAATTTTGGTTCATTTTTTTCTTGTGAAAACAAATTAATTGATGAATGATAATGCTCTAATATTTTTGTAACCAAGTACATGTCTTCTTTGTTCATCTTAATTGAATCAAAGTGTGAAAGCAACAATTGTTTCCTGCTGCACTGCTGTTGGAGCTCAGCGTGCCCGTAGGGAAGGCAGTAGACAGGCAGATAGGTGACTTCATGTGGGGGCTTCAGTGGGTGAGGGCGTCACACAGGTAGGCGGCTGAGATCTGAACTGAAGGCGGCAGACTTCCTGACTCCTCTGGTCTAGTGCTCGTTTTGGCAGGTGCTGCCTGGAAATCTGTGCAGGACAAGTATGCTTGTCCCAGGGTGCTGAGGGTAGAAAGATGAATAGGATATCCTATTCTCAAAGGTCTGTATGATGGGAAGATGACGTAAAACAGGTAATTGTAATATGCTGTGATGACTCCACGTGATAGAGATAGGCATTGCACGACCTGCTCAGCCAGCAGAGCCTCCCGAGCGAGGCCTGCAGTTCGGAAGGGGAAGGATGGACAGGAAGGGGCTCTCTGGAGGTGGTAATGACGGTCAAGACGGGTCTTGAGTGTACTGAAGTTAGACAAGTCAAGTCGCCTTCTGATTTTTTTTTTTTAAAGATTTATTTATTTGAAAGGCAGAATGACAGAGAGAGACAGAGAAAGATCTTCCTTCCAACTGCTGTTCACTCCCCAGACGGCCATGACAGCCAGGTTGAAGCCAGGAGCCCAGGATTCCACCTGGGTCTCCCATGTGGGTGGCAGGGACCCAACTACGTAGGCCATCAGCACATTGGTAGAAATGTTGGATCCAAAGCAGAGCAGCTGGGACTCAAACTGGATGTAGGCATTCCAGGTGGAGGCTTACCTGTGGCTCGACAACCATTCCTCCACAGACTTTTCTGAAGTAACTCTTGTCTTTCACTCTGTGGATATCAGATAGATCACAATGTGTTTATCTGTGCACCTGCTGATTTATCTTTGAGTTGTTTCTGGTTTTGGCTCTTAGGAATAAAGCTGTATGTAATTTGGGAAGTTGTCTTTTTATAGAAATGTTTTCATTTCTCTATTATGTAGAAGGGTTGTAGGAAAAGGGTCTGTATTATAGAAATGTTTTCATGTCTCTGTTAGGTAGAAGGGTTGCAGTAAAGGGGTGTATATTATAGAAATGTTTTCATGTCTCTGTTAGGTAGAAGGGTTGCAGGAAAGGGGTCTGTATTATAGAAATGTTTTCATGTCTCTGTTAGGTAGAAGGGTTGCAGGAAAGGGGTCTGTATTATAGAAATGTTTTCATGTCTCTGTTAGGTAGAAGGGTTGCAGGAAAGGGGTCTGTATTAAACTGTCGCTAGATGCTGCCTCACAGTAGATGTGTCATTGAGCATTCCCACCGGCAGCCCAAGAGTGCAGCTGCTTTCTCTGCTTCCAAACTGATGTTGTCATCTTTTAAATCTTAGCTGTGTGTGTGTGTGTGTGTGTGTGTGTGTGTGTGTTTCTTTATTTGAAAAGCAGAGTTACAGAGGGGGGGAGGGAAGAAAAGAGAGATTTCCCATCCTCTGGTTCATCCCCCCAAAGAAAGAGAGAAAGAGAAAGAGATCTTCCATCCTTTGGTTCACTCCCCCAAATGGCTACAATGGCTGAGGCTGGGCCAGGTCAAAGCCAGGAGCCTGAACTCCATCCATCCTGGTCTCATATGTAGGAAGCAGGGACCCAAGTACTTGGGTCATCCCAGGTGCATTAGCTGGAGCTGGGTTGAGGTGGAGCAGCTGGTACTTGAACTGGCGCTCATACAGGGTGCTGGTGTTGCAGGTGAGCGCCCTAACTAGTGCCAGCCCCAAATCTTAGCAATTTTACTTAATGTTGCCTGTTACCTTAGTTTGGATTCCCCTGGTGACTAGTGATTTTGAATGTCTTTTCATGTGGTTATTAGCCATTTTTGTATCTTTTCTGAAATGTCTGTGTAGTTCTGGTTTTAAAATTGGATTATTTGTCTTACTGATTTGTAGAGAATTTAGTGTAATACCACCGAAATCAGAAAATGTTGACAACATTTTGAGAAGCTGGTAATTCATATTTCTTTGTTATTTTGTGCATTTGTGTTGAAATTGGAGAAGTATTCTCTTTAGCCTTCTTTTTTTCTTAAGAGCTAATTGATACCTGAAATTTTCTGCTTTTTTAAAGGCACGCTTGGAGTCGAAAGATTTATAGTATTAAAATATCACCACCTACTGGCCAAGAGTGGCATCTGCGGCCTAATTCGTTAGCATAATACTTGATAAAGCTAATGTGTGTGACATGAATAATGTGTACGACTGATACACGAACACGTGTCGGTAGGCTTCACCATAGAATGGCCAGTCCACAAACCCGTCACCTGCTGCAAAGCCACAGTAGCTCCACTGTTGCTGTGGTGACCCGGCTGCTCTTCAGCCCAGCGTCCGTCTCTATGCTGTGTTATCCAGGGTTTTCCTCTCTCCCTGCATCGTTCATGCTTCTCAGAGTGTGATTGTAGGCAGTCAGATCCTTGTGAATTGTCAGTCCAACTTTTAAAAATTGTGCTTCCAAATATTGTGACTCTGTCACTCACCTCCCCATTGCATTTCAGTACATGGTTAATGTCATATTGATTTAGGAATTTTTTTTATGGAAGGGAAGGCAAATAATGAAAATGCTCAGCATCTAGTTTTTTTGTAAACATTTAAAAAATTTATTTATTTATTTGAAAGTCAGAGTTACAAAGAGAGAGAAGGAAAGGCAGAGAGAGAGAGAGAGAGAGAGAGAGGTCTTCTACCCGCTGGTTCACTCCCCAATTGGCCACAACAGCCGGAGCTGTGCCCATCCGAAGCCATGAGCCAGGAGCTTCTGGGTCTCCCATGTGGGTACAAGGGCCCAAGGAGTTGGGCCATCTTCTACTGCTTTCCCAGGCCAGAAGCAGAGAGCTGGGTTGGAAGTGGAGCAGGCGGGTCTTGAACTGGCGCCCATATGGGATGCCAGCGCTTCAGGCCAGGGTGTTAACCCGCTGCACCACAGCGCCAGCCCCTCAGCATCTAGTGTTTATGTCCTCAGTCATACTGGACTGAATGAGGTCTGCAGAAATGAAGCCATCAGTGTTGACAACTGTGGCTTGTGTATACAGTAGCAGGACAGCAAGACAGCTGCACAGTTTCGTTTGTAATTATGTAATTTCAGAAGAGATCTCACTGCATGGATGATTTTGTTTGTTTTAAATTTCTGAGACATGTCCAGTGAAGGAAATGTGTTTAGGGAGTCCAGCAGAGTGGTCCCAGCAGCAGTCATTTAGAACTTTAAGGAACACAAGAGTATCAAGTATATGCTAGCTGCTGTTACTACTGTTAGTGATATCAGCACATCAGTTTAGAATGAGACCTGATGTCACATCGGATTGAGAATGCCCTGTTTCACAGAAAGCCAAAGTGCTAGGTTTAATTTAGATGTCCATCCCAGCTTTGTAATTTTAACTTCTCTAAGTTCCAAATGTATTAATTAATTTCCTGTTAGGATTTTGAGAATTTTTGGAAGAGGAGGGTAGATAAAGAGGGAGAAAGAGGGAGGAAAGGAGAGGGGAAGAAGGGAGGGAGGGAGGGGGAGAGAGAGAGAGAGGAAAGGAATAATACCTACGCAGAGTAAGGGGTCAGTAAATTACAGCTGTATTTGTTTGAATAATGAATAAAATATGAGACTTTAAGGCACCTCATTTCTTTTTTATTTTTTAAGATTTATTTTATTTGAAATGCAGAGTTAGAGGGAGAAAGAAAGAGAGAGCAAGCAATCTTGCATGTGCTGGTTCACTCCCCAAATGACCACAACAGCCAGGGCTGGGCCAGACTGAAGCCAGGAGCCAGGAGCTTCTTCCGGGTCTCCCATGTGGGTGCAGGAGCCCAAGCACTTGGGTCATCTGCTGCTGCCTTCCCAGGCGCATTGTCAGGGAGCTGGATAGGAAGTGGAGCAGCTGGGACTTGAACCAGTGCCCATATGGAATGCTGGCACTGCAGGTGGTGGCTTAACCCACTATGCCACAGCACCGGCCCCAGTATTTTATTTTATAGTTTTAGAAGTAGTTTTTTTTTTTTTTTCCTTTTAGTTACAATTGCATCTCTTGTTTTAGGATGCCTTATTCTTCCTGAAGGATTTCTTCACAAGTCTCTCTACAGAAGTGGAGGTTCTCATGACCCCAGACCCGGAAGGTATTAAATATGAGACCCGCAGTGCTTGGGTTGGTTTTGATCGTTATGGGGCTTTTTTGAGAATGTACTTGGAATTTTAATTCCCACTTAGATAAATGTGTTGTTCTGTGTTTACCTTTTTAACTACTGCAAATGTAGTTTATGTAAAAGGTGAAAGCAAATTGGCTTTAAATGGTTGGTTTAACGTAAATGGTTGCGTTAAAGAAGCGTAGCTGATTGTTCAGATGTGTGTGTTGCACTTTCAGTTAAAAAGTCTCCTGGAGCTGATGTTACCTGCAGCTTGCCGAGGCATTTGAGCACTTCAAAGGAGCCAGATCTGGTTCTTTCTTTCCCCGAGCCCAGGCAGCCTTCCCTAAACGATAGCGCCGGCCCCCTGGGAGAGGCTGCCGGGGCAGAAGCGGACTTCTCAGCGGAAGACGCGTCACTCAGCGGCCAGCCGGTGTTCTTCAGGTGACTGACTGATAGCAAGGGAAGCGTCCAGGACTGGTCTGTACTGTGCGCGTGCCCCTGGGTTCCCTCCGCTTTTCTTCACGAACTTCTAGTGCTTCACGAGGAAGGGGCTTTGCTCTGCCCCCCTCTCCAACAGTCCAGGACTGCCTTCCTGCCATCAAGGGCTGTGAAAGAGCAGACGGGAGAGGAATGAGCCTGGAGGGAGCGCAGCGCCGCTGTGTGCGGCCGGCTGTCCCCGCAGCAGCGCCGGAGGTGCCCGTGCAGCCGGGGAAGGCGGGGTCACTGAACACACCACAGTCGCGGGCGAGGCCAGGCACAGAAAATTAGGTGGAAAATTCCCATAATAAATAAAGGGCGGGAATGCCAAAGTTGAGGCCTACAGAGAAAAAGAGACAAACGGATGTGTTGTGTTTGGGGGAGGCTGGGAGGAAGGACAGAGAGGGGAGGAGAGAGAAGATTGGCTGCCTCCCTGGGTGTCTGTGCCCCCACCGATGCCCAGGGTCCCCGACTTCTCCCGCCCCGGGGTTTCTGTGCCCGCCTCGCCGACGCCCAGGGCCCCCGACTTCTCCAACCCCAGGTTTCTGTCCAGGGCCCCCGAGTTCTCCCACCCCACGTTTCTGTGCAGGGTCCCCGAGTTCTCCCACCCCAGGTTTCTGTCCAGGGCCCCGACTTCTCCCACCCCAGGTTTCTGTCCAGGGTCCCCGACTTCTGCTCCGGGTTTCTGCGCCCGCCCGCACCGCCGTCTGGGGTCCCCGACGTCAGTCTTTCCCCCTAGGCGCCGAGGTTTAACTGGAGGAAAGTTGTCCTGTCCTAGGTGTCTTACACACTGATGACAACAGGAAAGCAGAGAAGGCGGAGATGCCAGGGCAGGTGGTTTCTGGCCGCTGCAAACCTTTCCACTACAGAGAAAGAACCTCTTTTATTATTTCCCTCATTGAGTGTTTAATTTTTAAAATTTTTCTTGCATCTAAATGCCTCTTTTATACTAATCATATAAACCATCAATTTGGTTTTTATAAAAAAAGAAATTTGATAAATGTTTTACTCAAGTAAAAATCCTTTAGGCAACTACTTTTTTTTTACTAGACTATTTCAAATAGCTTTTAAATTTAAATTTCTAGTTTGAAAAGCTCCCAAAGAGCCAGGCCCTGAGGTTCGCACCTGAGGGAGCCACTTGTGAGGGCCACCCAGGCGGTGGCCGAGTCAGGACTAGAACTCGGGTCTTCTGAGTCCCGTGATGCTGGGGTAGCCCCCTCCTCCACAGACATTGTCCATGCGCTCACTGTGTGTATGCCAGCTTTTGGTCTAGGCACAGTGAACAAAGGCAAGAAGAACTCGAGGGGACCTAGTTCACAAAGAACTGAAACAGTGTGCTGTATTCGGTGTGTGCCGTGGCCAGCACAGGAAAGGAGGAGGGGCGTGGAGAGGGTTGTAGAGGCACTGGGGCGAGGGAAGCTCGGCTCCCCGCTTCTCCAGGACCAGTGTGGACACGGTGTTTCCACGGGAGGGGTGTGGACGTGGGTGAGAGGGCTTAGGATGGAACCACAAGTGTGAAGTTTGTGCGAAAAAGCACATCTCCACTTCCGGATGCCCAGTATGCAGCCAACTTCTGAAAGCTTGGTGAGTATCATCAGTGTGTAGCTGGAATCTCATTTGAATGCTGACACCTATTTGTGGGCATTCATTTCTAGAACCCTCACCAAGGTTCCCAGCATGGGCTGCGCTTTTTGAAGTTTGCCAAGGCAGGGGCTGTGGCTCAGGGAGTGGCAGTTTCGACGTCCCCTGCTGCATCCCACGTCACTGACGGTGGGGACTTGGCCTCTCCTCCCCATGGCGCTCTCTCCTCTGCTTCTGGACAGTGACTGCATCACCTTGCTTAGTCGTGAAGCTGCCTTTGGTCACGTCTTCTCTGTGAATTAAACATGCCTATAGAATACCTTTCTCTAAACGTGAACATTATTTCATAAACTGGGAAAATGGTTTTGTGAGAAAATTTAAACATAGACAAATACACTTTTTAAGATGATTAATATTGTTTAATTGTATTAAAAGAAGGTAGAACTAAGAGACATTCTTTAGTTAGAACTTAAGATATGTACATGATTGAATGATCTTGTTTTTATCATACAATTGAACGAGTTAATTTACATCTACTTAGAACTATTAGTATTTTTATATAAATAATTCCCCTCTTTTTTTTTTTTAAATCCTCAGGGAATTTAGATTCACATCGGAAGTTCCTATTCGGCTTGATTATCATGGCAAACACGTATCCATGGATCAGGTTTGGAATCTTCGTACATGTACTCTACAAAATGAGCTCATTTGTTTCTCTGATTTTTTTTTTAACTTTGCCATGTCATAGTTTATATATAGTATGTATACACACATAATGTACATACATACATATAGATTTGAAATGAATGCAAAGTTTTTAAATTTAATTGTTTTTAAAGCAAATTAAAATCATTTACTTAACTGACACAAGTAAAATGTGCTATACATTAGATTATATGTATTTTTTCTGCTGTAACTATCTTAAGTACTTTAGTGTCATTGGTGACTATTGCTTTGGACTTTCAACATAGCGATGATTTTCAGTATTAAATCTCTCCTTAATTTGCGTATTAACCCGAGCGTTTCCATTTTCAGGGTACACTAGCGGGGATTTTGATTGGCCTGGCTCAGTTGAACTGCTCTGAGCTGAAGCTGAAGCGGCTCTTCTATCGGCATGGGTAAACCGACTTGTTGTTTGACGCCGTAAGGAAAGGCGCTAGAATTAGTGTGCAGTAAGTTAAAAACTGGGTTTCTTGGCAAGGAAACATAATTTACTGTTTTTCAGTATTGTCTGTAGAGAGCTCATTTTTAGAGTAGTCTACTGATTAGGGGCAAATTTTTACTATGAGGGATTAGGGTATTGTGAAAAGAATAGTATTTTTCAAAAGTAGCTATGGTTTAGGGTACTTTTATGAATTTCCTAAAGTTGTCATTTGGCTTATACACTGAAAAAACAGAAGTTCGCAGGGTAGTGGTTTTTAGTAATAGTGGCAGTTTATAGACTTGGGTTAATCCTATCTCAGAGCTTATTAGATGATTGAACTGACTCATATATACCACCTAATTGACGTAGAAATTATTGACATTGCAATTAGACTTTTATTACGTATTTTAAGAGAAATTCAGATTGAGGCAAATGACTGATTTTTATTTCTTTTTGTTTAAAAATATTAGGTGTTTTTAGAGCTTCTATAATATTTTTTCTTAGAATTTATAAAATTTGTTTGTCCTAATTGGGTTTTTCTTTTTGTTACTTGTCTCTGTGTGTGAATCTGTTTCTCTTTTCTGTGCACTCGTTCCTGTTTGCTCTAGTTTGCTAGGTGTTGACAAGTTATTCTCATATGCAATCACTGAGTGGCTTAATGACATTAAGAAGAACCAGTTACCAGGAATCCTGGGAGGTGTGGGGCCTCTGCACTCACTGGTACAGTTAGGTGAGTTTCCTTTTTCATTAACTGAGAGATAATTGTGTTCTTGGTGATTCTAATAACCTCTGAGTTCACAGGCGCGCCCTCTTTCCAAGCAGCTGCCTGTGCGCTCGCTCTCACCGCCCTGGGCCGCAGTTTCAGGAGCAGGAATGCCGGCTCTGCCCTCACACTCACACTGCCTTCTCTGTTGGCTGTTCTAGTGCAAGGCCTGAAGGACCTGGTCTGGCTGCCCATCGAGCAGTACCGGAAGGACGGTCGCATCGTGCGAGGGTTCCAAAGGGGTGCTGCCTCCTTTGGTACCTCCACAGCGATGGCCGCGCTAGAACTCACGAACAGAATGGTTCAGACCATACAGGTATCTTCCCTGGACTGACTTCCTCTGTCAAAGAGCCATTGCACAACGGTCAAGTTATTTTGTTTTTATTTTTTCATTATTTATTACTATTTTAAGCATTTATTTAAAAGGCAGAGATCAGAGAGGGAGAGATATTCCATCCCCTGGTTCACTCCCCTAATGTCTGCAACAGCTGGGGCTGGGCCAGGCTAAAGCCAGGAGCCTAGAACTCCATCTGGGTCTCCCACCTAGCTGGCAGAGACCCAAACACTTGGACCATCTTCTGCTGCTTCCCCAGGCACATTAGGAGGAAGCTGGATCGGAAGTAGAGTGGCTGGGACTTGAACCGGCACTCATGGGATGTTGGGGTCGCAGGTGGTGGCTTAACCCAGTGCACCACTTTGCCAGCCCCTGGGTTTATTTTTAAAACAACACTGTGAAAATATACAAGACATCGGGAGTAGATCTCTTATTCGATATCATGCTTGTTTTATTGCTTCAGTATTCAGTATTAAATAATTAGTGGAATAAAGCAACAGAGGATGTGTCCAGTTTGCCCATTTCAGGTTAATTATAACCATTTAGTTAGTGGAGGATTTGCATGAGTGATCATAGCCATGTTGGAAGAAGCGCTGTGCAAGAGCAGTGCTAGTTCTGTGGACTGACGGGGGTGCCGAGTGTTCCCAGTGGAAGGGGACTGAGTAAGCAGGTCTGAGCTCTCTGGGTGTAAGGGATTAAACTGGACTTGGTGACCGTGCGAGTCCCTCGGGTCCTCCTCAGTCACCGCCCACCTCCAGACCCCTCTAATGCAACTCTTCCTTCTGACACGTGACACAGGCCGCGGCGGAGACTGCGTATGACATGGTGTCTCCTGGGACGCTTTCTATCGAGCCCAGGAAGACGAAGAGGTTTCCTCACCACCGCCTGGCCCGCCAGCCGGTAGACCTGCGGGAAGGTGTAGCCAAGGCCTACAGTGTTGTGAAGGAGGTGCGTGAAGACAGGGAGCACGAGCCACAGTGCTTGCAGCCTTGGCCCTCTGTCCCCGAGAGCGGGCGATGGTCTCGTTGTCCACAGAAGCCTCTGGGTGAGAGGGGGGCTCGCTGTGCCTGGGGCGCGTGTGGAGAGTAGTGACCGAGGGAAGCCAGCCCATGCTCACCGTCCAGGTCTTTTTTATTTTATTTTCTTAAGATTTGTTTATTTATTTGAAAGAGTTACAGAGAGGAAGGGAGGGAAGGAGAGAGAGATCTTCCGTCTGTTTCACCTCCTGGATGGCCACATCTGCTGGGGCTGGACTGGGCCAGAGCCAGGAGCCGGGGCTTCACCTGGGCCTCGCACATGGGTGCAGGGGCCCAAGCGCTTGGGGCATCCTCTGCTGCTTTCCCCAGGCCATTAGCAGGGAGGTGGATTGGAAATGGAGCAGCCTGGTCTCAAACCGGCGTCCACATGGAACGCTGGCGTCCCAGGCAGCGGCTTTACCCGCTGCACCACCGTGCCGGCCCCACCGTCTAGGTGTGACTTGTGTTTACACTCTGCTCTGTTTGCCTCAGATTTGTTTAAGAACTTGAGCTTTTCAGGTGAGTCACCTACCCCGGTCCCCTCCCAGCCCTTCTCTCAGAATCCTGGGGTGGTACATGCTCTTTCTGTACATGTTCTTATAGTTTTACTATGTGAAGAATGTCTTCCTAAGCAAAGCATGCTTGGGTCTGTATTTTAGAAGTTGCCATCCATGGTGTTGTTCTGTACCGTCCTCCACTTCCTTCTTCCACGTCTGTCTGTGTCATTGATGCAGGCAGATGTCATGCAGATGGCTGTTGGTATCTCCTCGTGTGGGTATGCCACAGTTTACTCATTTCCTGCCTGTGGACAGAGCCCCTCTCCCACACTGCCGTGGGCAATGGTCAGTGAGTGCCTCTGTTGTACGCCCAGGAAGCTCCCCAGGCTGGGCTTGGGGGACTGTCACTGTGGGATCCTCGGCACGCAGTAAGCGATGCTAACTCGCTCTGGCCGTGCTAAGAGGGATCTCCACTCGTGCTAAGAGGGATCTCCTCTCGTGCTAAGAGGGATCTCCTCTTGTGCTAAGAGGGATCTCCTCTCGTGCTAAGAGGGATCTCCACTCTGTGCTAAGAGGGCTCTCCTCTCTGTGCTAAGAGGGATCTCCTCTCTGTGCTAAGAGGGATCTCCTCTCTGTGCTAAGAGGGATCTCCTCTCGTGCTAAGAGGGATCTCCTCTCTGTGCTAAGAGGGATCTCCACTCTGTGCTGCTGGGCATTGCCTGCTTCGTCGTCTGTGACTTTCATTTTACTCTCTATGTCATAAGGAGGTTTGAGGTCATCTTACTCGTGATTCATGTTTTAGGATTTTATTAAGGAGATTTTCCCCAGTCGTCGTCTGAGGACAGCAGTCCCTTTGTTGCTCTCGGTCCTGATAGAGACAGCCTCTGGTTCCTAGTGGTGGGAAGGCCACTGAGGTAGGGTCCCAGGAGCTGTGCTAGTGGCTAACTGTGGTAGGACTGGGGGTCAGTTTTTTGAGGTTCAGTGTGGGGAGTAAAGAGAGCGTTCCCTACAGAGGTCAGGATTGGGTCGGTTGCAGTAGACATGTTAGAAATCAGATATGCAGACTCGTGCTGGGCTTCAAGGCACAGCGAGATAGAAGCGCTTTGCCAGAGAGCAGCCTGCCCGTATCTGTATCTGCGGTGGGTGGTTTAAAGTAAGTGTGTGTGTCCTTCACAGACTGCCCGTGTGCAGGAGCGCTAAGGGCGTGTGATGTTCCCGCGGAGCCCTGAGCAGACAGTGAGGCTCCCCGGGGAGGAGCGGGTGGGGGCCTGGGGAGCTGATCTGGAGTCCACATTGTCAGTAGGAGGGGGCGGCGCAGGGGTGAGGAGAGCAAGTGTGGAGTGAGACGGTAGGATGTGCTTGGTTATACGGAGCCCAGTCTGTGTTCGAAAAAGATTTCTCTTTGTTTTGGATATCAGGAAGCCAAGATGGAATACATCTTTCTTTTTTTTTTTTTTTATTTGTTTAACTTTTATTTAATGAATATAAATTTCCAAAGTACGATTTATGGATTACAATGGCTTCCCCCCCATACCGTCCCTCCCACCCACAACCCTCCCCTTTCCCACTCCCTCTCCCCTTCCATTCACATCAAGATTCATTTTCGATTATCTTAATGTACAGAAGATCAGCTTAGTATACATTAAGTAAGGATTTCAACAGTTTGCTCCCACACAGAAACATAAAGTGAAAAATAATAGATGATTTTTTTTAAATGATGATGAAATCAGATCAGACCTATTGTCATGTTTAATCCCAGTGAGAGTCAAATTGGGAGTTGATAATTTCTTTTTTTTTTTTTTTTTTTACAGAGGATCAGTTTAGTATGCATGAAGTAAAGATTTCAACAGTTTGCACCCCCATAGAAACACAAAGTGAAATATATTGTTTGAGTACTCGTTATAGCATTAAATCTCAATGCACAGCACATTAAGGACAGAGATCCTACATGAGGAGTAAGTGCACAGTGACTCCTGTTGTTGACTTTACCAATTGACACTCCTGTCTATGGCATCAGTAATCTCCCTATGCTCCAGTCATGAGTTTCCAAGGCTATGGAAGCCCTCTGAGTTCTCCGATTCTTATCTTGTTTAGACAAGGTCCTAGTCAAAGTGGAGGTTCTCTCCTCCCTTCAGAGAAAGATACCTCCTTCTTTGATGACCTGTTCTTTCCACTGGGATCTCACTCACAGAGATCTTTTGCCAGAGTGTCTTGGCTTTCCATGCCTGAAATACTCTCATGGGCTTTTCAGCCAGATCTGAATGCCTTTAGGGCTGATTCTGAGGCCAGAGTGCTATTTAGGACATCTGCCATTCTATGAGTCTGCTGAGTATCTCACTTCCCATGTTGGATCACTCTCCCCTTTATTTATTCTATCGGTTAGTGTTAGCAGGTACTAGACTTGTTTATGTGCTCCCTTTGACTCTTAGTCCTTTCATTATGATCAATTGTGAACTGAAATTGATCACTTGGAATGGTAAGATGGCATTGGTACATGCCACCTTGATGGGATTGAATTGGAATCCCCTGGTATGTTTCTAACTCTACCATTTGGGGCAAGTCAACTTGAGCATGTCCCAAATTATACATCTCTTCCCTCTCTTGGAATACATCTTTCTGTCCTGTGTTTCTCAGAGATGCTGGTCAGGTGTGGCCCAGACCTGTTCTTGTGTGGGCCTTTGAGCTACAAAATGGCTTTTACAATTTTAAAGGATTAGAAAAAGACATAGACAAAGAAGAATACGTGACAGCAACTGGGCCTTTACGGAAAAGATTTGCTGGCCTCTGCTTTGTGTAATTCCCTTTGATGGTAGCTGGGTACTTGCAAGGAGTGACCTAGGAATTATTTGTTGAACATTTATAATCTTCCAAGTTGTGTCAAACTCTTTTTATTAAAAAATTCATTTATTTGAAAGGCAGAGATACAGAGAAAGGGGGGGGGGCGAGAGTGAGAGTGAGCGGGCGAGAGTGAGAGTGAGCAGGCGAGAGTGAGAGTGAGCGGGCGAGAGTGAGAGTGAGCGGGCAAGAGTGAGAGTGAGCGGGCGAGAGTGAGAGTGAGCGGGCGAGAGCCCTTCCGTCCGCTGGCTCACTCCCCAGATGGCTGCCTCACCCAGGCCTGGGCCAGACTGGAGCCAGGAGCCAGGATCCTCTGAGTCTCCACATGGCTGCAGGGCCCACGCACTCCGGCCATCTTCTGCTGCTTTCTCAGGGCAGTTAGCAGGGAGCTGGATCGGAAGTGGAGCAGCCAGGGCTCAAACCGGCGCCCACGTGGGATGCCGGCACTGCAGGCAGAGGCTTAACCTTCTGTGCCTCTTTAGATGAATTGTTTCACTCAATCCCAGTCACCACAGGAGGCGAACAGTGTTTTGATTCCCTGTTTGACTGACTTCTGTCAGCTACACTGATAAGGGGTGGAGGTGAGATCTGAATTTCCTTCTGTTGTCTCCAAACCTGGTGGCGTTACTCCTCCTGCTGTGGTGCCTGCTGTTGGTGGGGTGTGGGGGGAGCTGCAGGGGGGCGGGGGGCGATGAAGCAGGGGGATGTGTATAACACGGGGGGCCTTTTCCTCACTGTGCTCACGGTTCCCACTGCTGTCATCTAGCAGTTTGAGAAACAGCGCTTAGCTTTTCTGGGCTTGCTTTCTGTAGCCTCGTGGTGATTACGGGTTTTCGCCTGCAGCCCTGGGCAGAAGCACCATGCTTTGCTGGCTTTTCAAGGCGATGGCTGGGTTCTCTGTGAGGACAAGGGGTCCTCGATGCCCCTGGAGAACCCGCGGTTGCTTTGCTCCGTACCCATCGCTGAACCTGCCACGGCGTAGTGGTGCCTCACGTGCCCTGGGGCTCTGCACTGAGTGGACGGTAGCGATTCCACAGCCCCGTGGGATGGGCCACGGAGCACGGAGCTGTCCTTACCTTGTGCGCTCAGCTCCAGGGCTGTGCGTCGCGACTGTTCCGTGGCTGCGCTGTTAGAAGGAAGATGGAAAATGCTCACGCAGAAGCTTCATTCCTGATCATTCAACGACTTGTGTTCTTCATGTCCCTGCTTTATGTCCTCAGGATTTTCTACTTAATCCAATACAGTGTTCTATTTAGCTTTGTTATCTTAGTTGAATGTCCCACAATTATCTTTCCTAGTGCACAGGCAGTCATTTAAAACAAATCAAATAATTTTCTAGAGCTTAGTGGATTAAGTTGTCTTGTGTGGCGCTGTCACTGTACTCTTTTAGTGAGTGTACTTTTTCAGGGGCTCTGTTTTTTGGGTTTGATTGAACTGGAGCGATGCGTAGTGCCAGGAACACTTCTCTCGGGTCGTTAACCGTTACTGCGAGCTTCCCTACGTGAAATCGTGGTTTAGCTACGTTTTCCACGCACTAGCGTCACAACAAAATACTCAATCATAATAATTGCCTCTCTCCCTTATAATTAGAATTTTGTCATAAAAATAATTATCCCGTGTAGTCTTAAGAGCAGGGTTTTAAACACCTGTTTACAAACAACATAGATCAGCTGCACTGAAAGTGTGTGTTGCGGGCTAACTTGGCCAGTTTTCTGACTGTCGTTTGCTCCCTCCCTCTGCCTGCCTCCCTCCACTGCAGGGAATCGCAGACACGGCTCAGACCATCTACGAGACGGCGGCTCGGGAACACGAGAGCAGGGGCGTCACTGGTGCCGTGGGCGAAGTCCTGCGCCAGATCCCGCCAGCAGTGGTGAAACCTCTGATCGTTGCCACAGAAGCAACATCAAACGTTCTAGGTGGCATGAGAAACCAGATCCGACCAGATGTGCGGCAGGATGAATCGCAGAAGTGGCGCCATGGGGAAGACTGACTCCCAGCGCGACGCCTGGGGAGACCCGAGGGCGGGAACGCGAGCGTAGTGCCCCGGCGGCAGCTTTAGAGGGGACTCATTTCATTTTATTGTGCTCATCTCAGGAACAGAGGCATTTTTTAGTTAAATAACAATGTCGAAACAACGTGCAGCCAGCAGCTTCGGACGGTGTAGGGCTGGTTTGGTGCCTGCCTGCAGACACGCTTGGTGGCTGGTGTCAAAGGGCCTTGAAGTGTTTGCTGCCAAGTTAGTGAAATGCTTACGTCCATTCAGATAGCTGTACTTCCTGTTACAGACCAGATCTCATTGGAAACCTCCTTTTACAGCTCGGAAACATTGGGGAGCACTTTTTTTTTTTTTCGGGGGGGGGGCACCTGTCGGGTCCAGGTCTCACCTCCCCCACGCCAAAGCAGTGGGAGGTGAGCTGCTGCCCCTGGTGGCTCCAGGCGCGGAATCTCACCCGCGGCCATGGCCAAGGCCGGGTGGTTTTCAGCCAACACTGTTGGAGAGCACTCTTGAAACACTATAGGTAGAGCTCTGGGGAGTTCTGCTCATGGTTTAAGAAGAGTCACAGCCTCAACAGTTCCTTCGGACAGAGACAAAGCCCCAGGGAGCAGAGCGCAGAGGATTGTCAGAAATGCCGGCGAGGAGACGCCGCTCGGTCGGAGTCCGTGTCGGTGCACTGGGAGCGGCGGCGGCGGCGCTCCTGTTGGCTCAGCCCCTGCCGTTCTGCTGTCGCACTTTATCCCGTGTGTGTGGGTTCCTACAAGTCACGTGCGCTGTACTTTATGTCATTTACAAACTTACCCTGCAGCATAAAGACGAGTGGACGCGTCTCGAGGTGACCGAAGTGGAACAGCTTCCTCCGCGTGCGTTCCGTCACGGCCCGGGGCCCGCGTAATTGTTTATTCGTTCACTTAAAGCGAGTGAGCGCAGGCTTGTTAGGAACGTGTGGAGCGGGAGACGAGAAGTGGTTTGCACTCTTTAAAATGAAATAAAAATCCTCCAGCTATGCCCTAGTCAGCTGGTTCCCAGTACCGTTTCTACTTGGTTAACAGTGTACATTTTGATAACCTGTCAGGAATGAATAAAGTATTTTTATTTAAAGGTGAAATTGTTTCATGCTTCCCTGAGTATTTGCTTTTCTTAGAGCATGTGCGTGGACGCAGCCCTGTGATTTGCCCCCAAGATACTGGGGAGCACTTTCTCAAGGCCGATCTTGGTCAGCGTCACCATCGCCGTCGCCGAGGAGCGGGAAGGGCGGCTGCCCGTGTGGCCGTAGACTGATGTGCAGCCGGGAGCAGGAAGCTGGTGCTTGCCACCGTGTGCGGCCGGTCCTGAAGTGCGCGCTTCTCGGGGTGGGGCCGGGGGGTCGGCATTGACCTAAATTTAGATTTCAGAACTGCATTTAGAAAATGAAGTTAAATCCGTTTTATTCCCTAAATGTTCTAAGCAAGAAAGCAATGTAAACCCAAAATCCAAAGCTTTAGAATTTAGAAAAATAGTTCCATATCACGGTCAATTTCCCTCTCCCTCAGGAGTCCTGGACGCGTTGGTCACCGCCATCTGCTCCTGGCACGGGTTCTGCCCACCCGGCCTCCGGGTGCCAAATGCGGTGTGTGTCACCTGCTAGCATCAGTCAGACCGAAAAACCCTCAATCGGGATCCCCAAATATCCTTTCCATAGTTAGAGTACCGGGAGAAATAAGTATGCTTTCCTTTGCACTCGGAGTTGCAAGTGGAACCTTCCTTTAATAAGTCAAGCTTGTGAATCCCGTTTAGACATGTTATCTTCAAGACGTGATCACGGTTCCTTCTGCGCCCGCTGTCGGTGGAGTCGTCTGGGACAGAGCCCGTGTCTCGGAGGTGGTCTGCAGGCGCACCTCCCTGCCAGCGTCGCGCACTTGCACCTGTCTGTACTTGCACACTTCTACACAGTTTTTTCCTTTTTAAATAGTGTCTTTTCTGACTTCGGTGTCGGGTGACAATAAAGAGTGTTGGGCAAGGTCCATGGTTGCCAGATCTGTGATTTACCAAGAGGATGATTTGGCCGAGACGTTTAATCTGTGAGCCCCAGTGCCCAGCTGATTGGGGGTTTTCAGACATACAGGCTGTGCGTGCACCTGTGTGGCTGATGGCACGTGACGTGGTGCTTTGGTGCCACGTCCCAGGCCTGCGGCGCTTTAGGCTGGCAGGCTCCTTGAGGCCTGTGGGCTCCTGGAGTGATGGATATTGTTTGTGGACAGCCACAGTGCCTGCGTGGCAGGAGTCGCACGTGGTACTTCTGACTGCAGCAGGCTGCACGTGTCCACGCCTGGCCGAATCCCAGTTTCTCCCCTAGGAGTCCAAGTCAGAAGCTTGATAAAGACCTGGTGTGTTTCAGAACCCCACAGGGTCATCAACACTCTCAGACCACCCCACATCACAAAGGTCGCAGAGACCGTGGCTTCTTCCTCTTGGTTGGGAACCACTGATGTCCCTCGTCTGTCCCCAGATTGCTGTTAGAAGTAAAATGCCCGCTAATATTTGCCTTTTAGTAGAGAGAGAACATGTTTCTTCTAAGCATTGTAACAGTAGACTTTCATTTTAGTTAAGTGTGGGTACAAGTTGGGGTCCTCTTAAATACATACATGCATCTGGCATCAGTATTTTTGTAATGCAGAATTTAGGGGAAAAAAATCCAAGTAAGCAGCGTGCCGAAGGTGGTGGACTACCAATCCCTGCTGCTCCCGCGTCCTGCTGCGTGCTGCTGGGAGATGCCTGTGCAGCACTTCCGCCTTTCAGGGAACTGTGTACTTCCGAGCCACCTCCTCTGAACACTGTCCTGTGGGTTGGATGCCTTTGCTCAGTCTCAGAAAAGCCAGGTCCCCTCACCAGCGTGTACGCCGGCCGGCAGGGGAGTCGTAGTGAGGACTTCAGAGACCACACTGGCTGGCACTGCAAGCTCTCGGGGCCGGCTGCTTTCTCAGTGTTGAGTTGTGTATGTGCGAATAGCTGTGCGACCTGCGCTTTGCCTGGTTTCCCACACCTGCATCGAGTGTGCTTTCTCAGCCCAGACCTGGCAGCTTCCCCTCCTCTGAGCGGATGCCGGCAAAGCTGTGCGCACGCCTCGGGAGCAAGGACCATGCGGTACAATGACGTACGTGTGGATCTGCATCAAGTGAACCTGCCAACGCCAGTTGGTTCCAAGATAAAAAATGTTTGAATCTGAGGTTAAAGGGAACATTATTTGCATAGTGTATAAACATTGAGGGGCCAAAAAAAAATTTCTTTTGGCTACTAGAAGACGGTCACTATTCATACAGCTATAATGTAGTACTTTAACGCCAACTTATTTTTCTCTCAACATTTTCGGAATCCCACATGGCACAGTGCTCCCTCTCATGGTGAGGACAGGCCCCGCTGGAAGTCAGTTGAATTCTGAAGTCTTGTCTTTGTTTCAGGAAAGTCTGCAGATCAGAGCTGGAGAAAGTGTTCCCACTCGCTTCCGCGGCAGGCTGCTTTGGAGATGAGAAGTTAGAGGGTCAGCTGTGGCGGTCCGCATAGGTGCTGGAGATGTGGGTTGGCTTCCTGGGACGGCGGGCTCCTCGGCCTCAGCCTCCTGCCTTGCAGCCAGCCGAGTGCTGCCTGCTGTCCACGCGGTGTCACTGGCCCCGTCTGTCCCCAGTGCCCGTTCCGCGTGGTGTTTGTGCCTATGAAGTAGAGTTCCGGTTTCCAGCTGGTTGTGTCTTGCAGTGCTTCTGTGACTCCGGTCACACGGCGCTGTCTGCTTTTTCATTGAGAAATCTGGTTGCGCCCGTCCTGACCGCAGCCGAGAAAAGTGACATTTTGTGTGGTCCGCCTGTCGTCGCCAAGTTTCCCCTTTGCTCATTCTGGGGACCGTGGCCGTGAATATGTTGAGTACTGATGCTGTGCGAGTATTTTTGTGGAACTGTAACTTGTTAGTGACTGTTGAAATTATTATGAAATTGAGTATTCGTGAAGAGAATTAAAATATTTACTTTTTTTAAGATTTATTCATTTTAAAGTCAAAGTTACACAGAGAGAGGAGAGGCAGAGAGAGAGAGAGAGAGAAAGAGAGACAGAGAGGTCTTCCATCTGCTGGTTCACTCCCCAATTGGCTGCAACGGCTGGAGCTGCGCCGATCCGAAGCCAGGAGCCAGGAGCTTCCTCCGGGTCTCCCATGTGGGTGCAGGGGCCTAAGACTTGGGCCATCATCTACTGCTTTCCCAGGCCATAGCAGTGAGCTGGATGGGAAGTGGAGCAGCCGGGTCTCGAACCGGCACTCATATGGGATGCCGGCACTGCAGGTCAGGGCGTTAAGCTGCTGCACCAGAGCACCAGCCCCAAAATACTTACTCTTTAAACACAACTAAATGGCAAGAACTGGTCCAGAGCCTGCAGGGAACACTCTCGGGAAGGGGGTGGGCAGGGCTGTGCTGCACCTGCTGCTGGGAAGCCGTGTTCCTATGATGCTGCCGTCTGTTTCCTTTTTAAAAAGATTTGTCATTTGAAAGGTGGAGATAGAGCCAGAGAGAGACAGAGAGCCAGAGAGAGACAGAGAGAGAGAGAGTTAGTTTCCATCCTCTGTCTCACTCCCCAGAATGCCCAGGCCCGGGCCAGACTGAACCCAGGAGCCAGGAACACCACTCAGGTCTCCCACACGAGTGGCAGGGACCGAAGTACTGGGGGCATCATCCAGGTGCATTAGCAGGGCACTGAATGGGAAGTGGAAGAGGCGGGACTCAAACCGGCACTCCCATATGCCAAGCCACAGCCTGACCCACGGTGCCACGACACCTGCCCGCAGGGCTGGCGTTTCTGAGAGCAAACCTCGTGTCTCCGTCGTCGGGTATGTAGGGTGTACAGCCTTAACCTCCCCACGCCCCCTTGTGCACAGGAATCATCAGTGTGTCTCTCCTACAAGGCGGCAGTGGCAAGAGCCGTGTGTCGTTTGGTCTCAAGGCCCCAGGGAAATCCCGGAAGAATCCTTTCTATTTGGGGGAGTGTTTCTGCTTGGAAGAGGCTTATGGGAGAGACTTAGTTTGAAAACAGATGCCTTTAAGGGGACAGATGTCACCGCGCTCCGGCTCCTGCCCCCGTCTGTCTGCTGCAGGCATGGGAGCAGGGGTGGAGCCACCCGGGGGACGTCTCCTTTTAGATGCGGAAGCTCAGGACCCCCCTAGTGCACATCACAGTCTGAGGATGGGGGTGAATTATCAGTCCCTCCGCCTCAGCCCCTGACATTGGCGGGGGGGGGGGGGCCTGTTCCCTGGAGCCTGCCGCCTTGGCCTGCCATGCGCCAGGAGAACCTGCCGTCTCCCCACTGTGAAAGCTCCAGCGTGGCCAGATGTCCCCTGGGGTGCAAAGGCCCTGGTCAGGGCTGTCGCTCCCCCTCTTCGTGGAGGAATGACACTAAGTCCTGCCTAGGCTTCATATCCGAGTCACGGCACCATTATGTCGCTCCCCCTCTTCGTGGAGGAACGACACAGGACCCTGCGCTGTTCTTTCGTCTGCTCAGCCCTCCCCGGGTTTGCTGCTGGTTCTTCCCGGGTTGGCTGCCGTCCCTTCCACCTCCGTGGAAGGGCGGTTCCCCCTGGCCGCATTCCCCACTTCCGCAGGGGAGCGGCACACCGCCGGCCGGCTCTCTCGGGGGCTGCACATGTGTTCCCTCAGATGTTCCCCTTAGATGTTCCTCTTAGATGTTCCTGGTGCATGCCGTCTCTCTCCTCCTTTATAGTCCTCCTCCGCCAATCCCAACTCGGCTGCCCACACGCCGAGTACACTGCTCTCCTCCAATCAGGAGCAAGTCCTACAGTCCATTGGCTGAACTGGAGGCAGCTGTGCGGAAGCTGTTTTCTTCTCTCCCAGCGCCATATTGTGGGAGAGCAGATGCATAGAATAAGTCTTAATTCCAGTAACTCAGTCCAGTCCGAATTGCTCCCCACAAGGGCTCTGTGATCGGATGACAGACACTGCTCTGTGCACGCAGGTGCATTTCTCCAAGAGCACACTGTTTCACTGAAGTGTGGACGCAGTGTGAAGCCGGGCGTGCGAGGTGGGCTGGACGCCACAGAGATCCTTTCTCGTGGTCTGGGGGCTCAGCCCCAGCCCCAGCCGTGTCCTCTGCCTGTGGCACCAGCATCCCATATGGGCGCTGGTTCTCGTCCCGGCTGCTCCTCTTCCCATCCAGCTCTCTGCTATGGCCTGGGAAAGCAGTGGAAGATGCCCAAGTGCTTGGGCCCCTGCACCCACGTGGGAGACCCAGAAGAAGCTCCTGGCTCCTGGCTTTGGATCAGCTCAGCTCTGGCCGTTGCAGCCATTTGGGGAGTGAACCAGCGGATGGAAGACCTTTCTCTGTCTCTCCTTCTCACTGTCTGTAACTACCTCTCGAAAAAATAAAATCTTTAAAAAATAATAAAACAAAATCAGAAGTCCAACATTAATGCTAAATTTATCCTCCCTGACCGCTGCTCCGCCGAGTGCCCACTGGCTCTGCTTGGCTGGGACCCAGGCCTGGGAGAGAAGGGCCAGGCCTCGTGTCTGCCCACACCCTATCAGAGCCGTCTCGTGGCCACCGCAGGCTGAAGGGAACCCGGGCGGTGTAGCCCTGTGGGCGGTGTAGCCCCGTGGTGGCCCTGGAAGGAAGGAAGTTGGCCGACAAGCCCCAGGCCAGAGGGCTGGTCTCTGTTACCTGCAGCTCACAACCAGCGGTGTAGGATTCGAATCCAGCCGCCTCCGACGGCAGAGCCTCGTCCTTCCACACTCGGAGTCACCGTCAGCTGTGCACCAAGAGAGCTTGCTGTTGCCCGTGGAAGGGCCTTGTTTTCTGTTTCTCCTCCTGGTTTATCCGTTTATATTCCTGAAAGCAAGTCCTCGGGAGCAGAGACATTGCACTGAGCAGACTTGCTGGCGAGGCCACAGGGTGGACGAAGCCGCGGCTCCCGGAACTTGTCTGCGGCAGAGCCGCTGGGGGACCTCCTACAGCCTCCGAAGCCCAGTCCACGCCCAGGACCAAGGAAAGCACAGGCCCTGCAGGGGGCTGACAGCTCCCGGTGCCTGGGGTATGCACGCAAGTCTGGGAAGCACCGTGCTCTGGCTGAGATGTGCAGGCCTGCTGCCGGTGAGCTGTGTGGCTTCGGGGAAGTTACTTAACCTCTCTGCGTTCCCGTTCCCTCTATAAAACAGGCCATAGGGCTGCTCTGAGGACGACACATTACTTATTTATTTATTTTCATTTATTTCGAAAGACAAAGAGAGGAAGACAGAGTTCCCATCCACTGTTCACGCCCCCAATACCCGCAACAGCCAGGACTGAGCCAGACCGAGGCCGGGAGCCCAGAGCTCAATCCAGGGTCCCCCTAGGGCAGCAGGGACCTAAGTCCTTGAACCACTACTTGCTGCCCCCGGGGGTGTGCATCAGCAGGAAGCCGGAGACAGGAACAGGGCAGGGCTCCAACCCAGCACTCTGATACGGGGTGTGTCAGTCACTGTGGTCGGCGCCTTGTTACCCCACGGCTTATATGAGTTAAATACACAGAGTGCCTGGGACGGCGTCTGATCTCGGAGCTGAAGTGCTGGGGACGAAAGGTGGGATCTTTGGGCCCCGGGAGCGAGCACAGAACCCAGTGGGCCGACGCTAGGCACAGCCCCCAGCCCGGCCGATGGTTCCTTACAAACGTAGACAGATTTGTTTGGCTCCTGCGATGGCTCGCATCGTGTTTCGTGAGGCTGAGGGAAGGAGCCCTCACCACTCAGACCAGTTTTAGAACTGGAAGTCCCGATCCCGGAGACCTCAGCGTGTCTACACCCTGGCCATCTGGACGGGCGTTAAACGTGGGTGCAGCCTTGGGGCAGCTGGGGGAGCTGGGTCCTCCTGAGCCTGGCGTTCAGGACTCCTGGCTACAGGGAAAGCTGATGGAGGGATGCGTCGTGGGGGTCACTGGGAAATAACATTCAGAGAGGCGTTAGAGGCAAAGTCTTCAGGGTCTTGAGATGTTTGCAAAAACCACAAGCCCGCTGGCAGCACATCTCACGCTGAGAATCGCCAAGGCTGCCGGAGACGGCAGAACGCCCTTCTCGGTCTGGGCCCCACTGAGGGACAGAAAGCGTGGCTGCTCCGTGCAAAGCACCAGCTTGGCTTCCAAAACCCTCCCGTGGGCGTCTGAACCAAGATTTGCTTTAGTTATTTGAAAGACAGAGGGAGCGAGCGAGCGAGCGAGCGAGAGAGAGAGAGAGAGCGTGCTTCCTTCCACAGGGGCCCATCTGCTGCGGCTTTCCCAGGCACGTTAGCAGGGAGCTGGAGCGGAAGTGGAGCAGCTGGGACTCCCCTGGGACGCCCGTGTCGCAGGCAGCAGCTGAACCCACTGCGACACAACGCCGGCTCCTAACACGCGTTTGTCAGCCCAGATGCGGCCCAAGTGCCTTCCCTGGTGCAGACTCCCAGGCAGCATGTCTGGGGCGCCCTCTGCAGTTAGCACAAGGCCCAGAAAACACCACTCTCGGACCCCTGCCGTTTTTCAATACGCCACCAAGTGTTAGCGTTCCACTGCCAGAAATCCTCGCCCCGTTTATAGCAAACATTTTGAAGCCCAAAAAGCACCTCCCTGTGTTCTCCATTATCCCCGGGGATTAGCCAGTCCCAGGGGAGAAGTGTCAGAGACCCACGACGCCCACTGAACCTCTGGTGGCCGTTGCTAGCCGGCCGTGCACAGCGCCTGCGCCTGCGGGCGTGCGCATCTTCAAGGCCGACCATTTTCAAAGAAATTGCCTTGAGGAGATCTCTCGGTGACCCTAATCAAGGGGAGTCGCTGCCCGTCTGTTAGCATGTTCTGGAAGCAGGGGTAACAGAGGGGTCATCCCTGTCCTGGGGGCTCGCTTTGACATCGTGCACAGGGACCAGTGTAGTGGGGCGGCAGGTGAAGCCGCAGCCCGTGACGCTGGCATCCCGTCTGACTGCCGCTTGGAGTCCCAGCTGCTCTGCTAACGGCGGGGAAAGCAGTGGAAGACGCCTGACGCGCAGCCCGTGCCACCTCGGAGACCTGGACGGAGTGGCAGGCTCCCGTTTTGGCCTGGTCCAGCCCCGGCCATTGCAACCATTTGGGGAGTGAATCGGCAGACATAAGCTCTCTCTGCGTCTCTCCCTCTCTCTCTGTCACTCCGTCTTGCAAACAAACAGACAAATCTTTTTGGAAAGAAAACGTGTGCAGAAGCTGTTTCCGGGAAAGCGCAGTCTGCCATCAGTGCCAGCAGAGGGCGCCCGCTCCCTCCCAGCGGGACTTGCCTTGGCACTGGCCCCCTGCGAGCCAGGCTCCTCCTCCGAGCCTGCACGCGTTCCGACCCCTCATGCGTGGAGAAGGCTCTGGAAAAATCCCAGCCGTCCTCTTTGATGGGTTGTCTGGCGGCTTCCTCTGAGTCGGACACCGCTTACGTGAAAAACAAAAGTGTCTCTATGAGTGTCTCTCTGAGTCCGGGCTGGGTGGCGACAGAGCGCAGAGCCGTCTCAGGCCTCGAGGTTTTCAGGACAGGTTGATGAGGCACTGAGGGAGCCTAGGTGACCACACCAAGCTCGTCCGTGCTGGGGTCCCTGTGGGCTGTGACGGTGGGAGAGACGCTGAGGCAGCGTCTCTCTGGGGGGTTCTACTCCCAGGGCTGGGAGTAGGGGAGGCAAACGAGGCACCCGCCGGGGGCACGAAATCTAAGGAGCAGAGGACAGACCCAGTAGCCAAGATAGACAATTTAACGCAGCGTGTTTAAAATTTTATTTCTTTCCACTCCCCAGATGCCTGCAACATTCCGGGCTGGGCCAGACCCTATTCAGCAGCCCGGTCTCCCATTGGATGGCGGGGACCCAGCTATGGAGCTGTCACCTGCTGCCCCGAGCGAGGCGTGCGTTAGCAGGGAGCTGTCACCTGCTGCCCCAGGCGTGCGTGCGTTAGCAGGGAGCTGGAAGGGGAGGCAGAGCCGGCCCTGGCCCCCCATGCGGGATGTAGTCCCCATCAGTGGTTTAACCACTGCCAATCTCCTGCCTCCAATGCAGTGTTGTTGTTGTTGTTTTTAATTTAAGATGCATTTGGAAGGTAGAGTGATGCGGCTGAGTTAGGCTGAAGCCAGGAGCCAGGAACTCCATCCAGGGCTCCCACGTGGGTGGCAGGCGCCTGAGCACTTGGGCCGTTATCCACTGCTGGCCCAGGGGCATTGCCAGGAAACTGGATCGGGAGTGGGAGAGCCGAGGCTCAAACCAGGCCCTTTGATCTGGGATACAAGTGTCCTGAGTGACAACGTAACCGCTGTGGCAAACGCCTGCCCCACGTAGGCCCTCCTGACCCGTGGGGTGGCCCCGTGGGGAGGCCCTGGTTGGACACAGGCTGAGCCAGGGGTCCCAGAAAGCTAAGGGAGAATGCAGAATCTGGAGAAAGGGCCCGGGCGTGGAGAAAGGACCGGGAAGCTGGAGCAGGGAGCGGCGCTGGCTGGAGCTGGGACGGGGAGCGGCGCTTCCCGGAACAGCTTCCCACCTGCTCCTCGGCCAGCTCGTGACTCAGCCCCGGAGAACAAGAACATGCCTGTGGCCGTTGCGACATCTGGGAGTTTTCTGGGCTGCGATGTGGATGGGCTCGGTCCCTATCGTGACCCGGGTGATGGATGGGCCCGAGGGGGAGGAGGAGAGCCCACTTCCTTCCCGCCAGGAGGGGCAGCAGAGGCAAGACGTGGCATGGGTCCCATGGCTGAGTCGCACCAGGCCCAGTGCCAGGCGTGGGTTGGAGGAGAAGCCCCCGTCCCCGCCCCGTTCTAGAGAGAAAGCGGGAGCCGTGCAGGCACCGGAGTGAGGGATGCGGAAGGCTGTTTGCCAACTCATCCTCCAGTGCAGCTGCGCCAGGTGAACCCATCAACCCGAGCACAGGAATGGAAACCACGCCCTCCCCCCACCCCCAGCAGGGATCCTTTTTTTTTTTTTAATAAAGATTTATTTTATTGGAGCCGGCGCTGTGGCATAGCGGGTAAAGCTGCCGCCTGCAGTGCTGGCATCCCATTTGGGCGCCCGTTCGAGTCCCGGCTGCTCCACTTCTGATCCAGCTCTCTGCTGTGGCCTGGGAGAGCAGTAGAAGATGGCTCAAGTGGTTGGGCCCCTGCATCCTCGTGGGAGACCCAGAGGAAGCTCCTGGCTCCTGGTTTCAGATCTACCCAGCTCCAGCCGTTGCAGCTGTTTGGGGAGTGAACCAGCAGGTGGGAGACCTCTCTCTCTCTCTGCCTCTCCTCTCTGAACCACAGCTCTGAGCGCCCGCCCTGCAGGAGCAGTGTGCAGACACCACATTGCCTGAGTTACACGCGTGCAGCTGAATCCTGCCTGCTGACCCAAATCCTGGCCATCTGCACCACCGTCTGCTCTCAGGGAGCCCCCAGGGTGCACACTGCCGGGCTCCAGGGACAGTGGCCTCTTTCCCAGGCCCAAGTGGCCGGAGTCACCATGCTGTTACAGAGGGCCCAGTCCCTCCCATGCATCCCCGGGGGCTGCGGTGCCCCCTCCCGGCCCACTGCCCGAGTGTCTTAGAGTCTGGTCCCTCCCCCTCGTCCCTGCCTGTCTCTGGGTCTAGGACACCCCTTTCCCTGTTTGGCTTGGCCACCTGCTTGCTTTTTGGGTTTCAGCGTCTACGCTTCTTCCTGGGGACACCCGGGCTGGGGCCCTTCTCTGAGCTCTTTGGGACCTGATGGTGGCGGTCACCAGGCTGAAGGACACTCTCCTAATTCTTGTCCCTTTGCTGTGAGCTCCTGGCAGGCAGGTCCCTGGGCAGGCTCAGCACTGGCTCGTGAGAACAGGAGGAGTGCCCACACAGCCCCCTGGAGCAGCCCCGCCCTCCTGCCGCTGCATCTCTGCGGCGCGACCCGGCCCTCCCCGCCCTGCTCCAAGCCTGCCGATGCCCCGCTGTGTTGGGACTCAGCTCCCAGGTGGCTCCCTTCCTGACCGTGTCCCAGATAACCCGAGTCACAGATCCAGCCCTGGGATCCCCCTGACTTCCTGCAATGGAGTGGGTCTCGGGTCCCTGTGGATGGACGCTCCAGCCAGGTCTGCTCTGGTCTCTGGCAGTCGACCAGAGCCGGTGGAGCGCGCAGATGGAAACGTAGAGCCGTCCTCCCTGGGCACTGCCCCTGCTTGCCTGTTGCTGCTGTGACAGATGCTGCAAACTCAGAGGTTTACAACCATTGGTCCCCTGACCATTCCCCAGGCTGGGAAGGAAAAGCCCAGTTGATGGGTAAGGCCGGGCGTGGGGAGGCAGGGCTGGCTCCTTCGGGGGTGTGAGGAAGAATGGAGCCCATAACTTCTCCAGTGTCCAGAGGCCACGGGACCGTGGCGCCTCCTCGGCCTCGGGCTGTGCAGTCACGTCGCCTCCTGCGACCCCAACCCCCTCCAAGGATCGCTGTGCGACCCAGGACCTCCACTGGACCCCAGCAGCAAGGGTCCCAGGGCCGGGGCCTGGGCGTCCGTGCGGGCCGGCGCTCAGCCCTCCCACAACCACATTTACTACATCAGGAAGGATGGACGAGAAGGCCGAGCCCCTTGGGTCCAAGCTGCTTTAATTCCGCCAGAAACCCCAGAGCATTTCTTTCCTACGGGACGAGGACACGGGTGCGAGACTCCTGGGGCTGCACTGTTGACAGAGTTCCCAGACCTTGGTCCTGAAGAGCCGGCCCACAAACACATAAATCACCGGGTTCAGGCAGCTGTTGACGAAAGCGGAGAAGTTGGACAGCTGCAGGCCCAGGTCGGTGAACTCCTCCCAGAAGCAGCCCCCGATGGCGTGCACCTGCCACAGGCACTCCAGGAACGCGAAGAAGTGGTAGGGGGCCCAGCAGACCAGGAAGGAAGCCACGAGAGTGAGGATGAGCGCCGTGCTCTTGCTGTCCCGGGGGCCCCCGCACCGCGAGGGGACGCGCTCCCCCCGCCTCCGCAGGGAGGCCAGGATGTGGCAGTTGAAGAACAGGATGGCGGCCAGCGGGAGGAGGAAGCCCAGCAGGTTCAACTCCACCATCCTCAGCCAGTGCCAGGCCTCGTGCGGGAGCAGCAGGATGCAGGCGGAGACGTTGAGCTCCGGGACGGCTCTGACGGAGCGCAGCACGAAAGTGGGGGTGCTCAGGAGGCCCCCCGCGAGCCAGATGAGCGCGCAGGTGGCCTGAGCCCGCCGCCGCCGCCGCCCCCTCCGGCTGGCCATGGGGTGCACCAGCACGCTGTAGCGGTCCTGGCTGATGGCCACCACCAGGAAGATGCTGATGAACAGGTTGGCCTTGATGACCCCGTTCACGATGCGGCAGAGGGCGGCCCCGAAGGGCCAGTCGAATTGGTTCCGCACATTCTCTGCCCAGAAGGGCAAGCCCAGGACAAACACCAGGTCAGAAGCGGCCAGGTTGGCCAGGTAGATTTCTGCCACACTCAGTCGCCGCCGGGCCAGGAGGAAGACGGACAGGACGAAAGAGTTTCCCAGGAGGCCGAGGGTGAAGATGGCAATGATGAACGTGGGCAGCAGCCTGTGCAGCAGGTCCCAGGCGTCCGGGGCGCCGCTGCAGGACGTGGCATTAGGAGGGGCGAGCTGGCTCTGGTTGGAGGGCTGGAGCTCCAGGGGGCCCTGTGAGGCCATCCACAGTGACCTGAAAAGAGCAGCACATGGAATAACACGGGGCCCGGACCCAGCCTGCTGCCTGTAGTGAACAATAAAGCTTTATCGGCACAGGGGTGCCGTGTGTGCCCGCGTCGTGTTCGGCTGCCTGTGCGCTGTTGGTGTTCACTGAGCACCTCCTTTGAGTCAGGCGCTGGGCGTGGCATTTGGGACACAGACAAAAAGTCCCTGCCCAGCGTGTGCCAACGGCCCAGAGGGAGGAGAAGGTCAGCACCAGTGGGAGTGAGCAGGCTGGCGGGCCAGCGGCCGAGGGCTGGCCGTGGGCACGGCGCAAAGCCGTCAGACTCCAGGTGCAGCCGAACCGCCGCCATCATTTTCAGTTGGGTTTCGGCGTGAGAAGGAGGGACTTGGCTGGTGCCACTTTTGACCCCAGCACCTGGAGGTGTGACATTGTCACTGACTGAGAAGGGGCTGGCAGAGTGAAGATGGGGCCGGGACCTGGGGGAAGGGGAGCAGGTCAGTTTGGGGCTGCTTCGGGTTGAGATGTCCGCTGGACATCAAGGGCACGGTGAGATACATGAGTCTCGTGCTCAGGGACGAGTCTGAGACAAGGACACACATCTGGGAGTTTAGCCACATGGATGGAGCTGGAAGCCGCACGACTGGATGAAGTCACCGAGGGAAAGCACAGAGAAGCCAGTGAGGCGCTGGGCAGCCAGACCCACAGGAAACATGAGCCACGGTGGCCCGGTGCCCGCGAGACGCCCAAGGCACAGCATCTGGGCGAGGCTGGAGGCTCTGGCCACGGCGGCTTTGTTATTTATTGCAGGGCGTAGATCCACAACTGTCTGTTTATTTTCTTATTTTGCAATACTTTTAAATTTTGCAATAAATTCTGGCAGTGATGTGCTAAAACACAAACATTACTGCACATCTAAGTACTGAACTTCTCAAGGAAGCTGATGATGAACGCGCGATTTGCACGGAATGTGGACATTGACATCACTGGGGGCTGTGGTGACTCGAAGCTGCTCCTTTAGAAGTGCTTCCTTTAAAGATGCGCTTATTTAAAAGGCAGACTTACAGAGAGCGAGCGAGAGAGAGAGAGAGAGAGAGAGAGAGAGAGATCTTCCACCCACGGTGGCCAGGGCTGGGTCCAGACGCAGCCAGGAGCCTCATCAGGGTCTCCCACATGAGTGCAGGGGTCCCAGTACTTGAGCCATCTTTCACTGCTTTCCCAGGTGCATTAGCAGGGAGCCGGATCAGAAGTGGAGCAGCCGGGACACAAACTGGCACTCATACAGGATGCTGGCACCGCAGGTGATGGCTTAACCCATGGCACCACAACACAGGCCCCAGAAGTTACTAATTTTAAGAAGATGGTGCCCTAAGACACGGGCTTCACCCCGATAGTCACAGAAGCCGCGGGACACACAGCCGCTCTTCGGTTCCACCTGTTCGTGCACAGAGGCACAGCAATGGCTGCTTAGGCGCCGGCTCAGTAAGAACTTGACAGGCGAGACTGCACTATCAGCACCCTCACAGTCTTCCAAGAGAAAGAGCAGCGAATTCCAATCGCCACTCAGTCCTTCACCTGGAACCAGAGGGGGCTTCTGCAAGTTCATTCCAGCCAAGCGAGACTACAGGCCTTCTTTAAATTCAGCTTAAAGTTTTTACAAGTTACTGCATTTTTGTGGGGTAATGCAAGCACACATTGTGGCCTGGTAGCCGCAGTGTCCTCACTAAATGAAGAGATCAATAAAACAGAATGGTAATGGAATAGACTGTGGTGCCCGCATGATTTGTAATTGCATTAAGTTTTAGAATTCTGCCAGCGACGTAGATGGTTTATTTCACAGAATTTATAAAATTTTAGAGCAAAGGCACAAACTCACTCAACTACCAGCTTTGTGGTGAAGTTGATGATGATATTTAAAAAGATTTATTTACTTGAAAGTCAGAGTTACACAGAGAAGGAGAGGCAGAGAGAGAGAGAGAGAGAGAGAGAGAGAGAGAGAAAGTCCTCCATCCACAGGTTCACTCTCTAAATGGCCACAACGGCCGGAGCTGGGCTGATCTGACCTAAAGCCGGGATCCGGGAGCTTCTGCTGGATCTCTCACACAGGTGCAGGGGCCCAAGCACTTGGGCCATCTTCTACTGCTTTCCCAGGCCATAGCAGAGAGCTGGATCAGCCAGGTCTTGAACCGGCGCCCATTTGGGATGCCAGCACTACAGGTGACGGCTTTACCCTCTAGGCCACAGTGCCAGCCCCTTGTTTAAAGATTTTTTAAAAATTGTTTTCGACTAGAGCTACTTTATAACTCTGTTGATACAATATAACAAAATTTTTGTTGTATGTGTATCTGTCCATAAATCTTTCTATTCATTTACATAATTTTATAAATATATTGCACATCTGTATACTTATTTGAAAGAGCAGAGATACAAAGAGAGAGAGGGAGTGAGAGAGTGAGCGAGAGAGAGAGAGAGAGAGAGAGATCTCCCATCGCTCCCATCTGCTGGTTCACTTCCCAAATGCCTATACCAGCCAGGGCTGGGCCAGGCCACAGCCAGGAGCCCGGAACCCCATGCAGGTCTCCCTCAGGGCTGGCAGGGACCCAGGTACCTGAGCCACCACTGCTGCCTGCCAGGGTGTGGGAGTGGAGTGCGCACCTGAACCCAGGCCTCTGAGACAGGCCGTGGGCAGCCCAAGCAGCATCTTAGCCTCCACACCAGCCTGCCCCGGAGTCATAATTCTTTGGCCAATAGTTCTGACAGCGCTGGGGGACCCGACCCATCTGCTGTGTGTAGAGATGCACCTTGGTGCCCCGCCCGGCAGCGTCCCTGCGGTTGGGGTGACACACCCGACGCAGCTCGGGTCTGACGACGGGCAGGAAAGCCAGGTCTATTCCTGGATGCTGCAGGTGCAAATCTGTGCATTTCTCCATCCGCTTGGCTGTGTCCTGTCCCCCGCCATGCTCAGCTGAGGGGCAGGCCTGGAGTGAGCAGAGCCCCGGATCTGGCCAGGGCGGTGGGTACTGGGCCGCTCTGCCCCAGTCCCTCTGCCGGGCACAGGCCCCCACCCCGCAGCTGCTGGGATAGGGCCTGCTGGGTCTCCGTCCTTGCACTGCCCTCGGCCTCAGGGGGCTGCCTTGCCAAGGGGCAGCGCACGCCAGCGACCGGCCAGGCCCCAGCCTCCTCGTGGGATGATGCTGAAAGCCCGCTCCCCTCCAGAGTGTCCTGTGCCCGCCTCCCTCAGCCCGAGCACGCGGCCGAACACCTGCAGGGACCCCATCTCAGAACCCCCTTCCCGATGTCTGCTCCAAGCCCCTGGGCCACGGCTGTGCCCAGTGAAGACAGAGAGGCGACAGAACTCCACGCTTGGTTCCAGCGCAGGCGTGTGCATCCCTGGGGGAGGCTGCATGTGTGGGGTGGGAAGGAGGCGGGACTCGTGTGAGCAGGGGCAAGGGGAGGGTGTGCAGCTTCCCCAGTGTCCTGGGCAGAATGACGTCCCCAAAAAGAGGGTTCGGGCCCTGACTCCTGGTGAGTGTGGCCTCACTTTGCCAGTGTATTCAAGGGGAAATCGCGCGGGATGAGGGTGCCCCCTAATCCAGAGACCAGAGCTTCTGTAAGTAGGGGATACACTGGGGACGAGGCCAGAGGTGGAGATTGGAGGGTGGCACCTGCAAGCCTAGGGGGCAAAGGACGCAGCCACCTCCAGAAGCCAGGAGGCGGCGGTGGGGGGCTTCCAGGAAGCCCAGCCCGCAGACATCTTAGTTTCATAGCTTGGGCCCCTGGGACCCTGATGTCCAACCCCCCAGCCTCAGGTCTTTAGTAGGTGCAGCGACCCCAGAAAGCCAACACACCCTGAAAACCTGGCTTCTTGGGTGCCCGGGGGTGCGCCCAGCAGCTGCCCCGGGGTCCTTGTGTGCATTGGGCCTCAGGTCACCGCTTCCCATGCCACTCTCCACAGGTGCCCAGGAGGACCTGCACTGTGTGGCAGGCCCGGCCCTGCCTCCCCCAGCGCTGGGGCTGCTGCCCAGGCCCGGCTGCCAGCGGTGGCCTCGCCTGTGCTCTGCCGAGGGTCACGGCCTGTGCCTCACTGTAGTGGCTCGGTCCCAGCCACACGCCTGGGAGGAGTGACGGGCACTGCTATCCCCATCGAACAGATGGGGAAAAGCGAAGGTGTCGGGGTTACCCAGTGGGCTCTGTGTAGTCACGAAGGTGCCCATGGGAGAAAGAGCATGGCACGGAAGTCAGGGACCCCCAGCTAGCCCGGGGCCGGAGCTTGAACCTGACCAGGTCAGCAGACCGAGGATGTCAGCGGCCACGTCCGACCACGCCAGGCGTTTCATTTTCGGAGGGGCTGTCGTCACCAGCGGCTGCCGGGTCATTAAGTCCCTTCCCTCGTTCTAAGCTCTCGCTCTGATTTCCACCGGGCACATAGTAGTTGCTCCGGACACAGCAGCTTTTGACATTATTAGCAATGATAGGATCTATCTGGGAATTCCAGAAAGGACGGGGGGCAAGTGTGCGAGGGATGAGGATTCTGGAACTCCTGCGTGATGGCTCCTGGACTCCGCACACGTTAACCTCGGCAGTGCTGTGGGAGGCGGCAGCATTTCTTCCACGCTCAGCCCGCTTTGAATGAACTCCGGTTCAGGGACGATAAAGGGGCTCGAAATGCAGCCACCGGTGCTGAAGCTGCCACAGGTAACCTGGCCAGTTACCCGGAGACGCCGGTGGTCGGCGTCCGAGCCGGGCTCTCACGGCTGGATTCAGCCTGGCAGTGTAGCCTGCCCTGGACCTCCACAGAGGCTGGAACCTTCTTCCCAAACGCTTCCCTTTCCTTCCTGTTCTGAAAAAGCGATTAAAACCCAAACAAGGTACGGAACAAAAAAAAATCCTTTTACATTGATTTAGAAAAAAATGCACTTCCAGAAGCAGACAATTCTGGCATAAAAGGAGGCTGCTCTGCTGGCGTTTCTCTCTGGGGCTGACTCTGTTCTATTTCACGACGGTAGGAGAGA